TCATATAATAATTTTCTTACCACATATCCTTGGCAAATATAACTTCCAAATGAAGTGCTCTCTTCATACACTTCAGTTAGGAAGAAAACCTCTCAAACACAGACACAATGGCAGTAATACAGTTCTCTCAGAACAAAGTAATTTCACAACCTTATTGTATTCCTTCCACAGTCTGGGCTTGGTATAAGAAATTAACTTTACTCTTAACAGCAACATAGAAGATGCATCCAAAGATCTTTGTCAGCACATGCACCATTAGTGCTAAAGTTTACTGCTTTGCATCAAAAACCCAGAGGAAATCTGCTGACCCCACAGCTTTTCTATGCTTTGGAGAAGATACCTCACAAATCCCCTTCCACCACTGCACTGCTATTTTGGAGTGAATTTCCATGAAGGCCCATGTTGCATATTCAACAGCTGGCTGCAAACTGCCTTATTCCATTGCTGGTAGGATTTTTCACTTGTTCTGTTTACAAATGAAATTAAGTGCATCAGGGCCTCAGTTCCCAGATCTTTATTCATCCACCACTGGGATTCACACAGGCTTCTTGTTTAACCCTCTCATGACAGAAAACTAAAACCAAATTAAAGGAATTGACAAAAAAAGCACTTTTTTTGAAAAAGAGCTTTTCTTAGGTTTTTGGATCCCTGTGACAAACTGTCACATCTCCAGTGAAAAAGTCAGAGACTCTGGAGGGCAAGATATGTGCTGATCTGTAGGGAATCACTTTATCCTGGGTGCTTTCTGAGCAGAGAAGACACACAATGACTATTTGGGTTGCAGACACCAAAGATCAAACCCAATGCTATAAGCAGCTTATTAGCATTGACACAGCTGGGACTATGTTCAGAGATTGCAAAGTAAGCCTACATTTATATAGTGTCTCGTAGACCTCATTAAAAAAACCAAAAAACAAAAACAAACACTTCCCCAAGGATTACCTTCTTCAACTGGGAACACACAGAGTTTATAGAAAGCTACAGACTCCATTAGGTGCTGCACAGAGTCCTTTTCCTCATACAAGGGAAAACCACATACTTCCAGCTCTGTCTGAAACCAGTCCATGGAACCCAGCACTTCATTTTTTCCACTACCTATGCAACCAGGAACATATTCTACAAAAAGTGCTATGTCCCTTCAAAAAGACATACATGTCAAGAGCATGCTGGTTTGCTACATAAATGAGGTGAAAAGTTAGTAAACAAAATTGTGAATCTAACATAACAATCCAATTGGTTAGATGTGACTTTTCCTCTTCTCTCCTATGAAAAGATAGTTGCATTATTCTAGAACTTGTTCCAAGGCTTACTCTTTTTAAAGCCATACAGGTCATACTGCTAGCCTCTGTAGCTTGCTTTTTTAAACATGGCATACTACATTTGTTTTTGAAAATTGTGTGCAGAAAAGCAATTTACAGTACCCCAGACTTGGCCACCAGCATTTCATGTGGTGACAAAGCTACTCAGTGTTCATTAAACCACTATTTAACCATAAAACTAAAGAGGGAAAAAAAAAAAAAAAAAGTGAGAATTCATGTAGGTTTGAATTATCAGGGAACATCAAGATCCCTAATATATTCATTCTCCTAGAAAAAAAAAAGGTTTAGGAAAGGATAAAGCAAGGATCAAAATGGCAATTTTAGAGTGATGAATTACTAGCAGTCAACAGCAAATTATAAAAATCTGTTGGCAGATATGACAAGATTTAATTAGTAGTGATGGTCAAGCCATAAGCAGAACAGTATATTGGAAAAATATGACAAACAATTATACATTTATCCCATTTAGTAGAGACATTGCACATTTACCCACTCAAAGTATTTTATAATTCCAATTTACAGACCTGAAAGAAATATTTTACTTCTTCTGGAACACTGCATAGGGATATCTTTGCTCATTTGAGTAACTATAAAACCATTCACATATTGTAACCAGCTGTCATTCTCAGCTACACAGTATCAAGGACTAAATTCCATTAGCAATGCTCAAATCTACCAAGTTCTGTCTTCAGGTTCTGAGTGCTGTTGTGGCTTGGAATGATAGGTGCCACTGCCAGGTTTTAATTTATTTTCTTATTCGGTCAACTTTTTTCAAACAAAAGTGGTTGAAAATACACAGCCTCTTTTGTGAGACAACTTCTCTGGCATAATTGAAAAAGATGCTCCAACGAAGTTGACTTTTTCAAAATTCAGTTCCCTGCAAATGTCTGTCTCCTGCTCTCAGAGGAATCTCTGAACCTTGGAGAAAACAAATTGCTTTTGGTCAGTATGACAGCTGAGGTGAGAAAAGTACTTAGTGGTTTTAAATAATATGATGCTCAAATACAGAGGAGGACATTACCAGTTCTCATTAAACATATTCATGAGATTAACATTTAATTTAGGTCACAGATTGTCTGCAACACAAAGGCAAACAGTGAGCCCATTGTATAGCCTTTCACAAGTGTGAGGACAGTACTAAAGACTGAGCTGGTGGCCTTTGCCAGTCATTTTTACAAGAGATCTTGAGTGGAGAAACAGAACGTGGAAAAGGCTAGGTCCTACCTGGAGCACTCACCTAGGAGGATAATGCTCATCACTTGCACGGTATTGATATTCACAGGAACTCACACAGTTCCCAACAGCCTGTGACAGTACAGCTTTACAACTCAGCAAGGAAAATCAGCTTTATGCTGGTACACCTGAGGCTGCACCAGCTACATAAGCACAGCACGGGGCAACAGATGAGTGAACTTGGCATTTGATGCTTTGCAAATCCCATTGTCAGTCTCTTGGGAAGCTGGAGCTGTTGAGGAAAGGCAGTGTAATTATTGGCACTGCGTTGTACAAAGGTAACAGCATAAAAACTTAACATTCCCCAGAAGAAATGAAGGTGTTAAGACAGCAGCCGGGTAAATACCAGATAATGAAAGAAAACAGCATGAGTTCCCCAGGTTCAAATAAGGCAGACAAGTATTTTGCAGAACTGACCTTATTAGAGAGACATTATCAGTATAAAAATTCATCTAAACCCAAAACAGTTACAGTAATCAGTGAAGATAAAAGTTACCAATTAAACTTAACAATTATTGCCACCAAATTGTCAATCCTTTTACTTCTTTTTTTTTATATTTTTCTGTAGTGAAGTGCCAGGTCCATATAGGTATTCTCACTTTTGTTTACAACAGATTGACTTTGACACAGATAGTCTCTTCCAGAACATCCAGTTTTTCACTCTTGGTATGAATTATTCTCCATTAGGCCTAGTATGTGTATTCTACCTCATAATAAATTAATACACAATAACAAGGTTAAAGAAATTAAATACAAATTTATGGTAAGAAATCTCAACCCACCTGTTTCACAGAAGCATTTTCACCTCAATCACTGCAGAACATTTTTAGTACATCTTTCCTGAAATATTTTTCATCATGTAGGATCCTTTTTATTAAAAAACCACCAACTTTCAAAATGTAATCTTTTAAATAAAAACTTGACAGAGCAGGGAACATGTATTCCATGCTAATCTAGTATCCAGGTATCCCAAGCCAAAAATACAGTAAGGTAAGCAGAAAGGTGGGTTGTTGATAATGCTGAAGAGCCTATGCATAACTAAGCCTCCTGAAAATCCTGACCCCTGCACACAAAGACTGTTACCTGCAAGCTAACATTACTGAAGTACGTGTTGAAAAAATCATAGCAAAGCTACAGTTTATTAGTCTAGCATGGACAATAGTTTCTTCAGTGAAATTTACCATTGCCAGTAAGTTGTCATTTAATGTATGGACTAAATAATTGTCCAAGGACAGTTACTTTTCCTTGTTCTTTGTATGTTTTGGCTCCTTGTCCAATGGCTTCATGTTGAGGGAGGAGAACAGTGCAATGGAGATGGGAGTACACAAGGAACTGTCATGGGCAACAGGAGAAGCAATGAACTTCCAGGGGAACACAATTGATTTGGACAATGTTTCAAATACTGAAGAAGTTGGCCTTCTATTACTTCTTGTATTGACGACTGTGAAACCAAATGGGATGAATTTGAATGGCTTGTCCAGCACACACATTCCTTGGGAGACTTCAGCTGTGAAATAAGGATGGTAATACCTATGGCACACACACAAAACTGCACAACCAACAGCTGGCCCTCTGTCCTCCTGAGTGACTCAAAGCTGAATGTAAGTCAACTCTTTACTGAAGGGGGCTATTTCCTAGTTAGTACTTGTGTCACAAGGCACAAGAGATGTTAAGAGCTGGATATTTCTTTGAATATGTATTGCATGATATGAGAGTGACTCATAGCAGGGAGTGACTTTCCCTATTAGAATAGTTACAGTCACTTAACTGCTTCAAATTTGTGATGAGGTGTGAGAGAGTTACAAATCAGCTTTCTATTGCTAGACACAGAGATTATCTATTAAGGATAATAAATTGATATTGTAATCAATATTCAGATGTTGCATTTTATTATTGTAACCTAGTAGAGCTACTGGCCTCTATGTCATATCTGTGATGAGTTACTGTCATTTCCCTCTTATACTGGAACAGTGAAGAGTCTGGGCTCGCAAAGACATCCTGGAAGGGACTGACATTCAGGAAGGTACTTCAGTTTTCAAGTGCTCCTTGCAGCCATGAGCTGTCCAAGCTTTCCAATTGCTTTCATGCCTGGGGGCAATTGCATTCTTGCCTCTTTCTGAAGCATCTGAGGCTCCTCCTGTATAGCTCTGTCCCACTTCCAAGGCAGGACAGACCCTACCCTTTACCCACTTGTGCCTTGGGGATGAAATACAGACACGGCTAAAACAGCAACTCTGAACTCCCACAACCCTGACAGACTCCTCCTTCTGTGACAGCAAACACTCCCACGAAAAGATTGAAGAATGCAATCAAATAATAATTAGGACTGTCAGTCTAATTACTGCATACATTTTCTAATGCTAGTAGTGATACGAAATACTAATTGTCTTCTGTGGAATGAATATTTAAACTTGTCAGAGAAGTGAGGAAAAAAATGCCAACTGCAGATACATGAATATTGTAACATTTTAATTTTTAAATAATATGGCACCCTATTAATAAAAAGGCACAGAATCTGTACATGAAAAAATACAAAATATATGATCACAGTGGTCTCAGAGCACAGCATTCAAATACAGTTACAACCTCCTCAAAACAGACTTGAATAATATAAAATATTAACAAATACATGTGGTTATTTTAATTAGCTTTTTCCTGTTCCTCTTTTTTGGATTCATATTTATAGGATTCTTCGAGTCAACTAGACAAGTTAACTCTTTTTGAAGTGTAAAATAATATTCTCATCAATTTAGAGAAATTCAGGAATATCAGCGTCAAAAATATCTAAATTTGTGAAAATTTGCAGCACTGCAATCAAAGGAGCTTCTGAAGGTATTATTACATGTCAATTTACATTTTTCACTTTTCTGCTGAGCAAATGTGATAACACTGTCTCACCAAGGAAAAGACTGCAACAGGTTGTAAATATTTAACAGTTTGGAACTGTAGCCACACTCAAAGTTAAACTAAATAAATTTAGAAACAGTGAAATGCTGAAGTTACTCCAGGGTGTAAGGCTAAGTATACAAGTATATGGTAAAGATCTGGACTAACAGCTGTCATTGCAGAAGAGACTGCAAAAGTAACAGGCAAAGCCTATTATAAACACAGTGTTAAACAGTAAATTAACTAGAATAACATAAAATCAGAGATCAGAGGACGTGGTTCACCTACTTCATCTCTTCATGTCATCTCCTATACTGCAGCTTACAACAACAATAAAAATACAAGAATAGTAAATCAGTACCTACTATATACAATAAATAACCTTTCTGTATAAATTATGAAAATACAGCTATGGCAAAATCAGTGCAAAAATGACCAAAATGTAGTAAAGGAACACAGTGCCCTGCCTGCCAGAATGTGCATCACAGAAAATCCATACTTCACCTAGTGCAACAAAGCACTGACAAGAATTAAAAAATGCAAGATGCACATCACTGACTGTGCCATTCTAAATCTATTTCCAATATCAGACAAATCAGATTAAAACAACACGTTATTTGAACCGTACACTTGATTCTTCCTCATCATTTTACTGAATTTTAAATAACTTCCTCTTCCCTAAATGAATGGAAGTTGCTCTTATGAGTCCATCTTTGCACAAGCAGTCTTTTTAGAATTAAGAAAGTTCTTTTTCTTTTTTCTTGGAAAATTATGCAAAGAAAGTATTGGATCACTTGGCTCACGGAATAAAAGTATCTTCTCCCCTGTGTCTAACAGCTCTATGGCTTCAGCAGCTGCAGAGCTCAGAGAAACAGGTGGATCAGGCTGCTCCACAGGAGGATGTGCGGGTGAGCATCCCAGATGTATGAACGCTGCTTTTTCCAAGACAGCAAGTCGCTTCTTCTTTATCAAACTACATTAATGAGAAAAATTGAGATGAAAAGTGAAAACTGAGGCAAAAAATGCACAACTTCCTATACCATACCTTGCCACTGAAGTGGTGACTTTGGAAGCTAAAGAAAATCATATCTCAACAGAGAGAATTGTAGTTTTCATTTTAATCCCCAATAATTCACGTATCATTTTCTGAGATACAAAATTACAAAAGGAAAGGTAACCTCATAATAAATAAATATAGGGAAGATGAGCAAAAGATATATGTGAAAAATGTGAGAATTTTGTGGATATGTACAGAAAAATCTTTTTTCGTATTTACTAAACTGGTTATTATGCATAAATATGTGGCAGGAAACACAAGCACTAGATAGAACAGTGTTAGAAAATGCATACTTATGAACTAATTTTCTGATTTCTAACAGCTGTAAGAAGAATCTTGGGACATTAAATAAACTATAAACAAAAAAAAAACTGGATATATTTCTTCTGATTTTCCTCTTACCTTTCTTTTCTCTTGTTTAGAGGCGGGATCATTTCTAAACTTCTGTTTATCAGCTCTTGCCTTATTTTGTTCTCCAGCGTTTGCCACAATTCTTGGCTCTTCCTGAAGGAGCAGGAAAGAAAAATTCCCAGCAGCAAATCCCCAAATATACACATTTTTCTTCCCTCTCTGATTTTAGCTACCAAGCCCATGACAGCAACAGCACAAATGCAGTCAGTAAGAGTGTTCAAGTCCTTTTGCTGCCTTGCCACAAATAATTTAAATCAGTTAAGATGACACCTCAGGGCATGGTACCAAGGACTCTTATCTGTTCCTTGAGAACCCACATCTGCCAAGGACTCGGCTCAGTGCTACAACATCTGCTTTTGTCTCTTGGCCAGGTAATGGCAGAGAGTTGGGAGAGCAGGTCCAGGAGCATCCTGGTGTTGGTGTTACTGCTCAGATTTCAGTTCATGCTAATGGGGCTAAAGAGGAGTCACAAAGGCCCTGAGAGTCTACCAGTCTATGTGAGAAAAGGGAAACTCAGGGCCCACTTGGGACTTCAGTAATTAACTACAAAGGGACAGACATCTGCAAAGGTTGCAACTTTCACTATTAGGAAGAAGGATCTCTTTTACATCTTTAAGAGCTACAGACACCTAAAACCCAGTGTGCCATGAACCTTGTAAAAAAAAAAGGTGGAAAGAAAATATTTTAACAAACTCCAATTCAGGCAACAGAAAGAAAATTACCAGAACAGGATTTATAAACCTATGAAATAACTGTTTAATTAATGAACTTATAAAATTATTTTAACTTTTTATCAATAAATTTATTATAGTTAAAATATTCCACAAAATAAGGTAGCAGTTTTAAAGGATTTTTACCCCAGAAAAATAGTTCAAAAGGCAACTTGTGCACCTGTGATTTTTTCTATAGCTATCAATTTCATTGTCTAGGAAACAGATATACACATAAACCAACAATCTTGTCTTGCAGTGGTCGACACGAAAACATCACACCTACCTTTTCTTACAGCTGCCAGACTCATCTGCATTACTGTCACTTTCAACACCACCATCTGAATATTTACTGATGGAATCGAGGACAGAAAGAACCTCACTTTGTGAGCTGGAAGGCAGCAACAAGTTCAGAACCCTGTGCAAGACCCCCAGTGGCACCCTCGTCAGTTTAGCTAAATAACCTGCCAGACGGAGCTCCTAGAGGATTAAACGAGTAGAAGACAGAAAAATTCAGCATAGAAAAAAAAAGTTATCCAATCTTAGTTACTATTAAATAGTCATTATGGAAATAAAAAATATTACTGAAGATTGTATTCGTAGTGACAATTTCAGTATCAAGTGGTCACACTTCCATGTTCACTGTTTCTACCCACAGCAGCCCATGAATATCATGGTTGTCCATTTCATTTGGGATTTTGGCAATGTAAATGCTAAATAACCACTCGATCTTGGCATATTTGCTTAGGGTATGTACTTGATGCCCTTTGGTTTGAAAAAATCACAAGACAGTTACATTCTAAGGATTAACTAATTTATGGATTCTACTATTATAAGGAAATAATTTCAAAATAGCAAGGAAGCAACATGGCATTTCTTGGTCTGTAAAATTATGGATGGAAAAATAGACTTGAAAAACTTTACACATTGTCCTGGTTGATCACTTCATTGTTCAGCTTCTCTTAACACCAGATTCTGTGATAAGCTCAGAGAACAGCTTGTTAAGAGGTGAAGGAAAACACCTGCTTTTCTTTTGGGAGTATGTTTTTATTTTGAAACGTCCTGCCCATATTTTCCCCAAAGGTCAATAATAAAGCATATTCATATAATGTTCAAATAGACTGAGTTCAAATTTAGTTGTTCCATAGACACTCATCCAGTCCCATTTCCTGCCCCACCCCAAACACCAAAATTCCATTGCTATTTTCTGCTCTGTTGTCATAAATAGAGAGCCCCCAGACACTGCAGACCTCTTGTGTGTGTCAAATATGAGAAGCCTACAATATACTGAGAACTGTGTGGAATGAAAAGAGTAAGGCAAATGATACCAAGTTAAATGTCTCAAAGAATGCCAGAAAAAAAGCTGCTGCTGTCTATTCAAGCCATGCATGTAATTCAGGTAGCTGAAGGTAGGTAAGACATGCCAAACATGATGACTCGTGGCAGCTGAGTTATCAGCACTCTGCAGACCCTCCTGTAAGTGTTGATGGAGGAGATGACTACAAAGCTAATGTCACATAAAACCCCACAAGGTCCCACCATGCAGGAAGACAGCCAGGTTCTTTGTCCACAGTAGTTTCAAAAAGTCACAGCAAATGTTTGCCTCCTTTTCTGAATGACAACTTTTCATTGTGTGAATTCACCTAGGAGATCCCTGGATTACCTGAATCTTCTTCTTTGAAAGAAATAAAGCATCACCAGCAAGGCGGCATTAAGCCAAATTTAGACAGCCACACAAAATAAAGAATTCAATCAACCTCCTTTTCCCTTAATTGTCCTTCAAGCAGAGAATTCTCTCCAAAAGGTAAGAAAACTAGTCACTTTCCAAAGCTTTCTGGCCTCTTCAGTGTTGGTACAGATTTTACATGGAAACCACTGAGATCACACAGAATTAACAAGACAAAATCCTAACACTGATGAGAGATTAGTAAATTTGTACAGCTCTTAAAGGATTTTCATCCTGACTCAGCACCAAAGCTGAACACCAAAGAGATGTTTGCTCAGGCTACTTAGTGAAAGAAATTATTTGATTCTTCTTTGCAGAAGAATGCAAGTAAGCCTATAAATCTTAATACAGACACCTAAGTCTAATTTCTATAGATGCTGTGTTGTACTTCTGGTCTTTAAATACTGCTCTTCTAGAAACTTACAAAATGCAACATTAAGTGAGAATAAACATGATAGATCTCTGAGACCTATTCTGCTCTCTTTGGCTAAATGTTCTCAGGACCTTTAAACCAGTTTTGAAAACAAGTATGAGTAATGATACTAGAAAATTTAACTAGCACTCCTGCTATTATTAATTTTGAAACATAATCAATGCAAATCATTCTTAATGCTCATTAAAATCTAAACAAAACCCTTTTTTCATTACATGAAAATCCAACTGTAAATCCGTCTGTTAACCAGAAAACCAGGCACTTCAGCTCTCCACAGAATGAAATGCAACAGAATGAAATGAAATGCAGATCCTGAAAGGATCTGTAAATGAACAAATAGAAGTATAACTCAGTAAAATTCAAATGGCTGAATGTGGCTCAGAATTAGCCGATGTGGTTGACAGTATAGGCTGCAAACTAGTAGCAACTACTAGCAGAGAGTAACTCTAAATACATCTAATGGTTCCCAAAAAGAAGAAAAGCTGATATCCAGATACAGCTGTAATTTACACTTGGAAGCTTTGTTCAATTTCATACTTACCTGACTATAAATTGCCAAAAATGCATTTGTTTCTATATTTTCCAGGAGATCTTCAAGTACCACACAATTCCATTGCTCATCTCTCAAGCTGAAGTGAAAGACAGAAATAACACTGAAATCTTCCTATGTACAAGGACTGTATTATAGGAAACAAAACTGGAAGGTCACCCATTCATGAAGCATATCTGTCTGTCAGCAAATTTGCTGCGAGCAACCTAACTTCTGAAACATGCCAAATTCTCTTCCTGTCTTCCCTGAATACCCAAACAAACATCAGAGCAGAATCTAAGACTATGCTCATGCACTCTATTCAAATCTGGAATCACTCCAAAGCAATGTGATTCAACCTGTCCCCATGCTCTTCCCTCCTTTTTCAATTTCATCACCACACTTTAAGGCAGGTTGTGGATCTTTTTGTAGCTGAAATATGATATTAAACAGTTAACTTCCTCATTGCTGGTGATTATTTTTCTTTTCTAGACCAAAACATGATGACATAATGTAAAAATCCTGCAATGTACAAAAGTACAAAACTTGTTTCTTCCAATAAGTTTTCAAGTGAAGCCTACTTGCAGTTTCTTTGAAGGCTTCCCTGGTAGGTTACCAGCTTGTGGATACTCGTGCAGAGATTTATCTGATCCTCTACTGACTCTTTACTTCTGCAACAGGAAAGTTGTTCATCTAAACTGAGTAGAGCTCTAGCTTTTTCAGAATTGAAACAGACTTACCACTATCACAGCCATTTTTAATATATCAGTGGTTTTATGGAAAACCCTTTTTAATGGAAAGCACACTTCAAGGACATTACATGAAGCTTGAAATGTGCTAGGCTTTTAATACTGTGCAATACACATGGAAATGTCATTTCTACCTCCTGTAACCCTAATAAAAATAATACAATAGGCTGCAATTTTGCAAATTATCACTCATTTTTTGCTAGGCAGCTATTATGACAAGACAGATATTTCTATATACTTCCCAAGAGGCATTTTATTTGTCGCTGATATCTTTACTTAAAAACTGGCCAGGGGAAATTGAAATTGAAGAGGAATTTATACATCTCATCAAAAATAATTGTGTGCCAGGGAATTCAGCCTACAGTACGACAATGGAGATGGAAATTCAATTTAAATTGTCTCAGCTATTTCCTCTGACCCCAGCAGATCATGTTGCTCTGAAGTCCCTCCCTATCTTCCTGGGAGACAAAGTAATAGGAATAAAATTATTTTCCTCCTTAATGATAAGGAGTATCAGTATTTTTCCACTATCCCTGTCAAAAAAATGATGACTGCCATGCAACACACAGCACCATTTATATGCTACTAAGTTATTATTATTTCATGTTTCTTATTTCAATATTCCCAATTTCTCAGTTAGGCTCTGGGCCACACAGCACAAGAAGGCAGCTCAAATACAGATGCATGGTCCCTCCCCAGTACAGCAGAACATTCCTCCTGCTGTTTCTCCAGAGCCTCTTATGGTCCATAAGAACTGCAGTAACATAGTAAAACCTGAGACCAAAGAACTTACCTTTGCTGGTACAGCTGTATAAATTGTTTACATTTATTCATGGCCCGTCTTAACAGAACTGTCACATGTCTTTCTGCATTCGTGTCCACAGATTCATTTGACAGTCCCAAACCATCCAGAATCCACCTCTGCCTACTCGTTAGATGCTGATGTGCTGTCTCCTTCTGCAACATCTCATACTCCAGCTTCTTTTCAAGTTCTTCAATCTCCTAGAGGTTGAAAATGCATGATGATAAGAAGTTAATTATAACTTGAAGGAAAAAAATTTCATTTGGAGTGAAGAAAAAAAGATGATGGTATCAGATTTTCTGATATTACTTTATTCATTTCTTTTTCTACTCAGCCACTTGCAGTCATTACACTTTTCAATTCATTGCACAGCTCCAGGAAACATGACTGGCACATTATGAATATCAGCACAATAAGGAAAGCTATGACTCAATTTTCATTGTGTTAAAAGTCAAAGAAACCTTCCACTGTAGAGGACATCCAGCAACTACACTGCCAGCATGGCTGACATCAAAACTAAGGAACCATTCAAATTCATTTGTAAGCTGCCTAAACCCACCGAAACAGCTTGAGAAACTCAGAGTAATTTTAGTTATACCAAATTAACAGCTAATATCAAAGGGATTTATGTTAAAAGGCAGTAATTCATAATTAGTCTGATAAAGATAGGGTTAAAATAAAATGCTCAAAAAATCAAAAAGTTAAAATCCAAAGTCTTCAGTGGACTGGATCCCCCATGCTATAGAGCTCACTTTGGCCAAAAAGTCAAACTGGACACCAGAAGGAAGGTTCCATATTCCCATTTCCAATGTCACTGCTGTCTTACCTCAACGTTTACATTGCTTACTATTTTGAAGCCCCTCTTCCTAACCTGCATCTTGGAGAAAATGCTGAATTTTAATCTATTCCTCTACCTCAACAGCTGTATTTAACCCAGTGCTAGCTATTCTCTTCTGCCCCTTTTTCAATCCTTTTTCTTCACCCGTTCAAGGGCAGAGAAGTTAAAAGCAACTTCTCTGAAAAGCCCCCTCACACGGCATAAAAGGCAACAATACTCTTCCTACATCCAACTTGCACTATTTCCTACAGCTCTAACACAAATTCAAGCAAAACTGGAGGCATAGAAGCATTCTATCTGCCACTGTATGAGAAACACTATAGAGATGACCACATTAAAATTTAACAAGGAATTTTCACAGCAGTAGCTGTCTAATGATGCCCTCTAGCAAAGAGGCTTTTCTCAAAAACCCATTTTGTTTGTTCTACTCCAGTGCTCTTCCCAAGCCTCACTTGGATGGTTTCAAATAGCAGATGCAGAAAAAAAGAGTCCTTGTGAAAACGGAGCACTGAAGTATTAAAAAAGGATTAGAAAATTGGCACATATCAAATATGTAATAAATATGGTGAAGGGAAGAGGTTTTTCCAGATTTTCTGCTATTTAAACTGCATGAGTGTGCTTGGAGTGAGATAGGTAGGAGGCTGTATAGATAATCTCTGAAAACTTGAGAGTTGAAGCATATCATGTGGTTATGGATTTTGCATATGGATAGGATTATAACATGACCAATTCTGTAAGACAGACACAACAGTTTACTCTTCCAGTCATGAGTCCAAATCACTTCTCAATTGTCTTTCTTTCAATCAATAAAATATTAAGTAGCCATCAAAATACTACCCTTTCTGACTTCATGCAACTATAACAAAAATATAAAATAATAATACATAATCTTCCTTGGCTCTCCTTCTCTTTATGCCTTTTACTGAATGCATTGAAGTGCACATAATCACAGAAATTAAAGTCTGGGCCACCAGAAGCTGCAAACCAGCAGGTAAAATCAAAGATACTCTAATTGTTGCTCTTTCTTAACAGGATTTTTTCTTTTAACAACTACATTACTTACAGGATGATGTGCTTCTAAAATTTGAATGCATTCCAGTTTTGACAGGGTTTTTGATGTGTTCAGTTGTTCAAAGAGCAAAGCTTGCACATTTATGATAGCAGTATACAGCTCCAGCATTTTGGATTTTTTAACAGTCTTTTGAAAGGCCAAAGAAGCACTATACTCTCCAAGTTTATTTTCCAGATTGCGCAGGTGACACTCTTTTTCAAGCTGCAACTCATACTTAATCTATTAAAAAAACCAACAAAAACCAAAACACAAAAGATAGATTAACAGAAACTCTTATATGCACACTTACGATTTTAGTACTCTGTAATTAACAAGCAGGATTATGACAGCAAAGAAATCAGTGCTGTTATCTTACAATATAATACACTGTTTCAAGAAGTGATTTTAACTTTCAATTCAAAGTTTTTACTGTAATAAAAAAAAATTAAAGTACAGTCAAACACTGTAAAGATACCAGGCTTTCTTTTTGGGTAGTCTAAAGTTTAATATTAAATGCTAACCCAAAACAGAGGGTTTATATAACTTTATTATAATAAAATTAAAAGCTAGAAACACAAATAAATCTGTGGTTACCTATGGTTAAATGGAAAGATAAAATATGCCCTTTTGCTTAGAAAAAACATGGAGCTTATAGAAACACTGTATTTAGTTTCAAATTGGGAAGTGTCAGTTAATGCTGACTGATGACATTCAACCTACTATTCTTTGAGCAAATAATGAAATATCTTCTTATATAAAACAGAGTTAAACTGTATATCAAAAGTCTATTGGCAATAGATTTCAAATAAGATTAGAACTGGATTGGATCAACATCAAACAGCATAAAATCAAAGTGATTTAATTCAGTAACTGTGTTGCCGCCACACAATTGATGGCACATCCACAGGAACTATTCAAGGGTGAAAAGCAAGTGCAGGCACATGATCCAATGCAATGTGATGAGCTCTCCATGCTCTGCCACTGCCACTGACAACCAAGGATACTGCACTGTGACTATTTTTCTGTGGGACAATGTGTATAGCAGCCAGCTGCAATTACCTTCTTTACCTTCTTCCATCTGAGCTTGTCACTCTAAGCTCCCTTCACACGCAAAGAAAAGAAGATACTTCTCAGTAGGTTTCCTATCTTAAAATATGGATTTCCACCAACATGCAAGGTGGATGTCTAGGTTAGACACCGATGGCTACACTGCATATCCAGCATTTAGGTAGCTGAATCTTCAAAAGACTACAATAAGCAATTACCAGTTTGATTTTATTCTCTCTCCCTGTACTATTCATGTGGGCCCAAAGAGTTGGATTTTAAGACAGAAGACACAGACAGAGAAAGCACATGAAGCCCTGAGAGCTCCAACTCCACTACTTGGTGATGATATCACCTGCTGCCACACATGCCCATCCACATTCTGTTGCATATCAGAGTCCAAGGTTTTTCCTCACTCCATCTCTAAATTCTCTCTTCATCCTGACAAATCTAATCTCATAGGTTTCACAGCACACCAAAAAAACCCAAACCAATCACAACCATTTTAAGAAATCAGCATTTTCAGAAATTTCCAGTACTATGCATTTTAACAGCAATGCTCAAATAACTACTGCCTGTGACAGAATGGAAGAACCACATTCATCAAAGGAGGAATGTCTAAACCTTTTAAAGTTTTGGTCAAGTTTACTACCACCATGGCCTCTGAGAGCAGATACTCATGTTTGCATTCTACTAAAAAGCATTTATCCCATCAAGTTTGGCCTCTTTCTTAAAGAACACGCAGATATGAGCTTGATTATGTGCTCTAACACAGCAGGCACCCCTTTGTACATGTAATTAATCTCCCCCATTTTAACTGCCTAAATATAATGAATACTTAGAGCAATTGCCCTGTTGGTGTGAACTACAACACCAGAAAGGTCATCTGTAGTCCTTAGACACTGTATGACTTCCCACTGGCACAAAACCTGACTCTGGCCAGAATATCTTTGCACAAATCAAAATTATATGTACTAAAAACATTAAAAACCTTATCAGTGTCCTGTTCATGTTTATCACAATTATTTATATGTATATACATCATTGACTCTACTTATGATTAGTTTTTGATTTATTTTAAACAAGCATTTAAGAATACTTCAATCATACAGACATATTTAGAACCTAAGATTATAAATATTTAATATGATGCCCACAAATTTTCCCTGCTAAAAGTGCTTGTGTATCATACAAATTCTATTATCTAGTAGAAAACAGAAGTAGATAATAATCTAGTGGTGCTGGTGTGGAGGTACCAGCATCATAAAGTCACCCCAGGACAAAGAGGAAAATGTAAAATGTGATTTGGAGCCAAATACACTTGTGATATTCTCTTGCTCATGTGCTATTCTCCGTATCTCTCCTGGAGAAGGGTCAGAGAACACCTTCCTGCAGCCTTTCAGTACTTAAGGGGGAAAGATGGGAATAAACCACTTAGCAAGGCCTCCTGCAATTGTTTTAACTACAATAGGGTAGATTTATACTAAATTTAAGGAAGAAATATTTTAGAACAGTTAGAAATATTTAGTCTTTTAAACATATTTATTAATACATACTTTAAATTAATATTAAATTAATATAAATATTTTAAAATAGAAGAAATATTTTACAACAAGGGTGGTAAAACACCTTCAACATTACACAGCAAATGAACTCCTCTTAAATAAAGTGCTGCATCCCTTAGCTGGTATTACTCTCTACCCCTAGCCACATGAGTTTCCTTCTGATTGTTGCCAGCTCTGAAATCAGCCATACAATTAGAACAACAGCTATGCCAGATGGTGCATATAAAATTGGAACAAAGAGGTTTAGAGAAGCTAAATTCCCAATTTTAAAACAAGATTCTAATAAAAATGTAAGACAGTATTTACTGCCTTACATTTACTAAACAAGTATTCAGTACTTTTTTGCCTCTAAATCTTAGCCCATAATCTGATATGCAATCAAAGAAGAGTACCAAAACCATCTCAATGTTGAAGATCAGGGCATGAGTTATTGAAATCAAAAATTCAATGCCTCTATTAAAGGATTAGAATATTCTCAGACCACACTTATCAAACTACTGAAGAGTGCTAGAACACACTTGCCTTCTTGTTGCAGTCTTGCCCAAGCACCTGCTCTCGCTTTCAAAAACTAGACTAGACTAGATAAACATTTGCTTTTTTCATCTGCAACCAAATCAAACAATGTGTTGGTCGCACATAAAAGTGAAACTATTTCTGAATTAACATGCTGATCCAGTATTTCTCATTTTTCAGGATACAGGTATAAAAAGCTAAGAAATTGGTGTAAAACGAGCTTTTTGCCCTAACTGGTACAAAAATGATCTTGTAATCACTTTTGAAACTACTTTTTTATCTACCAATTTTATTTACCAATGACACCTGCTTGTTGTGCATAGTTTCTACTGAAACTATGTGTTTAACAAACATATCATTGCAGTGTCCTCCTGACATGCAAAACTACTATTATCCATGTTGTACACATGTGAAAGGTCTCTTGGAACATCTACTAGCAGGGAAGTAAAAAGCCTTCAAAATCCCGTATTAAGACTGGCCCCACTAATTTCTCAAGAATTAACTTTAGACTGTGTGGGGCTGTGTGTTTTTAAAAGGTATCCACCAGAATCAAGACTTCCTTTCAATTAGCTCTGTACAAATAAACTCAGACCCTGCCCAAAAAGCTTTTGGATCTAAGGATCTACTTTTGGATTTTCAGCAGGATTAGCAGATGTCCAGTAACTAAACGCTGCTCAGCTGAAGCATGCATTGAAACACCTCCCATGTTTTGAAAGTCTTCCTAAAAAGCCACAGGATCTAGGGGAGCCTTGCAATCTTGCACGGACCAAGCCCCAGAACCATTGGAAGAAAAAGGGGCAAGACATAAAACCAGTTCTGTAACTAAGGTGCAAAAATTACAACAAAGCAAAAACTATTAAGGGTGAAATACAACATCTTGATAAATGCAGGCAACAATAATGAGATGCATCATTCCACTATACCTTACACCTTTTTTCTCTGTTTCTTATTCACATTGATAGAATACTGTCAATCTTTAATTACTAAACATCTAGGTTTTGACCTCAATCCAAAAAAGATTATACTTACCTTATTCAAATTTTCACCTTTCACCGAGTCTTCATAAATTACAATTTTGTCCTGTAAAGATTTCTTCAGAATATCTAACTTATTTCTATTCCTGGATCCCGTTTTCCCCGTTTTAGAATGCTGCTGTAACAAGATGAGTAAAGATGCTTTATTTGTAAGAGGTATATGAGGATGCTAATGTTAAAATTATTACTTGGCACATCCACAAAATAATGAAACACTTGGAAATTATGACTTTCACTAAGAAAGTAGATGTGAAATGGAGGTGCTGCCTATTCATTCAAAACATTCATTTTGGACATTCAGACAAAGTTAGAATTTTAAAAAAAAATCTTTCAAGTAGAATTATATATTTGTCCTTTCCATGAAAACTTGTAGCATATAAATTTGATTTTAAACAAGCTTTAGCAGTGATAATAAGAGAAGATTTTAACTGATACGTTGTCTCCTCAGCACAGTTAAAAATGAACAAAGAATATTAATTTAAGATTTACATTGTTTTCAACACACAGTCTGTGAATCACAAATGAACCATGATAATATTAAGAAGCACCGTTCCATGTAATCAAATTACTCTTGACCTTTCCATTTCTTTACAAGAATACCAAATAAGTATATGTACTCTCGGGGAAACGATAACATCTGTTCAACTGTAAGGTTTTGCAAAGTCATTTCCCTCCTTTAGTACTTTAGAAACTATTAAGGCTTTGAACTAAGCTAATTAACCCAGTGTAGTTTACATGTTTAGAAAACATAACCGAACCAAAACAAAGCAAGGGCAAGCCCTCTTTTTTAAGATGGCATCAGACAGAACTAATATAGGAAACATTTTTGGCCCCCGTACTTTATAAAAACTGAAAACCACTTATATTTTTCACTTTACTGAAGGAATTAAACTCCCCTCACAGGGTTCTTTAAAAAGCGCTAGATTTGATAGGCAGATAGACTCCTGGTTGGAAATATTTCTCTAACCTTGAGTATGCCTCATCTTCTACATATTTAGATGTGGGGAAACAACCCCAAACTGTCTGCATACACTTAAATCTCTTGGAAAGAAGAAACAGAAATCATGCCAAATTTCTTGCCAAGAAAGGCCATCTAACTCAGGAATTTTACTTTCCTAAACAGACAAAACAATGTAGAAGTTTCTTTTTTAGAAACTCCCAAAACTTTCACAAAAGCAACAGAAATACACAGGTGTATGTGAAAAAAAACCTATTTATCCAACTGCTGCCCAAACAATTATCTTTAAGTCCACTAATCCATGCAGACAGGTAAAGTATACACTGCTTTTGCACCTATGAAGAAGCTACAGACCCAGATCTGCAGCCAGCAGCCACAGGTAGCCCCAGGAACCCCTCCCACATCTCCACACTGATCCCATGCTGGTCCCACCTGTTCGTTGGTCATTGCTAAATTCTGCTCAACTTTCAGCAACTCGGTGTCCCTCTGCTCCACTTCAAAAGCCTGAAGCAAGGTTCTGGCTCTTATCTTGGGCCATGCCAAGCTGCTGTCCACCTGGGAGAAGCAGCAGTGCAACTCCTGCCTCATTCTAAGCAACTCCTCTTCTGAGAGTGAGAGGGATACACCTAGAAGTTGCCTGTTAAAAAAACACAAGAGCCATTAGCTGTTTAGTGATTTAGGCAATATTGCATAAAATGTAAGAGACATGCATACAAACACTCTACTCAGCAGTGGTCATCATTTCATATATCAGTTAGTGATTCCACACACGGCAATGAATTGCTCAGCATGTAAAAAAAAAATTCTGTGGATACCTTAAATTGTGCATAGAGAGCTTCCTAGAATGTAAAACTTCATTTTCAAAGGAAAACAGCTTTTGAATATTTTTTTAAATAAAGTAACATTTTTAACACATTTCCTATGCATAGAATCCTTCCACCTCTTCAGACAATACAATCCCTAAATTTCAGCTGAAATCAAGATAAAAGCTTCCCATAAAGCCTCTCTGTGCTGTTTTGCAGCACTTAGCAGTCACAGCTACTGAGAAAGAAAAAAAAAATTCCCCCTATTATAAATGCATATGCCATATCTTCAGTCAAGAGATAACAATGGTTCCAGCTGTTAACTACAAAAAGGTACTTTGTAGTCTGAAAAATGCAATATATTTTAAGAGTAATTTGAATTACTCAAAGTTCCCATTTTGTAGAAATAAGGTTCCCAACACAGATCTCTATGGAACTGATCATCAGGTAAAGCTAAAGCTGACTTAAAATTAAAGCATGCTCAGCTCTGATTAACCATAGACTACACTCATCCTCTTAACTTGTTTGTCTTATTTCCTTAAGAATATATCACAAAAAATAACATATTTGTTTGGAAATTTCTTTTACTCCACAAACATATACAAACAAAAAATGTTTGTATTTAAAACATGAACAGCATGTTTTTTTAAAGAGCACTTTTCATTGAAAAATGTATTATATTGCATGTTTTATTGGTACTGGTACTTTTATTTAATGCACACCAGACCCATACTACATCATAATTTCACTAAAATATTTGAGTTTAGAAATCCTTTTTTCTTTCTGCTGATTCAGCAAAGAACAGTTAATACACTTTTAATGCATGAGGTTTTGCCTTTCAAAAAGTTCTTTAGTTTAAGACAAGACTACTCCAAATGATTATTTATAGTATACTCAACCATTTGTCATCTTGTCTTAGACTCATGGAAGAAAAACTATGCTATAAATCTACACACATAGATATACAGAGAGAAATATGAAATAAAATACAGCAAATAGAGTTTTGCTATATGTCTATATTTAAAAAGGACTGTAAGCATTAACAATCTTCAGAAATATTTTGGACTAACCCATGGTCTCTTTAATAAGCAACAAAAATGAAAAGCTATCATTCAAAATAATGCTTTGTGAAAATTAGATAGCAGATGAGAACATAAACATGAGAGCTGGCATCTGTCATCAAAATGCCATAACTGACATACAATGGACTGGAAGAAGACCGTGATGGATTTTAAGGGGCTATTGATAGGACAGTTTTTGCTGAATTTTTTTTTGTATCTATTTTCCTGCAATTTACTGAAAAAAAACCCCAAACCCAAACAGCATACTGCTGCTTCAAATAAAGATAGCATCTAACAAATATGACAGGCACACTGCAGGTTTGAACAGAGTTATTATGGAATCCTAAGTTAGAAACCGTAAAGTCCTGCTGGGTCATACAATCTACTTCCATATTCCTGCAGGTCTGCTCTTGACAATGTAAAAAAGAGATAGTAAAGACAAGCTAGAAAATGCATATAAATGACTCACAGAAAAGTATTTAAAATGCTGAATAAAATACAAAGCCCTTGAAATTAGAACCAAAATAATGGAAAAAAAAAAAGGAATTTTCTTCTTTAGCAAAGTAAATATAATGGGTAAAGTTTCTTTTTATATCCTGTTATATGCTTTTACAACATGTGGTAGGAAAACTTATTCTGTCTGGATAAAACTGCCCATACAAATCTATTTTGCTTTAAAGAAGACGCATGAAGGAAAAACTTTTACCAGTGTCTTTTTTTTTTTTTTTCTTTTTTCTCCCTCCCTGTTCAATCTGTTATGCCTGGTACATTTTCTCCAGAGCCACACAGCTTATTATAGGTTTTCTTGTTCCAGTTGCTTCCCCTAAAGCTGCAATTTTATTTTTTCATGTTCCCATGTCTCTAACAATGTCTCCCATTAAAGAGACATTGTATAGGAAATGTAGTACTGCAAATATTCAGGCAATCAAACAACCAGACATAAATGTACTTGAAAGCTCAGAGGAAATGCTCATGAACATTCCCTGATCTCTCAGGGACCTTGCTGCCTGCTGTGAGAAGCACAACTACTCTTGGCCACAGCCATGGGCTCTCTCTGTGCATTCTCCCACCCATGGCAAGGCCACCACCTGCTTTCCCACCTCCCAGGGTCACACTGTGGCAGGCATTAATGGCCATAACACTTGCAGGGGCCACAACTCCCTGCTGCACTGCCTGTGTCCTGATGCCTGTCTGGCTCAGGGCTTGGTGCCAGGGACACTCAGTCCACAGCCCAAAGCAGTGAGTCTGACACGTGGAGCCATGAGCTGGACAGGCAGACACTGCTCTGTGTACTAAGGGACTATGTGGAAATATTATGCCAAAGCTTAAAACAAACCTGAATGAGTAAGGCTTGATTTGTGGCTAGAAAGACTATATTGAACTCATACCTGGGACCAATTAGGTCTGACATATTAACTGGCATTTCCAAAGTGAGGGAGCTCAAAGAACAGAGAATAACAATGAAAGATGTTCCTGCACCCATGGAATGAATGGAAGTATAAAACCTTTATTCCACGTTTTTAGCTTCAAGACTGCTGCTTCCTAGTATTTCCACTGCAGTGCTCACCCACTGGTACTGCATGGGCTGAGAACTTGGATAAAAAAATCAATTCCTAAATTCCAATTTAGGAATTAGGAATTACAATTAGGAATTACACCTGGACAGGTGTGAAAACTCCCAGGTCTCTTCTATTTGCCATAGTAACTAAGAAAAAAGTGCACAGTGATACTTGCATGAATATTGACTGCTCCCAGCTCCTTATTTTCTTTTGTTCCGAGATGCCTGTTTCCAGCTCTTGGCTTAGCTTCTGCCTGGTGAGCTGAAGCAGCTCTTCAGCAGCCATGTTCTTGTCATGTTCTTCCCTTTCAAGCTGTGTGTGTTTAATTACCATCTCTTTTTTGTGCTCCTCCACAGCTTCTAGGAGGAACAACTTTGGCACATGGAGCTTGACCAGCTCTTGCACAAACACTCCACACTGAACACGTTTAAGCTCTTCAACAGCTTTCTCTGCTAGGCTAAATAGAAGCTCCTTCAGCTCTTCGCTGGCCTCATTGTCAAGCTTTTCAGTAAGCTCTTCAAATTCAATGGTGCGATCACTCAGAAGATTTTTCCAGTGTCTCAGGTAATGAGAGATGTCATCAGTAGTTTTGAAGGGGTCTCCAAGTGACAGCTGCTCCTTCTGAAGCTCTTTCTGCTGATTCATTTACGAAAAAGAGGAACAAAGTTAAGAAAAAAGAACATCTTGAATTCTAGCTCCCTAAGTATGAATTTCACAGCAATGCAAAATTTCATACTTTTGCTTTCCCATGTTCTTGAAACTGCTTTTCACTGTCCAGAGTCTTACCCAGCCCTCAAAAGATTGGCTTTGTGAGTACCTAGGAGGTCTGTGATAACTCTGACTATTGTTAGATACAAGGGCTGTGATAATATGAACTGTTGCTAGACAAAAGAGCTAACACCTAAACAAACGCATCATAATGTGGTTTAACATAATCTTAGCTAGCTGAACTTCAGTGATCTGGCAGTATTCCAGAAGTGAATCTGGATCAAATAGCAAAGAAGGAAAAGAATTTTAAAAAATGACCAAAAGGTTTTTTTTGGTTTTTTTTTTAATTTTCCCCATCTTGCATTTCATTAGAAAGCTAAACCAAATCTACCTACACTGAGAATAAATATAACAGATTATGTCACCATCTCCAGGTCAGCTGTCTATGCTTACACTGGTATTTGTTAAAGAACACAAAGCAGTGAAACACATCCCGCAAAAGAGAAGATCCGCCTCACCTAACCTGGGTCATCCTAAGAAGTATCTTTTAGGCAGAAAAAGTAACTTTGAAGCATACCTTCTGACAACAACTCCCTGGCAGATCACCTGCAAGTCCCCTTACGTTATGAGATTACTTGTTTCTTTTGGAGTTACCTTTGCTTTTTATATGGCTGAGGTGACATGAGCTTTACCACAAGCAACCACAGGTAGAGCATCTTTTAAATAGCTTTGGTTTGTAGTTGAATTTTAACTGTGCTACTGAATTCACTCAGGTCACACACGGCCAGGAAACCCGCAGAAAATAGTGACTGTCACCTGAGCCGTCTCGCTCACCAGCTCCTGAACCTGAGCTGGCTTTTGCCTCTCTGCATGTTTGCATGTTTGCCATGACCCCCTTTGGACACATTACACTAAGCAGAGGAGCTTCAGAAGTTTCTCCAGCTAAGCTGAAGTTACTTTCTGCAGGCTTTTTCTGAAAGAACAGCTATGAATTACTGCATGACTAATACAGAACACGGTGGTACACGGCTGAGACCAACTGGCATTTATTTTAAACCATGCTCCTGGCAGCGTTGACTCCTGTTGTAAGAACTACAATTTATTTTTCAATTAATTCAATTTCTAACTCATGATAAGCCCTATGAAAATAAAAACATTGACAATAATTACCTTTTGCAGCATTTCCCGCCTTCGCTTGGTAATGAGTTTCTGGCAAAGCTTCTGCTTTTCTTGTTTTAAATCATGATCAAATTTCTGTTTAACAAAATTAATTTCAGCCTCAGCTCGGTCCAGCAGGATTCCCAAATGACTTTCAGGTAGATGACCTGCTCTGTAATAACAGTGTTTGAAGGCTGTTATCCCAAATTCTTGAGAGCAAAAGGATAGCTGAGGCAATTAGTATCATAAAAAGGATCAGCAAAATAGACAGAAAGAACAGTCTTTGTTTCTTTAGCAGTGATACCTGGAAGAATCAAGGAAGGGGATAATCAAAGGACAATCCCAGAGATGAGCACAGAATTAAGGCAGTTTGTGAAGGTGTATGGAAAAGAAATGAGAAGAAGAATGGACGGATGGGAAGGACAGACAGAAAGGAAGGACTGGAAGGACAGGCAAGTGAAAAACCAATTACATATCAGTTTGTAATGTAAGTGATGTTCAAATTAGACATTTTAAACCTTATATATTATGCATATTTAATTTTTTTCATATCATGACACTGGAATGCCATTTTATTCTCATTAAAAACATATCTCTCTTTAAAGTATGTAATAAAGTAAAAAGAAAAATTATTTTTAGTAGACAAAGCAATATCCACAAAATACTTATATTCATACTCCCTATTAAATTTACATCAGAAGAATTATAAAAATTTCAAAATAATAGCAAAATTCAATTATCTGAAACAGCAAATTGTCAGTCATAAGCCCACAGTGCTTTCAAGTGGAAGTTCAAGTCTATGGTCTGCCTCTAGTTCCTACAGTATTTAATGTCAAAGAGAAAACAAGATCTCAACAGTGCCTGAAACAGTTAAAAAAATCTCCCCCTCCACAAACTCAAATTGAATTTCAGGACTTACCTGTTATTACATTTACACAACAAGCTCCCCAAATCTTTCTTATTCAACAGAAGAATAAAAGAACATCTTAATTCAGACCAGGCTGTTGGACACTTGTGAGTTATAATTCTATTAATCACAGTGGACTTACAAAATGTGGTGTTGAAAAGGTCAACATGAAACTTTGAATTGAAAGCACCAATTCCTGACCTGAACCTGGATGTTATACAGACACCTTCTAATTTACCTATCCAATTCCCATTTTCTCAAATATTACAGAGTCAGGACTCAGATGAAGCCAGGGCTTTCAAGGTTTCATTCCAGTGTGATACCTGGCCAAATTCCTAAATTGAAGTCACATCTAAATGTGGTAAGCAAGCCCCTTTCCAGAAAGGAGAGTCTTATTTTGCTTTACTAGGATTTATTACTACTGTGACAACTTAATTCCAACCAAAATCCTCAAAATAAGAGCTAAAATAAATCAGATTATCAAATTACCTTGCTTGTACCCATTGCACTGTAACCAGGGTGGCCAGAACCCATAATTCACACCCTCATCTTTTGCTCAAGCATCCACAACTATCTGAGCAAGCCATGAAGCATCACTCCTATATAATGTATGTGCTGTATAGAAATTCAGATGTGCTCTATCACAGTTATGTCAACAAAAGAGATCCCCCTTTTGCAGAGCTTTTTCAAAGTCTATTGCATTTCTTTAATCTGCAAAGAGGATTAATATACCTTTCAGTATTTCAAGAGTAATCCACCAAGCATCATCCTTGGCCATGTAATTTCTGCCTTGAAACTAATCAATGTTAAAATTCAGTGTTATGTCAAAACCTCCCTAACAACACCAAGTTTTTTTTGGAAACTCTAAGTCCTCCCACTCCTTTTTGACTGAACCCAAGGCAAAAGATAGGCAAATAAAGGTAATTAATTATGGTGAGAAAGTGAGGAAAGATAATAACCAAGATATTATTTTTAACACCTTCATCCTTTCTTATACTGAGGAAATAAACCCAGGCTTGCTGCATCCAATTAAAATCCCTGTCCAGAGCAGTGAAAAGAGTCTGCAATAGAAAAAGATAGATGTGCTGGAACCACACAGCAAATGAAAGTTTAAGGAAAGTCATGCAACACAGAATGATAGGAAGATGATATATAGCTACCTATTTTTAGGATTAAAAAAAAAGAGTCTACAGTATTCAGTTAGTTTATTTAGAGATCCAGTATGTCCACAGCTAAAACTGTAGGTTATGCAGTATCCCACAACAAAAGCCTATGTCTGTTTATGTGCCAACTTATATTAATTGGCTCAATCCTGGCAAGACACCTTCATTTCTGGTTTCATATAAATACAATATAAAAACAATTATAGTATTAGGAATAAAAGATGTCCTAGTCTCAAAGGACTCCAAACAGAAATGCAAAACAAAAAGAGAGGAGAAAGTAATGAGACAGTATAGACTGTATGATAAAACTGCATGGTCTCAGCATACCAGAAATTTAATCACTGAAGAAATGTGCAGGCACATATCTTTGAACAAAGAGAATTTAATGAAGGAGAATACTGTGGTAATGCCAAGGATGTTTAAAGGGAGATCCTCCCAAAGGCAGTGAACACCAAGGAAGTTACAGAGGTGAAGTATGTAGCCAACAGCAGCAGTGTCACAGGTCAATCAGGGAGAAACCTTGACTTCTCTGTATTGAATGAAAGCCAACAAATTAAGGAGCAAATACAGAGCGAGAGCACTGAAGTAAAAAACTTTGATGTTACAGGGAACCAGTGCTCCAGGATGCTGGACCCCAGCAAAGGAAAATTGTTTCATGAAAGTTAGAAAAGGAACAGGAGCATCACTAAAGCAAAAGGGAGAGAGATATGAAGCAGAAAAGCTGCACAGGCCTAAATGTACATGGAGGCTGAATCACATCACTACAGAGAAACTACAGAGAAAGAACTTGCATGACTCTGCCCATGCTACTCTAGCTACATCAGGATTTCACCTGCTGAACTGGCATCTTGCTGTTGTCCAGATCACAATTCATGTAAATAATTCAGGGTAATACATTCCCTGCCCCCCCACCTATATATCACAGGGACAAGCAGAAAAGGTTTTAAGGATTCTTAGAAAACTTCATATTGATGCATTACTGCCGACTTCCACAAATGTCCAGCCTAGACATTGCTGGAAAACTACTTTCTATATAAATATAAATGGTGATTATTAAGAAGAACGAGACCAATATAAAGTGCTTGCTTTAATATTTTGACCAGTTTAGAAACACAAGATACAGGAAATCCTTGAGGTCTTAAAAAAAAATAAGTTTTGGGAGAAATTTATAAAGGAGCTTGCAAATGTTTGTACCTAATGAGTCAGCATAACTGAATTCAATTTTTAAGAGACTGAAGAAAGAAATTTCTTGTGAACAAGAAGATGCTGGCAAAAGAATAACACAATGATGATATTGTTTAAAACCATCAAGAACCTTGCACCTGTGCTGGTAGCAAGAACAACCCAAGATAAACACTGCCTCAAGTATTGCCCTTTTGCCCATTATTCTTTAAGAAAAAAAATAAAGAGCCTAGGTAGCCATCTCTCAAATCCATGATTACAGATTATATTTTAAATTCTTCTTTCCTGCTTTTTGGCACTACAGTCCAGACTTGATTTTCAAAAGACAGTGAGTATTCAAAAACTAGTCCAGACAAATGGGACATTTTATTTAAATACAGCTTGAAAACTCTGGCTACTTTATTTCATTTAAAATGTTCACAGCCCTCCCTAGAACTGGTCTGGGTTTATTTTTCTTTTTATAACATTCATTTCTAGCCACACAGAATCCTTTTCAAGTTAATTTGAAACTGCCTTGCTATTTGATAAATTTTAAACATACTATTAAAGCTTCATTTTTAGAAGACTTCTTCCCTCAATATCTATCTGCTGGTTTATCACTGCATCTATTTGTGGTATATCTAATCTATATCTTTTTTCTCTTCTCCATTTAAGTTTTGTATTTTAGAATTCCATTTATAACAGTAAGTTTAAGGCACTCTATTGTAAAGTGGACAAAATAGATTAAGACAGAGCTGTATCTGTATTTAGCAAGCAGATTCAATGGTAAAGTGAACAATAAGAGGATACCATGGTTACAAATTTACAGTACCACTCAGACTGGACTGCTCTTGATGCTCCAATTTTAGTGATCCAATTTGTAAACATTCCCAAAATCACTTTCTAGTTAGAAACTGAAATACAAGCCTATGTTATGCAATTATACATTTCTCATGAGTTATACTATGCTATTTCAGTTTGCCTGTAGAAAATAAAACAGCAGCAAATAAACTGAGATACTACACTCTGGAGTTTTATAATCACACCACCTAAAGAATATATAATTAGAGTTTGGCCAACATTTGTCTGAGAGGAATTACTGCAGCAGCAGGTGTGGAAAGTTACAGGACAATAACTAGTTCTAGGCCCAGAAAGCCAAATGGGATTGCTTTTCTAAAAATTATATCTCTAACTATTGGCACGTGTCCTTTGTCCACAGACAACCAGCCAATGCATACTCTGAATGTTTAATAGGAGAGTGCTAGAAAAATTAATTTTTAATTTTTGTAATAATACTTACTGCTTTTGGAAGTTTGGGGGATTTTGGAAGATTTTTTTTAATACATTTAATACATTTTTGGGGATGAGATCCATGAGGTCTTTGATTAACTAACACTATGCCTTTCCTTTCTGTTTTACAGTTGATTTGTTTTGTGTCTGTTAGGTGCAATAATAGGCATTAAACAATGGGTGAAACTGATTCTTTCAGCTCGAGAAGTCCCAGTTGTTCACTGCAATGGTCACACAGTGAGGTTCTCACAAAGGCTTTTCACATAACCACATCATCTGTGAAAACATCTCAGACCTTATAATACCATTCCAAAGAGAAACATGAACTGATGGAAGGGAACTCTCTGTGAAAGACATGTCTGAATTGTATTTCCTATTCCAGGACATTTTTGTCTTTGAGCCACACAGCTGCAGGCCTTACCAAAACAGCGCAAAACTACTGAAAGAAGCTCTCTCCAAACAATGAATCTGGAGGCTAAATTCAGAGTAATTCTAGCTAAATTTAGGATATGATTCCAATGAGGCAGAACACAGGACAATCAAAAAGAAAAGCAAGGAAAAGATACCTAAACATCCTGATAAATTATTTCACCACATCAACAGATGCAATCTTTGGTAGCTTGTAACAGACTTCCTGCTTCCTAATATGAACTTACTTTTAAATTAAGTTAACACTGTGGAAGAAAAAACACACCATAAAGATCGGCGTCCCTCTAGTTGTCTTAATGTACATTTCACATATTGTCAGTGACTGACATCAATTCAGACATCTCAAATAAACAAATAAAGCAGCATTCACAGGACCAACAGCAGCAGTGCTAGGTTGTTTTCCTCTACACTGACATCTTTTGCTGCTGAGGAGCTGGCAGGCTCCTCAGTAATCTCTCCATATGCCAAACTAACACAGTTCCTGGGTGGCAGCACCATGTCTCTCTTAGTGCTCCTCACAGCCACACAATTCTAAATAACTACGTCCCTGTGTGTCTGCTGAGTCACCATTTCTACCTCTCTACCTCAATTCCGAGTATCCTATCACAGAGTACTCAGTCAGCCTGGGTCTGCTATGATATCCCAAATAAACTGAATTCATGTATTACAACAGTCCATTTCCAGGACTACTTTTTACTTCCCTGACATTTGCCTTTCATTCCTGCAACAAGTGTATTCTCTACTAGTCAAACTCCTCCAGTTAAATTATTTATAAGCTTAATCTATTTTTTTTAGAAAATATTAATGATTTCCAATTAAAAAAAAACCAAAAAACTATATGTCCAGCTCTTCTAACACATTCAATCACAAGTGAATCAAAATTGTTCTTTTCTGTTAAATCCAGATATTTGTGCATAAAGCGTGTAGACAAATGGTCTTCATTGGTACATGCTGCAATGAACTTTGGCATTAGTTTTCACATGAATGATAAGTATTTACACAAATAGTGGATGTTTAAAGACATTGAAAATCTTACATGAGTCTGGTTTCCACTGAATTCAGAATTACAAACAGGTACAAACATATGTTTCCAGCAATGCATCCTGTGCTGTAGAAAGTGGACACAGACAAGAAAACCTCACCTTAACACCGGCTGGGATTTAACTAACCAAGTCAATCAGTTACAAAACATTTTCTTAGAATTAACTAAAAGAAAACATTTTTATGCAACTCTCCTGCTAGGTAACAGAAAAAAGACTTTTGAAGAGTCTATTGTCTGCGAGATAACGTAGTCAAATGGCTGACAAGGAAAGAGTTGAGTTCTTTACCTTTCTGTCTTGTTAATGAGACTTGTTATCTGGGTTGCTGCAGCATTTATAAGAGCAGAGACATGAGAATCCCTTGACTGTATCTTACTTATAAGATACTCTCTGTAAGAAAATCTTTTACCCAGATGATATTTCTTGCAAGCTTGCAAAAAATCCATTAGATCTTCGATGTCACCCTACAGGAAAGAATGTGAACAAATGTGAACATTTAATTAGATGTAATGCTGATTTTGGCTAACACCTGTGAGTATCAGGTCAGATTTCTTCATTAATAGGACAAAGTTAAAAAAACTCCTACAAGTGTAAAACAATAAGCTTGTATCAACTTAATTCTAATGATCTCATCAAATTATTATGATTATTTCAACAAAACAAAATAAATTATGTGGAGAGTTTTTGGCCTTATAACCTCAATTCTGTGTGTACTTTCCTGAACAGTTAGTGCACGCCTGTGCCCTGAGTTAACAGGTCATTTGATCAGATATTCACAATTACACACACATTACATGCAACCTTACCAGTGTTAACAGAACTGATCTTTACGATGTAATAAAGGGTCACATTTTTAAAGGTGTCTATAAGCTGGCTTCAAAGCCAACTCTTCCATGTATATTGAGTACAGCAGAGGGAAAGCCAAGCCCACTGCACACATCTTGGCTTAGAAGCTCCCCCTTCCAACAGTGGCAAACAGGAAGGGTTTAGATACCTACAGATGGGTCTGGGCAGAGATCCGAGTTAGGCACACAGTCCTCTATAGCAGACATTCTGCTAGCATAAATAGCCAAGACAAGGTCTGCTAGTTACATGACCCATGTCTGAGCAGCCAAAACACAGTCAAACCTTTTTTCACTTCTTTGACCAGGCTGCTTAACTATCTTCTGCACAAAGTGCTTGCTGCATCTCCCTCTGACAGTGGCCCACGTGTAGCTTCTGTAGACAAGTTGAGCATCAGGTTTTAGGAGTGGGCCTTACATGCTCTGACACCTACTTTCCAGATGTTGCTTTTCAACCTCCCACCTCAACCTGCAGGACTACAACAATCATACTGGTCCTCAAGAGGCGGCCAGAAGAAAAATTCTCAGAACTGTTGTAATCCAAAGCACTAGCTTTCAACACAAATGGAAGAAAAACCAACCAAACAAAAAAAGCAAGCCATGAGGAAACAACTCAAGCTATTCTGTTGCAAGAAGTTTAAAATGTAACTGAAAGAAAAACTTATGTCCTGAACATCAGCACCCTTGATCATATAACCTAGAGATATGCAACCCCTCTAAGGACATAATCATAGTACTTCAGCCACACCACAATTGCAATAATCTACATATTTGGACTGGGGAGCTCAGTACATCCTCTGAAGTGTATAAGAGCACTTGATGCCCAGGGTGTTTTGAACATATGCGCATACCTCAATATACAGTTATGTAGATGCCCAGATGTGCATAATGAATGCATTATAATTTTTTAAAGTACTTTCTAAGAAAGTTCGTTATGAAAGTGATAACATTAATCCCGAAACATTTCTCAAAAGTTACTGCAGGTTTGTATTCTGTCTTTAGGTTAGGAATGGAGATAACATCCTATTACCTGTATTTTAGAGTAACCTTCCACTAATGTTTTAGCTGCTTCCACCTTCAGTTCTCCCCTTGAAGTGGCATTTATTATCTGTGTAAAAAAGATAGTATGGAGCTCCTTTCTTTGGGTAACAGCCAGCTCTCTATAAGCCTTTGCAAAATATTCCTCCTGCTTTACGAAAAGGAACCTCTTCAGGCAGTCCTGCTCCAGTCTGTGAAGTTTGTCCAGAAGACTTCTGTATTCTATAGCAGGCTGCAGAGAATAAAGAAATAAATGCATCAGAAGTGATTTTCAGAATTCAACATATTTTAAAGTATCAGTGCTACTAGCTCATATAAATTTTATAAATACTTTAGTTACTGTCATTCCAGGTTTAAGTAAAGGCTAATATTGAATCAGCGTACCCTTTACATACTTTTCATCTATTTGGATGGCAGTGTTGTACAGTTGCCAGTCTCTAATCCAGATACCATTTCCAAGGCATAATAAAATCATTTTAGAATTCACAAATCTTAGATAACATAAATTATATAACACCCCATGAAATTCAACACAAAGACTATATATGAAATTAATATTTTAGGTTTCATCAATCCTGAAGTCCTATTAAAATTAAAAAGACTCATATTCATACAACACATACCAATTAAATAGTAATAAGCATAATTTTAAAACCAACATAAATTAGAACAAAACATCATTCTACTAAAAAATCTTGAGAAATTTTTTATTATTGGTGACCTACTTTAACTATCAGTTTCTACAAATTAATCCAAAAGCATTGTTTTAGATTTACATTTACATGGAATAGAACTAAATGGCAATTACTTTAAAAGCTTCTTGGCCAGAAATGCTTCCTCTTAGTTCTCTAGTAAGACTTGCATATTCATAGTTTTAATCTCAGATGGCATAAAGTCATTATAGAATCAAAACACACATGTCCCACAGAGCACAGAATGCTCCTTATGCCACCGGAGCTACCCAACAGTCACAACGTCATCTTGTTCTAAATTTCATACCAATTATCTTGAGGAGAGCTGCCCTCCACACTTCACTTCTCATTCCTAAGAGATACACTGCAGGCAGCAATCAATTAATCAAAAAGGAATAGAAATTCTGTGTTTTGGCTGAGAAGGGCAGGAGGTTATTGCTCTAGTTGTTTTCCACTGCCATCCCTTGGGTGTCAGTACACCTGCTGCCCAGGAAAATGGCTGTGAGCCAACCCTCATGCTCCAGAATGTCCTTCTGGACCACGTGCTGTGACAAGTGTAAAACCAGGTCCTTCTACAGACAGAACAGTCAACAGCAACAGCAAAGATAGGATGTGGTAAATGGATCAGGACAGGTACTGGACTGGCCTTAATTGCTTGCTTGACTCCTTCTATTCAGGATTTTCAGTACAAATCAGACTGACCCAACACCAATATATTCCTTACAAAGCAAAGCCACTTTGCTGAGAGTATATTTAGTGTGGGTTCACACACTGAGGTTCAGGCCTCTCTCTCTGCCAAGGCAGGAATTAGTGAGGTCTAGACTCCTTCTATATCCAACAGAAAGGAGAAAGTCTCCTGCAGAGTACAGTCCACCTCCTCTTTAAGAAGGTGTCCACAAGGATCTCTTCCTTCCCACCTCTTGCGTTTCTAGCGCCTCTAGTTCAGGACAGGAACATCCTACAGGTATGGAAAGCTACACAGAATCACAATTTAAAATCCACCAGGAAACATTAAAGAAATTCTAATGTCTCATTAGCCTTGTGCCATTAATTTTCTCTATGCAACAGCCTGATAAAACAAAGCTCTTCCTGAGAGCCTCAACATACTGGAGTACCTTTAATGGGTCACACTCTGCAAAAAAAAACTTCTTGTGTCAAACTTTTAATCATGAATTGACATAAAACAATTAAGGGGTATGAGATATTCAAATACCGCTTGTGGTCCAGAAGAAAAACCCCACTGGTAAGTAACAAACTGCGCTATTTGTTCCCACCAAGTCACCCTCTTATCAAACACGAAACAACAACTTGAGGCATTTTAAGCTTACACAGATGAAATATTCAAAACTTACCAGTATCCTTCCAAGCCACAGGAAGTTGTTAAAAATAATAATAAAGAAAAAGGGTGGGGGAAATCAGTTTTATTGTAAACATTAAATATACTCAAAAAAATACATGGAAGACTTGAGCATTGTAAAGAATCATACTCTGACTTCAGTTATTTATTTATCTATCGCAGAGGCTATTTCTAAGAGAAGTCCACTCCTTGCTCTGTCTAAAATACAGATTGTTCTGCTTGCCTTCACTCTTTCCAGAGGCAAATCAGCCCCTGGTTGTGCTTATATTCTAATTTTCTTCAAAAATAGAACATAAATATTGGAAGCTTTTTTACCTAGTAAGGTTTATGATGCTCTGAATGTGCAAAATACTTCACACAGTGTCTGAAATCTCAGAAAGTGCTGCAGTAAAATACAGTAAATAAAAATACACCACTTTGCAATAGTATAAGTGATTATAAAAAAAAAATCCAAAACAAACAGGGTAGTGACAACCCTTTGTCTTCAGATATCATATATTCTCTAGAGAAGGATTCATTTTCTGGTGAATTAAATGCAATTTCTTAATAACAACTACCCTAATCATGACATCCGAATTTTTGAACACATTTAATTGTAGATCTTTACTCTTGTAGGAGGATAACTAAGCTGTTCTAATCTAAAAGAGAAACAATCTCCATAAAACTATATATGATGTAAAATATCTTGATTTAAAACCAGATTTACCTTTTCATTAATTTTCTTCATTAATTCCTCAGCCTCTTCATTTACAGCTCGTGCTTTTTGGCATTGAGCCTCCATTGTCTTCCTAGTCTCCAGATTACATTCAGCTGTTAAAGCCACCATCTTCCTTTCATATTCCTCCTGAATCTCTTCCTCCATTGCAAGAAACTGCTTTCTGAAAACTGAACTTATCTTCTTCTCCACGTGAGGAAAGAGGTTGTGATTTAAGACCATGTTTTTGAACATCATAGCAATCACTTCTTTACAGATCTGTGTTCGATTGGCCTCCAGATCAGCATCTGCTCGTGTCAGGCTGGCAACCTCCAAACTGCACAAAGGTAATCAGGATTGTCAGAAATCGCAGATTATGGAAAATTTCTGTCAGAAAACAAGATCTTTGTATCTGGAGCATTCAATCTCTAGATTGCATCTAGCTTCACTCAATACTGGGTAATGAAATGGAAGTCAGAGATCTGCAGGAATATCACAGTATATGAGTTTATTTATCATTATAGTAATCATTCATTAAACAACTGGGTGAGTCAACTTCTACTACAGCAACTTTAATGAAGTATGTCTACACTTCCATTTCCGACAGAAAAAAAAAAAAAATCTTTACTGATACTCAAAACATTCCCACAGATAAAAGCCAGTAGAAATGTCTGACACCACCCACCAAGGAAAAAAAAAACCAAACAAAAAACCCAACTCACTCTCTCTATTGGGAAGCAGACCAGCACCTGAATAGACTATAAATTTTACTGACTTTGTAAAACAGTTCTAAACTCACTGACCCATCTAGATTGATACATCACTGTTTCATATTCTTGGCTGGTGAACTCCCTTCTCTGCAGGGATGAGGGGACACTTTCAGTTTCATGCTGATATAAATAAAATAGCTGGTATCTGTCTCTCATGAACATTAACAGAGTTCTAGAAAGAGATTAAAACCAGATGGAAATACAAGAGCTTTTAGAAAATGCAGTATGTCATGTCACATATAAATACATTCTCATTTATCTGTAGAATTAAATTGGAATTATAATTATTCTAATTTCATATACAACGTAACTACACCTGAACTCAATTCCACACTGGAAAATTCAGTGGTTTTTGTTCCTGCATGTCAAATGACATGAATACGCAACGCTGTATACTTCTGTGTGTGGACCATGTATACACAAATTTCTTTGTGACCTAAAAAACATACTTTCAGGAACCTAAACCCATTCTCTTTTTTTTTGCTTACACTAAATTATTGGTCTAATTTTTCTACCAAAAAATCTCAGAATAAATTACAAATCCATAGCAAAGATCTTGGTAAGACTTGCAAGAGAGTGGAATTATTCTGTATTCAGAATCGTATCAATTAAGACATGCAAATCTAGAAGCATTTTGCTTTTTTTGTCAAACTTTCCATTCCTTATGAAAGCAAGTAAAGTTTAATTAAAAGTAAAACACTGACATACCATGACTGCCTCCCTGACAGCACAAGAGATATATTCTCCCCATCCTGAAACTGATGGGATAGAATTGTTTTCTTACAGTGACTCAAATACTTAGAGTATTTGGGAGACTAGCTTTGAAATGTAATCATCTACCACAGACTGATCTTCTGTTGCAATTTCCTGAAACCAGAGAAACACACTGGTGATGGCTGTCCTCATCATGGCAATCTGCTGCAGGGCTGGCTGGCTGGCTGCACCTACTAAACCTCCTCCATTTCATCCCCTCTTCCTTATATACAGGAACAGAAATTCCTGCCATTGAAGTACTATGAGCCTGAAACATTTCTCACAGTAATCTGAAGATCCTGTAAGAGCTAATATTTGCTATAATATCACCAAGGCAACACAAGCATCCCGCTTCTCTGTCCTGTCTACAGATGGACGCTGCAGCTGCAGCTTTCTTGGGTAACATTTCACCCGCATTCATGGTGAAGTACCTCAGGGCACTGATCCCTGGAGAGAGTCCTTCTTGCTGCAGGAAAGAGGGCAGGTGATGGCAGGATCAAGATAACAGGATGCTGAAGCAACACAGCAGATACAGATGTGTGTTTTCTCTTAAGTCATTTTGCTTACAGTCTCAGGACTTTTGCTGACACAGCCAGCTATTATCAAGCTGTTTGTGACAACTTGAAAAAAAGAAGTGTTCCGGAGTTGTGTAAATGCGCTTAAATAAAAACAAGGAATCAGAGAATTGGAACTTTTTGCTATAATATTTCTCTAATGACTGTGAGGCAGTGGTAGGAGGCCTTCCTTCATAGCTTCATGAATTCATTACTGGCCTGTAAAATCCAAGCCACCAAATTTATTTTTGTTTTACTTCCTGCTTTAAGTTCAGCAGTTCTAATTTAATTGAAGCATATGTGTCTTCTGTGAGAAACATCCTGGCTTTCAAGCATCTCCTAACAACTAAACATTTTAATCAATTGTTCCACTAGGTAATTTTTTCAAAGAATGCCTCATCCTCAGAATTTTATTAGTTACAACTTTCAACTCTCTCTGTCTGCTGGAACAAGAAGTTCCTTAGCCATTATTTTCCTGTTCTTTAAGCATGCAATGATAGATGGTTGCCTCAGCACTTACTAACCCTTTCTTACTGAGATGTGAAAGACTGAATTCCTCATCTCTCTCCTTGGAAAGTAACACTTCACAGTTCTACCATATTTCTACATAGTCCATAACACATAATTTATTCCTTATCACAAGTACAGGTGTTTTTAAAAGCATGCTTCAAAGAAGATTAAAGCTATTCCTTATCCACCTCCCTGTTACTTTTCTACTCTTCTTCATCAGTGCTCCCAAGAATGAAAACCCAAAGGAAACACCATCAGAACATTTCCTATTATCTCTCCCTCAGTCTTCCCACAGCATATCTTCCTACTTGCTGCAAGTCATTACAGACTCAACCTGATTCCATTTCCAACAAGATTCCCATGCACCTTTTCATCCTCAAGGAGAACTACAGTACCCCAGTAACTCCACATGATGCAAAATGCAGGAGGAGCAATGGTAACCATCACCTGATGCTGCTGTGTCAGCAAGAGAATACTGAAGCTCCTAGGATCTCAGGTGTATTTAACCTGCAGCTCACACTCTTCATTTTCCTGACAGCACATTGGTGAAGAAGGCAATGGAAGAGAAGTTTATGAACTATTCCACCAAGTCAAGGGTAATAGCAGAGAGAAAAGGAATTACAAGCCATAGCTCTCCCAGGTCACATCTTTTAAGATAGCGGCCACACCATCACCTTTTGGCAGCAGCAGCTGAAGAAAGGTTGTGGCTGTGAAAACTTGAAAGCTCCCTTCCATCTGATGTGCTCTACTTCTGGTCTGTGATCTTCATACAGCAGCCAGCAGAAATGAGACAAGCTCATCACACACATCAGAAACCTTGCTTCAAGCTCTTTACTCAAAACAGAGAGGTTGAGGGTACCTCTAGCATGCTGCATCACACCAACAGTCAGTAAAACAGGAATCCTGCACATATAATAAACTGAATGCTTTCATTTGGTTTCATTCAAGTCCCTCAGAAGAACACTGTTTACAATCAACCACATTAAACGTTTCACGTCACATAGGGAAAAAAAATTCTAGCCTGACACTGTCTCCTCAAGCCAAAGTACATTTAATAATTTGCTTTAAATGCTCTGCACTCTGCTTTTTACAGTAATTGATGTTTAAAAGGTCTTGCCTCACTTCCTGAGCATATTCAGCGGCATAGAAACATGAAAGCTAATGAAGTACAGGTAGCTGATGGCAACCTATTGATGAAAAAGATGAAAGCTTTCATTGGACAAAGCATGCAGAGGAAGGCTGAGGACAGTACAGAAGGCAGGTGGCACAAAAGGGTAGGGGAAGGAAAGCTGAACAGACACATAGAAAATGAAACTTCAAACAGCAAATGTAAAGCTTTTTCACTCACTTGAAGAGAAAGAGGTTTTAAAAATCTGTTAGAGAGATCTGGAAGAGGAGAATCCCAGACGCCAAACACAGAGAAGCACAAAGAGTGCCTGAGCAACTGATGTCCTCCACAGACCTAATGAAATAATACAGGAAAGCAGCTGAGGTCAGGAAACTAACTATAGTTAATTCAAAAAAAGACAGATCAAAACACAACGCACTACAAAAAATGGAAACCTCTCATTAACGACCAAGTAATTGTGTCTTTAAGTCTTATTATTCAAATTACAGGCCTAAAGAGGGAATTTTTGAACAGGAGAACTAAGAGCTGCTGAATTTAACCGTCCTAAAAATAATTAATGGCTTTCAAACATATTTTAAAAACTAATTCTGAATTGATAAAGATAAGAAACTATTGTGACACAACTTTCTGAATTCTATAAGGGAGAGAAGAATTAAACAAATTCCCCTTCAATGACATTTTCTCATAAAAAAAAAAAAAAAGCCTGTCATTCTCAGAAGGCTCATCTCTCCTCTGCCAATGGAAGTCAATTAGTAGCACATGTATTACAAAAGTACAAAAGTATCCAGAGGAGACTGGAGCTCCGTGGTAGCTGTTTCTGTAAAAGTATTGCTTCAAATACTGCTCAAAGCTCCTGAAAAGCATGTAACTAAGTAATTTAGAGCCATTTGTGGACACTTTGTCTCCACTGTTTCCACTTCAGCAGTGACTCAGAGTCTCAAGGCACAGCACCTGCACGAACTCCTGACAGGGAGGAGAACGGAAAGAGGGAAGGACAGACAGACAGACCAGCACCCCACCCCAGTTACATCCAGAGCAGCACTTGTCCTGTACCCACGGGCACAGTGACAATGGGACAGCTGCAGTGAGGAAGGAAATGTGAGGACAACATCCAGACATTATGGTCCATGTTGCCTTGTCATACTTCAGAGGAGTGAAGATGGAGAAAGAGTCAGACAAGAAGAATCACAAAGAAAACAGTTCCTGAAGTGCTGGCTTTAGTCATAGTCAACAAAGGAAGCCAATTTGAGTGTAATGGGCTTTAGAGATCTTCAAAAGCTGTTGATGTGGTTTGTTTCACAAATTATCCATTTATCGAAGGGTTAGTAATACAGCATCAGTAAGCTGGGCTGTCTTTTGGGTTTTTGTCTGTTTAGTTTGTTGTGTTTTGTTGGTGGTTTAAAGTACCGTGTCAATGTGACCCCTCTGTGCAGCCCCATACCTTTCTCCCTCCAACACCTCCCTCCTTTTTTCCTTCCTTAGCATTCCATGCTCTTTTGATGGGTCCAGTCTCAACAGAGGCTGTAAACACTTCAGGGCTGTGATTCACACAGCTGCAGCACAAACCTCTGCAGGAGACTCAAACTGTAGTCAAGTAGAAGCAGAGGCAATGGCAGGAGGTCTGAACACCCACCCACAGCCACTGACTGCCCAAATTCTTCTGGCACTCCTGTGCCAGAGTGGGATGTGTTGCCTTTCCCGGGTCCCTGCCTGCTGCCAGGCTGTGTCAGCACAGACCTGAAGATATTCTGTCATACACCAGTAGCTGTACTGGCCTGCAGCCAGCTCTGAACTGGGGGAGTTCATCCATCAGTCCTGTGGCACTTATACAGCCAAGCGTGAACTCGGCACAGCTCACACAGCAGCCTACAGAGAATACAAACACCAGTAAATGAAATTGCTAAGAAAGGTACATGAGGACTATCTAAGGATGCTTTCACGTGGATGAGTCACAGGTTAAGTTTAGCTTTCCAGAAGTCAGAATGCTGACAAAACCAAAAACAGGATTTCTGATATATAGCCAAGAAATAATAATTAAATAAAAAACTGAAAAATATGAAAATTTGAGCTGAGAGACAAAAAACTTTTCAGAAAACAAAGATTCATGAAAACCTGATAGAAAGTCTAAGCATTAGATCTGGCAGCAGTTCCACCTATCAAATTCCTCTAATTCTCCACAGCAATATAAAGAGAGTATTTCAATTTTTACAATTATCTGTTTAGAAAACATTTTTAAAATATAGCATTTAAGAGACTGAGAACCTCTGCATTGCTTCTAGAAAATAAGAAATATGACAAATCAGTGATCTTCAGAAAATAAATTTTAAAAATACATCTACTTGCAATACTGCTGTTGCAACACAGTTCAGAAAATGGTTATTTCACTCTTTTGCTCAGAAAAGCAACTATGCAAAAAGAGTGTATGAAAGATTCCAATTCTGCTTCTGGTGAAGTCATCACACATTTCACCACTGATTTCAAAAACACCAACTGGATACTAACAAAATAATAAATAACCATTATTGCTATATGCATTATGCATTAATGCCTGAGGAGCTTCCAACTCTGCTATGATCTCCTCAGATTCTTCTCATCTCTCCATGCAGGGTGAGTATTTAGATGACAGAAATGACATATCAATCTTCATAAAAAATTATATGGAATAAAGCCTCAGGAACAGCACAACTCTCAAAAGAAGACTCTCTTCTGGATGAGATAAATTGTTCCAGGTAGACAGTAGAAATTACCCTTACAATTCTAAAAACATCACAGTTAGCCAACATCAAAGAAAAGTGGCATTTTTAAGATGAAGAAAGATATGTATTTATTACTTTTAAATTACTTGTTTTCTTCATCTCCCCAGTCTTACAGGCTCCTATCATATAATAAGCAGTTGATCTCCGATAAAAAAAAAAAAAAAAAAAAGCATAGTTTACACTCTTGTGAAGTTTCTAGCAGCATTCATAACACAGAACCACAAATGCAGAGTTTGGAGTTCATACTGTGAGCATTCACTGCATCTTATATCAACGTGATTACTATTTAGTTATATTCCTGCATAATACACATTCCACAAAAAGAGAGTACTGAATATGCTCTCCCTTCAAAAATTCTAAACTTTTAATTACATTCTTTCCTAGTTATGAAAAACAAAAATTTAGCTCCTTATATTTTTTTTTGTACTAACCATGTAACTATTTCTCACCCTTTTCTGTGTAGGAATAGTCAAGTCTAGGCGCTATGACAACATCATCATTTATTCCCCATCCCTGGCAGTGTTCACAGCCAGGGTGGGTAAGGCCTTAAGCAACATGGTCTGGTGGGAGGTGTCTTTGCTTGTGGTGGGCAGGCTGGGTCTTGGGACTAGAGGATCTCTAAGGACCCTTCCAATCTCTTAAGATTCTATGATTCTTTGATTCTTACTTTCCACTTAAATTCAGGGTTTAAAAAAACCCAGAACATTTGCTCTACAGCAAACCAAACTGACAGCAAGAAATTTAGATTTTAAAAGTGAACTTCTAAGATCATGGTAAATCGTTTTTATTTTTCTGTCAAGGTGTTTTGGAGACAGTTTGATCCTGTTCTCTAGTACATTGGCCTCAGTGTCCTCTACCACAGGAAAAAATCAGCCTTCAATAAACAAATATTGATTTACTAAAATAATTGGCAGTATGTATTGTGTATCAGCAATCAGGTGCAAATTCAGCTAAAGCTTTGACAAACTCAAGGAAGCATAGCTGTACAAAATGTAGGTTAAAAAGAAAAGGTGTAGTAGTGGAAAACCATTTAAAGAAATTAAGTTCTCTTTAACACATCTGTATCTTTTGAGACTATGAGAATGGTCAGGCTCCATCACATTGGACACAAACCCAAATTGCTCAGCTTTCTTCATATTCTCCTGCAGACATATAGAAAAAGAGACCCACAACATTTTGGAACATGATCTTTTAGTGTGCACATCAAATATCCACATCATGTATCTTCCCCTCATTAGTATTCACTGCCTAGAAGCCAATATTCAGTAATACACACAGCAAGGAACATACTGAGAATAAAAGCCAAGCTATTTTGCTGCATAATGTACATCAAGAATATGACTTATTAAGAAAAAAATCCACAAAATGAGTAACCAAGAAGCTTCCTTATGAAACATTAAAAGTATGTTTTGTTCCCTAGCCAATCCTCCTGACACTGCAAACTGTCTACACTCCAAAGCTGTCCCGGTCCATAAATATTGAACACACGCTCCTGATGTATCTCCTAAATGATGTGGCACTGTCACTTCTTAAAAGACAGAACAGCTCTATGTTGCAAAGAAGAAAACATGTAGCTCTTACTTTTCAGAGTTTTTTCCTCATTTGTATCTGAAAGACAAGAATGATTCCAGCCATGACAGTGCAATGAAAAGGATGCTATCAATTATGCTGCCAAGCTTGTATGTGTGTCACGTTGACAAAAACGAAACATACCTGCACCAAAAGAGGCAGAAAGAACTAGCAAGCTATTACACAAGGAAGATGATGTTGGCTGGCTGAAATACCTATCACCCTTTCAAGCATCTTTCATAGCAGGAATCAGTGTAACTCTGGATACCTTTGTGGTCTATCTACTATCCTTACCCTGGAAAAGGAAAAGATAGCTTAGAAGGTGAAGCAGGTTAGTGAGGGTTGACTAACGGGCATGTAATTTATTCACTGCAACGCTTACCTCTTCAGAGGTAAACAAAACAGACACTGAGGAAAGAAAAGGAAGCAAGAGACATATGCACTAACTTCATAAAAACATCAAAAACTTTACCCCCTGGACACATATTCAAACAAGGATATGAATACAAAAATAAACCTTTCCAAAGGTTGCAAGAATATTTTCTAATCCATCTGAAAATAGTCCAGCAATTTTTTTCAATCTTGCTAGATACTAACTATCCCTGATATAAATTAATACTAAAGTGAGTTTAAAAAAATGTTTGATCCTATTCTTCTAAATATCAACAAAATTATTTTCAGGATAAGCCTTCTCAAATCCTGAGTTGCTATACAGTTATAAAAGCAAGGAGCAATGTGCAATTTATAGAGCTAAGTTCTCAATTATCAGGGAAAGGCAGAAAAATAATGCTTAGTTACCCTTAAAGAAAGAAAACTCCATACATGGTCTGTAACTTTTCAGCTTCTACAGATTTTATAGTTGCACAATACTGCCTTTAACCTCACTTACCAGGAGGTAATGGTAAGACTGGATAAATAACATCTGCTCATCCTCACATAAGACCTTTGTAAAATTCAGCTGAAGAACAGATGAGCTTTAACAGTGGCATGTTTCTGTCAAAAAGCCTTTCAACAGTATCAGGAGTGTTTCTGCGCTCTAGCAAGTGATGACACCAATCACAGGTACATCGTATCTTTCTGGCAGCACTACAAACTGTCACACCTTAGACTCTGATCCAGCTGTTTTCAAAATACACTGCCGCACAGTAATGCTGGCATTCATCAGGGGCTCTCTTTTCTAGGACAAAAGCCACCCTTCTGAAAGCAGAATGTGTTAAGCAATAGGAGAATACAATGTTTCAGTATTTTCTTGCACACCAAGGAGTTTCCCTTCATGTCATGAACCACAGAGAGACAAAGCAAGGCTGCACTGGAAAACTTGCATGTTTCTAGATGGTGTTGTGACTTCTGTAAGTGAATCAATATGAAATATGATGGCTTTCCCTTCCCATAGATGATTGTCTAAAACATTCAGTAACTTAAGGTAGTGCACTAATATGTGTAAGCAAACACTGTAAAAAAAAAACAATAAAGATGAGATACTCAAAATATATTCAAAGGTTTGGCTGATGATAAAAATAATAAATGTGATGTAATAGCAGTGAATTCTTACTCTTCTAAAGCCTGACGCATGCTCCCAGGTTCTTCAAAGGACAGAATATCAATGATTTGGTCGTTCATAATTATATCTTCACTAAAGAGTTCACCTGAATTAAATTGAGAATGCTCCAGTTTGTGATTTTGGCTGAGAGCAGGCTGTATCTCCTAAAAAAAAACAGGGACAAAAAGAAGCTAATGTTAGATTATAAAAAAAAATGTATAATGAGTGTTTGATCTAATTTTATTGCAGTTTAACTCTGGGTGAGAAAGTTCCTACTTATCATCAAACTGTAAAGCTGGAAAGAGTAGAAAGAGATTGTGCAATTCAGATATGTATCTGAAATCAAATATACTACTTTTATTTCAGACTGATCTTTTTTAGTATATAACTGATGTGGAATACAGATTAAGAAATGGAGAACATGGAACACTTGTGAAAGTCATCTAGGAAGTTGTCTTCCACTTCAAAATTTCTAGATAATTTTTTAAAAAATTGCCATGGCATACAAATTACATATGGTAACATTACAATATTATTAGTTGAACAACATGGAAAAACTAATCCTATCCATGATGGAAGTGACTCAGTTCCCAGAGGCTTCAGACAGAGGGCTAATAATATTTTGTAAAAACCCCACTACAACTATCTGATGCTAGACCAAGCTGGACCTTTTTTACTAATTCATTATCACTATTTCATTTGTAAAAAGACACAAGTCACATCCTTTTCATTTAAAGAGATTATTTTTTCAGACCTAAAATAAATAAAAGTTACTGATGATGTAATTTGCAGCAGCAGAAAGGCTTAAGTGATTTGTGAGCTACTCTGGTCAAACCAGATGGATGAGAGATCCACCACCTGTTTGGCAGACAAGGGGTTCAAATCTCTCAGCATACCTCTCTTAGAACAGCTCCAATCACTGCAATATTCTTACTAAGGTCTCTAGCTCCCTCCCAATTAAGTTGTTATACTTTACATAAATACAAAAATAATTAATAGAAGGAATGGCTGGAATTGCACCAACTTCAGATTCTGTATTTTCTTTCTCTCGTGCAATATATACTGAAATACTTCAAACCGGCCCAGATCAATGAAAATACTTCATTCTCAATCCTATCTGTTTTGCTTAATCACTGAAGATATTATTGCATATCGAAGAAACAAAGACCAAAATTCAAATCCCTATTCCTGAAAATCAGAAAAAAAAATTTGCACTCAATTTGCTGTGTTCAAGATAAGTTGTCTACTCCCTTGGCAACTTCTCATAATCCAGAGACATCCTGCTTCTAATTCTGAGGGATGGAGGGGAGGAAGAGAGGAATATGGAAAGAAATGAACAGGCAAAAAGTAATCCCCCCTCTGATCTAGAGCCAATATCCAGGTACTGACAGCAGTTTTTTTGATCAGGGTATCATTCTTACACTCACCTCTAAATCTGACTGCACTAAAGTTTAGAGGATGTAGAGATTACATTACCTGTGAGCCAAATCCATCACTTGGTGGCTTTTTATTCATCTTCAAAAACTCTTCAGACAATCTTAGTTAGCAAGTTATATCATCACATATGATCAGTGAAAAAAATAAATAACCTACCCTGACAGACAGTACAACTCACCTGGTTTTTACTACAGAAACTCCATTTTAATACTTGGGTTCGGTAAATGATGAAAAAGACAGCACATGTCAACACAAGGGAAATGAAAAAAGCAATGAAGAATGCTGAAGCACTGATGGCATGGTTGTATAAAATCTGAAATTAAAAGATCATTTAAAAAAAGTTACTTTAATATATATAAAGATCAGATCATAACTGTAATTCAAAGACCGTAACTGTAAGCAAACTGTAAATTATTTTTAAATGGCTTCACACAACTTCAGGATTTCTCAGCACTATGTTATTACTACATCTTGATGAATATTTTCAAACAAGTGAGTATTTTCAATAGGTTTCAAATTCAAGCAAGTGAACTCCACAGACTGATTTTGTTGCTGCGATTTTTGGGCCCCCTGTACTTAATAATCTATTTTCCAAAGTTGCCACTCTTCTAAGAAGTCTCATTAAAATTGCTGGCATTTGATGCTGCTCATAGGCTCTGGAAAGTCAGTCAGATATGGGCTACTGTAATTAATGGCCATTTCTGGAATCAATGAAACTGAGTGAACACCACAGGGAGAAAGTAACAAAGTGAGTTCAGAATAAACATGCAACTGACATCACCCAATCTGTGTGCAACCTTGCATCTTCTCCATGAGCCTGAGTCAGAAAAGGCTGGCAGGAGCAATGGAACCATAAGCCAGTATCACCTTCGTAGACCTTTCACTTTAGCTCTTAACTTAATCTTTAAACTGAATTGCATTAAAACTTAATTTTTACTTCATACTCTAGGTAGCAAAAGTTAATTCAGTGTTCGTTTAGCTCTATGAGACCTTTCAATGAAAAACATAGCACAGCTATTAGTATAATGTTTCACTACTGATCATTCTGTTTGGGCTAGGAACTGTAAATAATTAACATGCTGCTTGCAAACTGGGTTTGGCTTTTTCTTGGAGCAGAAACCTAACAGCATTCCACAGAGTCAAAGGTAATTCTGCATAGGAAAAAAAATACAAATATGGCCCACAGTTTGAAAATAATTGATGGCAATTTAACATCTCTGTCACATCAGGACTCTGAGATCTCTCCACTTTCAGGGAACAGGAGATGCCATAGATAATACTTAGGGGGAAAAGCTGCTTTGAAATCACTTCATCATTTTGTCCAAGCTCACTTCATTTGTTTAACTTCCATGTACTCTGTGAAATTTAAGGATCTCTCCAGGCTTCTGGGGAAAGCAAGGATCTGGCGAGTCTATGGATTCAGTGAAGCTGGAAAGAAGCTGCTTAAGAAGCTGCTTTTCTTTTTTCTTTTGGTGAAGAAAAAGCACTGGCTACAGAACGACAGAATGACTCTGTGCTAAGTAACAGGTGAGACCCACGGTGGGACACTCAGTCTGCATGAGATCAGGCAGTTTTGTCTGTGCTTTTATACTTAAAGAAAATGGGCTCTGGAAGGACAGTCCATGTCACTGGGGCTGTCAGTCCAAGCAGAACACAGCAGGTGCTTAATGCCATCTCAAAGCACCACAGCAGATGGTGCAGGGGAGGTGCCAGAGCCCAGGCTCAAGTCAAGATCAGTGTTGGCCCTGCAGTGACCATGGACACATCAGCAGGTTCCAAAAGCTATTCCTTAAGCTAACCAGTGGGAAGAGGCATTACAGGCCCAAGTTTCTTTCAAGAACTGATATGCTCCTGCTGCTTTGCATGATACTGAGGGAAGCAAACCTCATAAAAATCATTGTAAAGGAATTACTATCATCTCTCCCATGCAACAGGCTTAGATGGGAGAACTTCCCTTTTCACCACTGTCTCATTCAGCATCAAACTGCCCCAGCCAAGGGCAGAGGTACAAATTACTGACAGGCCCTGAAGCGCTGTGGGATGACATCTGGCACGGACACTCACATGAGCAGTACTCATATTTTTTTCATAACCCACAAAATTACCTTGGTTCCAAGCAACCAAACACTTTCTTCCAGTAGCACAGAAGAGAAATCCACAGGGTTTGTGAAACTTTAAAGAACACCATAGTATCTAAGTGTTCAAGCAAATCATGTGAAAGCTGATGGGACCAACATAGCATGACACTGCCATGACTACATAATTAATTCTTCGCTTGTCATTCCCAAATACTGTCCACTTAGTCACATATGCGCATTGGCTTCAATATATCCATGAAAAGGTTTAAATAATTATTTTTAATAAATAAATCTGAGATGGAGAGCTTTTATGACAGCTGACAATATGAATGAAATAAAATACATCACACCTTCTCCAGCTAATCCTAATTTCCTTGCACAAACTCTTTTCATTCCAAAACACTTTATGCTTGGCCATAGCCTGAAGTCAAATATTATGCATGTGAAACACGATGTGTTAAATAATTTCTAAGCTTTATTTTTCAAAAATTTATGGTATTTTCCACACATCCTTACCACACATTTTAGTTACAAACCTGTACATTTACTAAGTTCAAATGCAGCTGAGCTAATTTTACCTACCCATGGAACAGTTCACAATAATTTTTGAGGTCTTAACTATCAAGTTCAAATTGGAAAAAATAATAAGCACAATAAAAAGGTTTTATGTGAAATAACAGATTGCAGAAATTTTCATGGTCAATTGAGACCAATGTAACTTTCAGTCTTGGCTGAAGACATCAGCAACTGCTGCAAATCAATTCACACCAAATTCTACAAAAAACATTAATGAGGTTATGTTTCTAACCAGTCAGCTACTTCATGGTTTACACCTCTAAAAGTTCCCAAAAAAGAGATTTACGGCAAGTCCATTTGTAATTGTTAGCAATACAAATGTCCAATCCTTTTAAATATTACTAGATCTTTATCCAGGGACAATGAGTTCTCTATCTTATGTACAGTTTTAGTTTATATCATGTATAATAATGGCTTTCATTTTAACAGAATGGGCACTTGATCTTCAATTACCACAAAGCCACATCTGGATATGTTATCTATTACAATAATAAAAGCTAAGAAGGTAGAATCCCAGCAGAAGAGAATACTGAAACAAGAGGCTCTGTGCCCAATCTCCAAGCAGATTCCTTATTCTAAAGGCAGAAAGAAACTCATGGGACAGGTCCCCATGGAAGGAATGAGTGGTCTAGTCCTCAGGACCTATCCAGGCAAGCCCTATCCAGGCAAGTCCTATCCACATGCACAGCCATGGCAAAATGTTCCATGGTGAAACAAACTGTTTGCTTCTGCCTGGACACAAATAATCCCAGTATTCTTGCCAACCAAGCCACAGCTTCTTTAAAAACAACCCCTTGCAACAGCAGCCCATCAAATTTATGAGAGGCTGGGGGAAACAAACAAGTTTGGTGAAGGGATTACTCTAGCAATGAAACTGATGGATGAAGTAGAGAGTTTTTTAATAAAAAAACTATCTAAAAGAATAATAGTCCTGCAATCAGTGTTATTTTGAAGGTTTATTTGGCCTGTTAAAAACTACATTTCAGAATTACTTCAGAAGCCAAGAACAGAAATTCACAATGGAAGAATGACTAGTTAAAAAAACGAAAATAAGCATAAACTATGCCACTCATTCCACAGTTTTATTTGTCAGGCTTGAGTATCAGCATCATACAAAAGTCTTTCCTCAATGGGTGGAGGATACTTTTACCCTTCTGGAAAAACAAAAAGCTTTCTCACAGTGCTTAGGCACAGCAGCAGGTGAGCATAACCCTCATCACAGTTTCCTATGCCTGGACAATTCTTCAAATGAAAGAACATGGCAAGGAGCATAATGACATTTTTATATTTTCCATACTAAACATTGCTGGTTTAAGACAAAAAAAGACCCTTTATGTTGAGTCCAGTTTTCTTCTTATTAAAATCTGAGAAGGCAGAACCTGTGTATGATTACTGGCCAATAGCTGAGTGATGAGACACAAGTACACAAGGACATCTTTAGCTCCTAGGATTTACTTTAGATTGTCCAGAAGTATAAGCAGGAGAGTCAATATAATACCAAGTCATAGAATTTACCTTGGTCTTTTCTTCTTCCGTTATGGTAAGTGATGCTGTCAATGATACAAGATGTGTTTTATTCTGAGAGAGATACAAAAAATTACCTGTATTAAAAAAAAAGCAGAATCCACTGGCAAACAGCCTAGAGTCTATAGAAAAGTCTCTCCTAATCTAAATTAATTTAGCTTAAAGCTGAAATAAATCTGATAGGAATATGCAGTGTCCTTAGGGGTAACACTAAAAGACATGGAAGCAGCTGCTCTGTGGGATTCACTCCCCATATCCCAAGGTACAAAGCATTACATTTTGCACAGAATACACCAATCAGGAGACACAGTCAGTACATAAATCTCTGCTTTCACTGTGCCCTGTTTTTTAAATTTTCCTCTCCACTGCTCTAGTACCACTCCCATACACATGGAACACCTTTTTCTCCAAAACTAAGGAGAAAGGCAAGTGAAATGGAAATACATCTGCAGGTTATAATTACACGTAATTATGAAAACCACAGAAAAACCATCAAGCCATATTTAAGAGTTGAAAAATTTTACTTTGGCAGAAACCACTTGTCCTGTCTCCTACTCAAAGCCAGGCTAAGTCCAGCATTAGAACCAGCTGTTTCAGAGCCTGATGCAACAAACTTCTCAAAATCAGCAAGGATGGAGATTTCTCAGCTTCTCTAAGAAATCCTTCAGACTCAGAAAACTCTTTTACTAAAAGGTGTCTTTCTTATGAGCAATGAGGCTTTTTCTCTGCTGCAACTTGTTTTTCAGCTAAAATAAATTATTTTATTATGAAAATATGGCAAAACTTTCAATCTTGCTTAGGCTTCAGGAATACACATGTATGTGGGACACTTATTTCCAAAACCGATCAATAAACTGGAGAGAAATATAAAAGGTATAAAGAAAAGCTACAAGACAACACACAAAAATACTTTACTTAAGGAGGTATAGGATGCCTTAAGCTATGAAGAATAATTCATGCATTAATAAATTCATGGTAATCAATCAGAGAGCCTACAAGTTCCATTTAATTACATGATGAACTCATTGTTTAGGCAGGCAAGAACCACCCTGGAGACTGGTTTTTTACAAAACTTGTGAAGAGCAGAATAAAATAGTGAATAAAATACCTGTGATGAACTCTTGAAAGTTAGCTTCACAGGCAGTGTCAAGACCCTGCCATGCCACATTTCTTCTGCATCAAGAAGCGCAGAGTAGTTGATTGCAAAGTGTTCTCCACCTATTAAAACAGGGATATGGATAGATTTGCTTTCTTCCATGAAAATTTCTTAAAGATCCCTGGGGAAGGCTTGGGACAACACTGGAGCTTTTCCTTTCTGACATAGCAGATGCCACACATCCAGAGTAGACAGTTCATGGGCACTTGAGTTCAGCAACATCCTTCATATCTGCTCCCTCTTAGAATTCAAGCAAATTCAGCCCAGGATCTGGAAACTGCATTAAATGGTGCCCCGACCTACCCAAAAGCATTATTTCTTGATACCAGAAATCACATGATATTATTTTAAAATATTTTTATTATAAAATGGACTGCCTATATTTTAACTACTAACTTGCTGATTCTCCCCTTGTTGAAACCAAAGAGAAATCTGACAGAATTCAGGTGAATTTTGATTCACAATGCACTAAAGTAGGGAAAATTATTATGGTCAACAATGAGCATGACAGATAGAGCCTTTCTGTCCCAGAGGCAAGGTATGGGCTGATTTCAGGATTAATATAGTAATGACCAAACCTCAAACGATGCAGAAATCTGGTCTGCTGCATTTTCTTCCACTTCAGTATTTTTCACACTGATTTGCCTGGAAAAGCCAGCTTCAACTCCAGATTCAGTAATTATAAATAAATTATGTAGCAGCTCCAACTTGGTTTACTAGATCAGATATGAAAGCCATTTTTCTATTCTTTCTCAGGGATAATTGCTTCCAGGAAATCTCTGTGGAAAGCCAGCAATTCCTTGACATTTCCAAAAACACCAGTCCTGCAACCATTGCTTACACTGCAGTTAACAGAAATAGAGTTTGGCTATCCAACTGCAATCAGACAGCGGCCCCAGGCCTACTTATTTCCCTTTTCTATGTGGAAATCTTCCACCATAAAAGTATTACAATCAGAGATAACTTCCATCATAAACAAGAATCAGTGAACCCTTCTGAAGCTCCTGAAGAAATGTCGTGACTTCCAAAAGCAAGCTGCTCATTTTTGACATGCTTGTGATTAGGAAAAAGGATATGAAGAAATCAAGAAAGATAAAATTTAATGCATGCGTACTGACTGAACTGCTACCAATTAGAAAAGGAACAAACTGACTTCACATCTGGAAGTTTATTTCTTTATTACTTGCTTTGACTTTGTAATTTTTTCAGTTTGGAGAGAACACATACTGAGAAGAGCTGCCTCATTTCTGATTGTGTGGCATTTTTAAATTCCAATGCACCTCAACACCTCAGCAAGCTGAGCTGCTATACTTGGCTAAAGAAGCCTCAAAATACAATTAAAATGCCTTTTTCAGAAATTTTAAAAAGTACCCACAATGAACAAATACAATTGTGAAAGATTATCATTTTTGATGGCAACTTTTACAAAGTAAAGGAGGCTCAGTTCTGTGCCTGGAAGACTGGAAGCAGTTCAAAGATGGGAGCCAAAACAGTTAACAGGGAGCTGACAGACTTGGAAACTGCAGCCTAAAACCTTTCCCAAACTTCTTCAGTTGTATTAACTGATAATCAAATAATTTACACCACTATAAATAAATAAATAAATAAATAAATAAATACATAAATACACAAATACATAAATACATAAATAATGTGATTTTAACAGATGCACTTTGACATGTGTTATGAGGGATATTTTACTGCAGTTTTTGTTACCTTGCAAGAAACTTTTCCTGTAAATCTGTATGCCATCTGTGGTCTTATTCCCACTGTTTTTTTTAACATGTAGACCAGTGATGTTGTCCATGAGGATAAGATCTGTGATGTTTGTTGAGAGCAATGTGTTGGTGTTATTAATCACAAGTGTAATGTATGCAGTTTGAGGGTCATGTTCAACATCCACCTGAAATCAGAAATATTAGTATTAACGGTGCAAGGCGGCTATATGTGCATCTTAACAGCAAAATTCATAGCCCTGATTACAAATAAAACTTCATTATAAGTGTAAACTTATTTTCTGAAGGTATTCTGAGTGATCTGCAAATGAAACTACACTCATTTTGATCTCACACTCCCAGTGAGATTTTAGGCTTTGGTATGTCAAGCTGTTGCTTGGAGACAGTGGCAGAAAGCTAGAAGGTAGAAACTCAGCTCATACAGGACCAGAAGCTTTATCAAATCCTGAATATTCCCGTGATACTGCATGCAACACAAAACTGGATCATAACTTTATAACCAGAGTTTGGAAAATTCCTAAATTTGTACCTTTGTACCACAAGGATGTTTCTTTTGCAAGCTTCCTCGCTACAAAGTAATTCTCTCCACGCAGTTTTGGTTTCTATTTTCCTTTCTTTCACAGCACCCCCATTCTCTGAAGGATGCCAGCTGTTGGGCTTGCCCTTCCTACTTGAGGGTAGATGGAGCCACCAGTGAACCTGGGAATTCATGGCTCTGCTTCCAATCAGCAGTGATGGTCATACACTAATAACCAATCTCCAGCAACATGCCCTCATGTGATTTCATTTATTTATTCCATTAAGCCTTTAAGTCTCATTGAGCAGTTATACCCTCTAAATGAAATTATTCTGAGCACAGAGTTGCTTACTGACCTCTCACCTTCCAAACTGCCTTCCTCTGTAATTCATATTAAAGCAGAATTGTCTATATCTTTATAGGATCTATAATAATATGGCGATCTATAGTATATTCATGATGATTTATGAGGTTTCAAATAATGACACTAAATCAATAGTCCTTTAACTGACAAAATTATGATTCAGGTCGAACCTTTCTCTTTTTAGATCTTCCTTTCAAGGAAATGTCTACACTGTATCTGGACACCAGCAAATATAAAATTCTAAAGCAGTCCTCATGAAAAACGAGTTCTAAAAATATGAATTGTGATAGACTTCAGAAATCACACCAGAGTTCATGGTATCAATAGGGTTCAATACAAGTAGCTATTGTGCACTCATCTCTGCATTTCATACTAATTCAGCATAGAACCAGATGACAGTTTCATAAATTAAGGGAAAAAATTCCCAAATATTTATTGTACTAGAAGCTGCAAGCAATGGATAAAAATGTATATATGATTACATGTATAAAAACAGGCTTAGTTATCTTTCTGAGGAAACCATCGCCAATATCATATGTTTGTATATCATGAGTTATACCCCAACTTCTGAGAGTTAAAATCATCAAGTATTAAAAATGTGTTATATTTTGGTCAGATTTTCTCTCTCCTGGTTTCTGAACTGGCATGATGCAGTCAAGATGCCTTTCAACATTTCATGTGCAATCATAAAGGCTAGATACCTGCTTTAAAAAGCAAAATCAAAATGAAACAAGAAAAAAGTCTCAAAATCCCATTTCTCATTAGTATTAAATCCATGTTTTTCATTTCTTATTTTTGACCGGCAATCAGACTTCAGCTCATTTGCAAAGGGGTTAAAAGAATTCAGTCTTTTTCCCCTGAAATCAGCAGATGAGAATCAAGCAACAGGTATGGTTTGACTGCTCCTAGAAAGAACTCCTCTACACAGTGCTGCCACTGTGATCAGTGACCACTGGTCATCTTCTTTAAGTTGCTCCTCTAATTTGCCTGAAGATGTTTTTTTCTGGCTTTTGGAGCAGATGGTTAAGCTGCCAGGCACCTACAGGAACCAAATCCAATGGCAGTCAATGATGATGCCATAAGCATCTACTCAATTTTCTCTCTGCTGCTGAAGTGCCCCATGTGTGTCATCAGCCCCTGCAAGAGATCTCACTTCAGGTACCTAGGAGAGTGGCATGAAAGAACACAGCAAGAGCATGGACACAATGGGTGAAAAGATAAAAGGAAGGAATTGCCATAGAAGTTGAAAGGAATGGAGAATCCTTGTTAGGAATAATTTAGAACAACTAGAAACAGGAAATAATAGAGAAAAAAAGTATTATAGGATCATTGATAATCTCCAATGCATGAACGCTTAGGAGATTAAGAAACAAGACAGGTAAAAGTGTTAGAAGACAAGCAACTAAATTTAAAGATTTATTTCAACTCTGCTAAGGATTATTGTCAATGTGAAGTACTGTTACAGAAAAGTTCAAGTCATACTATGGAATGAAGCTCTTGAAGAAACACATTTCTGGAAAGAAGGAAGACAGTGGGTGCAAGAAGCACTGGTAAAATTTGAACACCTCAGTTTCAATAAGGCTATTTCTAGATTAAAATGTTGGAAATATCCTAACTCCAAGAAGCAAACATAAGACACCTCCATGCTCTGAGGAGCAACTCATTGCAGGAGGAGGAAAACGTGCAAAATTCACTTTTTTCTATTTAAAACAGCTAAAGAGCACCATATGGCCAGTCTGTCTCTTAGCATGAAAGCATTTGTTCACTTGAAATACGACTGAAGCAGAAGACAAGGCAAGCCAAGGAAAATTAAATGTGAACTCCATTTGTAGGTGAAAGACAATCACATATAATTGCATAGTTTTCAGTGATTTACAACTAATGGCACTACAAAAGTATTTTCTGATAAAGACAGCATCTACAACAAATTACCTTTAATCTCCTACAGCAGTTATTTTGCAGCTTTTAATGAGCCTGTGTGAGGCTGTGCTGTAAACAGCAGAAAAAACAACATGAGACTGTTTCAAAGTCTGTTCCTGAGAGGCCCTGGTATAAAAATTTTACAGATAGAAAGGCAGAAGATTCGATGTTACTACTTCTTATGTCTGAAATGCTTACTATTCAGCCTCATTAATCATTATATGCTGCCATTTCAATAACAACATTAAAGATAATTAGCACCATGAGATGTGACGTATATTCATTCTTCTCTACACAGCTGATCTGGTGAACATTATAATGTCACCTCTTCTGTACTGGTTACTGAATCCTCTACCCTCAAAGGCACCATTTCAGTGGCTGAACTCAGATTGGTCCTAAAGTTGGATGTGCTCACTCTCTCCAGGAGACAGCTAAGAATAACTGACTAATTATAAAAATTCATATCTGCTTCACTGAGTGCAATGAAAGGAAAAATGAAAAGGAAAAAAAAAAAAAAGAACAAAAGGAAGAATAACAATCTAGCAAAAATAAAATGGGAAGTTAAAAAAATTTCTTTATCTTTGCTCCTTATAAGCATTTACAGGTCAAATGAAGCCTTTTTTCATTAAATACTGTGCTGTAGGTGAGTCCCACTGAATATGCAGACTATGACACAATGGCTTTTCTATGGTTGTGTGTTAGGATGCCCAAACATACAATGGGCAACACAGGGGTCAGTGCTTCATCCTTCAAAAGAAGTCCACACTTGTCCCAGGTAGGGCACCCATGGCTGGGCCAGGGGAATATCTCAGAAGGTTCATCTCATCTTGTAAAATTTGTCTATCTCTACACAGCCTCTTGGCTGATTACTCAGGAGTTCATTGGGATTTGCCCATTTACAGTTTTAGAATTTTGACAGTCAGGTTTTTACTTCAGCCACAATCCAAAATGCCCTGGAAGCCTGAGAGATTTCACTGACTTCTGTTTTGAACCAAGATTGCAAAACAGCGCCTCTCAGAGAGTGGACCATTCTAACATCAAAATGCACATACTCCCAAAAACTCAGCATGGGCACTATCAGGTTCCCACTCTTTAAAGGTCATTTGGGCACAAACTTCCTACCAACAAGAGAAATGTAAGAAAACTTACCATACCACATTTCTGAAGGGTTATTCCAAATTCAGAAGACACTGACATATTCGACATATCTTCAGGCTATAGAGGAAGGGGAAAAATCTACATAATGTATGAAAATACAATTCACAAACTTCAGCACCAAGTTAAATTATATAAATAAATAAATAATTTCAAAAAATTTAGAGGTACCAATCGCCTTCAAATTTAGGAGTTTTATTATGCCAACAGTTTTAATCTTTTTTCTAGTCCAAATGTGCAAAAACTACTTATTCCCACAAGCAATTATTAGAATCTTAATTGATATATTCATCTTTTGACTATCACGATTCACATAAAAAAGCACACTATGCATGAAAGTTCATCAGACTATACAGATTCTTTTCATTACTGTCTATCAGAATTAACACATCATTTACACAGCTGTACCTGTCACAGGAATTCTTTGCAAGTCCCAAAACTAGCTGGTGCTGCTGAAGTCATGTCAAATGAAGACAACCATCTGAGACAGAACTAGAAATCTACTAACTGGATAGTAAATTCCCAACATTTAGTTTTTACAGAATTGCTACAACTGGCAAACCATGTTTTACTGACCGGCAGGTGGCTGGTGTCAGACTCCCGTTTGAACAGCACCTTCTTCGTCCAAGCAGGAATCAGGGCAAACAGTGAGTGGCTCCACTGGCTGTCCGAGGCTGCCGAGGTCAGGAGCTGGTGAGGGGCTTTGCTTGCCTGAATGACCACAGGTAAGGGCACTGCTGAAAACCAAGGCACCATTCAGCATTACAGCTAAGGCTGGGTCCTGTATGAAAGCCACTTGGTGCAGAGTCCAGCCAGCACCAGTGCTCTGTGCGCAGACAGAGCCAGACACTCTCTCTTGAGGCACTCAAAATCATGACAAGCAAGAGAGACTGAGGCCAGCAGGAAACAGAGATGGGATTTGTCCTACAAAACCCAGCAAGAATCAGAACAAAACTATTTCCTCCCTGAGAAACTGCCATATACCCCACAGAAAACTTCTTGCCATTTAAATATAAAGCATTTAATGCATGAATTAAAAGGTTTAAGCTATAAGTCAACTGTTAATATTTTTAACACAAAGACACTTTCAGCAAAGCATAGAGAATTCAAACAATCCACAGTGTGAGGGGAAGCACTGCTAAAGGTGTTCTGCTTCAAAAATGCAGCCTTCCAATTAAGCATTGACCTTGCCAATACATAGTCAGAACTGAAGTACTTCTCAGTTGAGGATGGATCTCAGTTACATTTCAGCTGAAGTGCCATCAAATCAAATGCTCATAAATTTAGTAATAAGCAATATAAATGCTAGCTTATGCTCTTAAATTTTTATGAAAGATTAGTCAGTGATATTACACAAAGTAACAGGCATAGTTTTGAAATCATATCACTTTGATCTAGGAAAGTAAAAGCACTTATGACATTAATAAAAGAAGCTTATACTAAAAATAAATAATTTAAGATGTTAAATTGCCAAAAGGTAAAGCTGCTGAATTAAGAGAAATATGTTATGAAAATTTAAAATGATAGCTGGTTGTCTATGTTCAAAGTATTTCCTTTTCATTTTTTGCTTAATATTATCCTCATTTATTACTTATTTTTTAAATCAATTTTCAGCAATATACATTAAAATGAACAAAAACTCCCATTAAAAAGGCAAGTAATTTTTTGAGATTACTTTTCTATGAAAAAGCTTAGTACATATTAATAAAATATCAAAAGCTGAAGACACTAAAATCTTATTAATATGAGTAGCAGCAGTTTTTGAAAAGCCACTGCTTTGTAAAAAGAACAATATAAAGAAATACAATTAGCTGCAAATAGAAAAGCATGGACAGAGCATTCAGAACTGGACCCCTAAAAGGAGCCTTAAAGCATTAATGCACATGAATTACTGAAAATAATTCTGTTAACATGCAATCCTGCTGCTTACAAAACCCAGGTGGACACGCACTTGGGGAGCTTCCCTGTCATATATATTTGGAAGGGAGTAGCATATACTTGACAAAATTGTGACTATATAGGCCAGGGAAAGTTGGTGTCTGTATTTTATGACCAGTTTTAATTCATTTCTCTAAGTTTTACTTAAGTATTTAAACCACTGTTAAACAATGTGACAGATTTGGACTAATTTAGGGGCCATAAAAACAACATGGCAAACTCAGTGAGAACAGTAACATGTAGAATTACAACAAACATCCACATATCTTTGGGGTTGGAATTTTTTCAAGACAGTCATGCATGGCTTATTTCAATTTCAAGATTAAGCAATGGTGCAAATCACTCAGAATGAAACCAGTGCTGAATTTTCAGTGCAGTACAAACCTGCTAAATACCAATTTGAGCTCACCTAGCCGTGACACTCCCCAGCAGATCCAAATATACTGTATCTGACCTCCAATGGCTTTAAACCTGTTTCTGACTACTGAATCAAGCCTCTTTGCAGTTTTGTATAAATATATTCACACACTGAAAAAGATTAAATTTATACATACTGTGTCTCTCATACATTAATGCAACTGTCATGCCATTCCTTTGAAAGTGTGACACCAATTCTCCTTTGTTTTCCTGACTACAGGAAATGCACTTTCCTTTACCAAAAACAGAAACCCTGAATGAGTTTCCCTGTAGGGCTTTGTAAGTCAGAAGTCAAAATGACAAAATGTATGAACTCTGTTGAGCAACTACTACCTTTAAAATGCTTCTTATTTAGCAGATCATTTCCTTCTGAATTTGGGATGAAGGTGGTCAGCCAACAAGAAGCATGCAATTGCTTCATAGGGTATCTTTTGATCTTGTGTCCTGTGTAGTATAACATCTCCATGAGCACACCCAGCTGCACTCTACATGTGACAGGAAAGCCTGATACTCTCCCTCTAAAGAGTATCAAGTCCACAGTAACCAATTTAATTAACTGATCATGTTCCCTGACTCTGAATCAATCTCTGTATTACTAATTACACAGATGAGTCTGTTTTCAAGCCGTGCTCTGTCATCACTTACAATCCCAAGACAATGTTCCCAACTCCCAGCAAAAGTCTCCAGGCATGTTATTTGGCTGCTTTGTGATCAGTAGCTGAAGTACTTGAACTTTTTATGTTAAGCAACATCAACACTGATGATGACAAGGATGTTTCTGCAAAACCCCTTGTATATTCCCAGTGAAAAGTTTTGCTTAAACAGATTCAACCAGTAAAATGCATGTCCATACAGCAACTTGCACCACTGCTTTTCTCCAGAATTTTTCTCATCCTTCCTAATAATTTTTAACATTATAGGCTGTTCTATAATACTCTGGATCCACTGCCAGTAAAGATGCACTTTTCTGTGGAATTTTTGTTTCTAGTATTAACTGTTGATTAAATAAAATAACTTTTTTCTGATCCACACATATTTAACTGTTACTGGAACAGCTAATCTACAAGAACTGAACTGCATTTCCACATAAGTTGCTGCATACTCAACATCAGCCAACATACCTGTATTTATCAATTCACCTACTGTCTCTTTTCAGGTAAGTTCCTATTGTAGATGTAGGATTGTAGATGTCTGCTGGGTGCTTGAAAAGCTGGGCTCTAAATATCTCAGAAAGGATGGTACAGGCATAATACATTCTGTCTTTTTCATATATATTCCAGATCTGAAAGATTGTTTTTTTTTTTTTAACAAATAGATTCATCAGACTTTGGAAAATACTTGACTGCTGAGACCTTTCACTTTGGCTTTCTTTTGGATGCTGCTCAGAAGAGCAATTTGTGTCCATGGTGCCATCAACAGTGCCCCTTCAGAGATGCATCCCAGTTCTGACAATGACTCTGAGGTCTCCTTGTTCCTTCCACTCTTTTCTTCCTACAGCTTCAATCTTTACAATTTTTCTAGCTGTTTTCAGAAAAGCCATTATCAGGATGCAAAGTCATAATTTTCATTGGTTTCTAAATGGCAACGATTCCCACCCCTTTTTGAAAGAAAATCTCTGCAATGCAGGGGAACAGTTGCAGCTTTCCACACAGCCCAGGCAGCCCTTCTCAGCTGGCCTTGCCAGGCTGCCACCAGGCACTCCCTGACTACAGCGCCTCAGGCCAAAACATTTCCCAGCCAGCAAACTACCAGAGCGTGGGGCTTCATCTGGGGCTTTCCTGTAAACATCTCCAAAGATGCCAAATCAAACAGTTCATCAAAGAAAGACAGCAATTTCACTTTCTTTGGAGATGTGAGAGAATATCACAATCTTTAAGAAAAATTTTCTCTTTTTTTTAAATTAAAAATTCCCCTGTTTTACAAGGCATTACCAAACTGTTAAAATATTTTATCTTACTTTTAATTAGCACATTAATAAAATGTTTTCCCATTATTTAATTCTTCATAAACCCAGTATAAACAGATACATCAGAACCCGGTCTTAAACTGCATATTCCTAGATAATTACCAGTGCTGGTAGGTAGATCTTGTGTTGAATTTCAAAATGGAAACACAGAATAAATATTAACATATCTGCAACAGCTGGAATATTGGTGTAACATTTTACCTCTCACATTCCTGTAGTATGCGCAGTTGATCAGAGCAGTCTGCTACTAAATGTTCAATTTTCTTTGCTGTTCTCTCTGGGCTGTTACTTGCCATTCCAGCTTTGTGCACTACTGCCTTGGGTGGTGACACATTGCTCTTCTGCCACACTCAAAGCATGGGCAATATGCTTAGGAAGGAGAGCTCCCCAATGTGGTGGCAGTGGATCTGTGTTCATACAGGCTGGGGGTAGAAGGATGGGTATTCTAAGAAATGAAATAAATTGTCTCCTGATTGTGGTCAGCATACTGTCCTTCACTTTGAAATTAGTTCTGTGTAAGGACATAGACCTGGCACAGCACAAGCCTTGACCACTGGACTCAGGGGGCTGAGTCCTGAACATGTCAGTGGCATCGACCACTCACCATTAGAACAGCGCATAGAATATCATGACAGAAGTTAAACTGAAGGTTACTCTTGGCTACAGCAATTAAATAGGATAAGAGAAAATTAAAATCATCTTGCAATAGGTTCACATCAAAAACTCCCATATGTCCTTAAGGCTCCTATACCTTTACAGCCCATTCTAAGCAGTAGAATGCCAAATTACCATAGGAAAGCAAAGACACTGACAAGTTTGTGAAATTTCAAGTTCAGAATTAAAAATGAGGAAAAAAACCCCCAATTTAACTAAGATATTAATTCTAATTTATTAATCTCAAGGGCTGACTATTTCAATTCAGATTCCAGAGTCTCACTTGCTTACCAACCACAAATTTATCAGCAGAGCTTTGAACAATTTTGCTTTATTTCAGTGGGTAAAACAGGAGCTAAATATGCTCGCTTGCTATATTCTTGTTGTTGTTCTAAATTACTCCCTGTCTTGAAAACCATCCAGGATACAAGATCCAATTTGAAGTCCTTTCAATTACACACAACAATGAACAGGCAAAGGTAGCTATTTACGGTACTCAGTTTTGAATGCTGCCATTAGCTTTTCTTGTTACAATGTCAAAGAAACTACGGGCATCAACAAGAAAAAACAAATCTACTTTCCAGGTCTGTTTTGAATAAATCAGAGCAGACTCAAATATAGCTCTCAAAAATCCACTGTGTTCCTCAGTCACAGGAATATTCTGGGGTTGTCTTTTCTCATCTCATGCAAAAACAACTCGAAAAAGCTTCCAACAGAAACACTGAGATCAGTGTGCTGTCACAAACCATTTCACACTTCAGCAAGCTGCCAGTCTCAATGACAAAGGTTTTACGCATGTCTCTGCTTTCATCAAGAACTTTTTCAGAAAAAAATAAAGAATGTAGTACTCTGCTTAGGCAAATCACTAAAACCTTAAGTTTTAATTATGTTAAAAATTGATATTTACTAGAATGGGAGAGTTTTCAGTTATAAAATCAAGCATATAATTCAGTGCTTGTAGCACCCATTTAACACATATATTTACCTACTAACAAAATGCCAGAATTTCACAGAATTACAATAATTGACTTTGGAAATAACCCTTAAGATTAAGCCCAATTGCAAACCTAGTACTGTGAAGTTCACCACTAAGCCATGTCTCAAAGCACCCATCTTTTAAATATCTCCAGGGATGGCACAGCGACTCAACCACTTCCCTGAGCAGCCTTTTCCAATGCTTGGTAACCCTTCCCATGAAGACAAGTCTAATATCCAAACTAAATCTCTGGAATAACCTGAGGCCATTTTGTTTCATCCTGCCACCTGCTACCTGAGAGAAAGAGGCTGAACCCCACTTCACTATAACCTCCTTTCAGGCAGTATAGAAAGTGAGAAGGTCATGCCTGAGGCTCCTCTCCAGGTTAATCAACCTCAGCTTCCTCAGCTGCTCCTCTTAAAACTCATTTTCCAGACTCTTTACTAATTTTGCTGCCTTCCTCTGGACACACCCCAGCATCTCAATGTCCTTCTTGTTGTGAGGGGCAGACTGACAACAAGATTTGAGGTGCAGCCTCCCCAGTGTCAAAGGGACACCACTTCCCTCGTCCTGCTGGCCATCTATTAAAATGATACTTCATATCAAAATCCTCAACTTGTTCTTTAGGGCCAGAAGGTTTCTCTTAAGTACAAAACCACACTCATTTCCTCTCTTGGTGGATGGTACATGAATAATTTGCAACCCATCACAAAGCAGGCTGCACACAGAAAAGATGACATTGAATAAATATGGAAAAAAACAAGCTCAGCAAATCTGAATTACTTGCTTTCATATTTAAATTAATAAACACATTTGTGAATTAGCCACGGTACAGGGCAAAGAAATTAGAGGTATCTCACTTGATAACTGCTTCAAAGCATGTAATTTCTAGGCAAATGCATGTCATGAAATAATCTCTTGGGGAACCATAGTGATGGAGAGGTTTATTTAACACACTGTGTTGCCCTGTTAATGTGCTATATGAGGACATCCTAACCTTTCAGGATATACTCATCTCTACCACACTCAGGCGAAGCAGAACACTATTTATAATACATACGTAGAAATTAAAGACCAGAGACTCAGAGAAACAAGAGTGATTTTCTCAAATTTACATCAAGTGTCTGTGGCAGTCAGCCCTCAGATGCAGCTACACCAAGCTCAAAGTGACTTCTCTAAGTTTCAGTGAGATTAGGCAACTACCTCTGGAGACATTCACCATACCTGGTATCACTGATAAGAATACTTGGTATCTGCTGTGAAGAGTTACCAGCATCCCAGCAGTAGATCCTCCAGACCCACTGTATCTATCAGTCTTTAAGCCACTGCATCCAACAGTCTTTAACAATCAGTCTTAGGTCCAGGATGAAGTGGTCCAGCCATTGCAGTGCCAGAGGTCCATAAAAACAGCTTCAAGAATAGGTATTGCAACACTGCTGATAAATGCACAGGGGTTAAGCTAGCTTCTGAAAATTAACACCTTGATCAGCTTCAAGTAGTCTAGGTTTTTCACAAACCTGGGAACTCTGGACATCACAGGGTGCTCCCATACACCATTATGTTTAATACTGAAAAAGGGCTCCTCCTGAAAATTATTCAAAGCAGGATATGAATTGAGGCCTTCTCAGAAGGGCTTCATTCTAGATGAGCTGCTTAGGGAACCTAGAGCACCCTTGTTCCTAATTTCTGCGCAAACACTCTCCCGTAGCTCCTGTAGAGTCCCACTGATGTCAGCAGGCCACCAGGGCACAATTCCAGGGCCCTGCTCATCTTCACACACATGTCCTGTGTGTCCTGGTACACCCAAAATGATGAGAAGAGGGAGGAAAGAGTTGCATACCTGCCATTCCTAGGCATCCCACCTCCTTCTGAAGCCACAGATCATCTTCAAAAACCTGGAAGAGAGCAATTATTAAAAAAACCTCTTTTCATAAATATCTATTATTGAACTTTTAAGCTAAATTTATGCTTCAATTACACAATTACACAGAACCCTATCCTACAAAGCCTCAAGTTTCTCAAAAATTAACTACCAGAAGAGACATAACTTGATTATTGAGGTCTCCCACAGCTTGTTAAGCAGAATGAGGCTCTGCTGCTCAGCATGCATGTGCACACTTTGGGGTTCAAACTGTACTTACACTTCATACTATGGGGATGAGTCCCTGCACAATAGTGGAGCTGGGCTGGCTATTAGTTTGCTTCCATTAAATAATCTTTCTTTGCCATTTTCATAGTCATATTTGAGGTCACGGGAAAGTCACTAGGAGGCAGCAGGAACACGTCCACATTAGATGATCGAGTCCACTGACATTACACTCATTTTTCTTCCAAAGAACTACACAGACACTTTCAAAGGGACAACATGCTAAAATTGCAGCTAGCAAGGCAATCTGTGACAGCCTCCTGCCTGTGCCTGGACCACAGAGACTGCTACAGAAATCACAGCTCAAAACATCAGTAGAAGAAACCAGTGTTTTGAGGGAGTTTTATTGCCCAGTGTTTTGATCAAGATGTAGTAGTCGTACAAGCAAGTTCTTGTTTATGAAAGATTCTTCCTTGCAGGAGCTAATAGAGAGGTAGGAATGTGGGCTAATTATCAGGGATCTAACTCTGCCTGATGACATCAGCTGCATTTGCTGTTTCTGTTTGCTACCAAGCACTGCATGTGAGTAATGTTAAGTACTGACTTATGTCAACCCCACTGTTACAGTACAGCATGTTACAGGCAATTTTCTTCTTTGCCTGCTCAGGGAAGCCATCACTGATTATTGCTAGAGCTGTAACTTTATTACCCTTAAATGAAAATATTTCTCACTTCAGTCAGGGTACTTTCCCTCAACATAACAGAAAATGCAAGATATCTCACAAATTCAGATGCATCAGAAGACCTGGGGTTTAAGAAGCCTCTGGAAAACATGTCCATAAAGGATTAAAAGTAACTCTTTTGAGAGAAAGAAGGGACTCAGAAACAAACATTAGCACGTACATGCAGCAAACTCTGAGCAGTTCTGGGATAGAGCTCTGGGAGATCCCAGACACTGAGCTCTCCACTAGAGGCTATTTCCAAATTCCTTGTTGTACAGCTCTTCCTAGTCTCCAGAACTCTTGTACACAAGCTGAGGTATGGTAAAGTTCTTTAATGCCATTATTAATTTATTGTCATTGGTTAAACAATCTGTATGACCACAAACAATCAAGCACCTCAAGAACACAGAAAGAACACGAAGCTTCAGCAGCAAGCTGAAACAAAAATTGTCTGGTGGATAACTCAGACATAAATTACTATTTTTTAAATTATTGTTATACATAGAATGAGTCCCTTCTGAGCTAGAGGGACCCTTGCAGATCATTGCACCCTAGCCTTGAATGAATGGCCCATAACGGGGATCAAAACTGCTGTTTGTGTGCCCCTCCATCTATGCATATGGATATGCAGCAACAGAAATCACATTAAATGGGTACCAATCTCTACCAGGCATTTCTAGAGCAGTGCAGGGCCCTATCTACATCAAGGAAATGTGTACCAGCCCACTAACAGTTTAGAACACTGATGAAAATGTAGACCACCAATATGGTCTTTTCTGTTAAATGCAATCTTGTTTATAAATATAAATCCCAAATATCACTGTTATGCATTAAATCAGCATATATATGAATTTCAGTGTTGGATGTCAACAGCTGCATTGTGAGCCTGCAACAAACGTTGACCATGGTTTAAACATGTATAAACACATGCTAAAAATGTGGTTTTCCAGCTAACAAGCTTTATTTCCTACTTTCTAGGAAATCAGTACACAACTGGCTCCTGATTTCCACAGGCTCCAAGCTTTTATTCCTGTGTGGTTTTACAAAATATAGACTGAGTATTCCATAGAAGTCTTCCACTCTGCAGAGTGCATCCATAATACCAGAGAGCATTGCAACAGGCTCCAAATCAGCAAGCAGTGGCAATTCCATGGACCTGCACTCCCATCATGCTTCAAAAGTAATTAATTTAATGCGATAATATTGTCAGGAAACTTCACAATTTTTACATTAATTTATTCTTCTGGTAAAATTAAGTTGGTGTGCTGTTTGTTGGTTTTACAGGGGGACTCCTGGATTTGAAAGGGTTTTGTTTGGTTTCTTTCCTGCAATAGTATTTCCTGTTTATTAGTCTTTCTGTAACCCTACCAACAAACTACATTTGTGACTCACTATAATGCCCACTGCACAGTAAGGTATGGGCAAAAGATAACTCTGTCAACACATTTTGAGATGGCTTGACAGACACAAACCCAGATAAGGTGAAAGAATGAACATAATAGCTCTGTCCCAAAAGCTACTGTACTCCTCACTGGAGACTGACAACACTGAGCAGAGATGCTGTGACTAGATCAACACCAAGGGCCTCTGCTCAGAAGCACAGCGAAGCACAGACACAGCATCACTAGGTCTGGAGATCATCTAGTCCTATCTTTTGCCAAAGCAGGGTCACCTAAAGCAAGTGACAAGAACACATCCAGGTGGGTTTGGAATGTCTCCAAAGAGGGAGACTCCAAGACCTCTCTGGGCAGTTGTGCTACTGCTCTGCCACCGCCAGTGAAAATAAGTTCTTCATGTTGTGAGGTGAAACTTTTTGTGCTTTACTTTATGGCCATTGCTCCTTGTCCTGTCCCCGGCTACCACTGAAAAGGGTCTGGCACCATCCTCCTGACAGCCACCTTGGAGATATTCATACATATTGACGAGATCGCCTCTCAAATCTTCGTTTCTATAGACTGAACAGGTTCAGCTCCCGCAATCTCTTCTCGTAAGAGAGATGCCCCACACCCCTCATCACTTTCGTGGCCCTCTACTGGACCCTCTCCAGTTTACTGAAGACCTTGTCCAGAACCTGCCGGCTGCCTCCCCAGGCCGGCGCCCGGCAGCTCTCCGCTGCCCGGCGGGCCCCGCTCCGAGCACGGCGGCCGCGGGGGCTGCCGCACCGTGCCGCGGGCCTGCCCTGAGCCCGCCTCCGACCGCACTCCGCGGGCACGGCCTTACCCCAGCCGCCGTGCCGGTGCCCGCTGCCAGGGGCTGAGCGGGCGCGGAGGGACCGCCGGGGAGCAGCGCCAGCAGCAGCCCGGCCAGCGGCCACCGCATGGCGCCAGGCGGACCCTCCGCGGGGGCGGACGGCGCCGCGGAGATTTTCCAGGCGTTGCCCCGAACCAGGCCCGGCCTCAGCTGCCGCATCCAGCCGCCATCGGTCTCCTCCCACCGCGGCGAGGGCGGGGGTAGAGGGGCCCCGAGCAGCGGGACCTCCCCTCATGCCCTGCCCTCTCCTCGCCGCGGGCCGGGTCCCGTGCGATGGCGGCGGCCGCGGGCTGTCTGCGGGCCGTAGGGCTGCAGTTCTGGGCGGACTCGCTGCAGGCTCTGCCCTCCCTGCTGGCTCCCACCGCGCTGCTGGGGCTGCTGCTGGGCGCCGCCGCCGCCGCCCTGCTCTGCCGCTGCGCGCTCGGGCCGCGCCGGGGCGGAGAGGTACGCGGGGCCGGCGGGGAGGGAGGCGCGGGGCAGCTCGGGGCAGCTCGGGGTAGCGGCAGTGCTTGGCGGAGGTTTGAAGGCGGAGGGCCCGGGAGGTGTCCCTGCCGGCTTGGCTCGCCCCGCTGCACAGGACAGCCAGGGCTGCGCTCGGGGCGAGCGGCGCGGCGGGTGCGCTCTGCAGCGAGGGTAGGTGGGGAGCCCCGTAATGCCTGCCACACCTCTGCTGGAAAGGATTTCACTGCTTCTCTTAGTAGTTGCTGAAAGAAATGGACGAACTCTAAAAGGAGGCCGGTAAAAGTGTTTACGTGTTCTGAGTGTTGCCCCCTGTCCTGTATCTCTACCATATGTGACCTGCGAGTTGCTTCTCGCAACCACCGCTTCGTGTAAGAGGCAGTGTTGCTTTTGGGGATAATGGAAGATGTGCCCGGTTCGCAGAAGCTTTGTGAGATAATTGAAAATAAACGCTGATTTCCACCCTAAACCAGTAATCTTATTTCCGAAGTGCTTTACAGACTTTTCCAAAGTTCATGTTACAACACAGCAGAGTATTAGTACTTGCCCACAGCATTAACTTAGCACTGAGGGTATGTACATGGACACCTAAAGAAGTAAAGTAGCCTGAGCACTGCTGACGGTTTGCTTGATGCCAAGCTAACAGGGTTTTCTAAAGTGTGTGATTTTGTTAATAACATACTTGTTCTCTTTTAAGTACTACGGTTCATATCTCTTTATTTCATAATGTTTGTTTGGACTCATAGATTGCAGAGGCAGCATGCACCTACTGAACCAGGCAGACATCCATCTACCAGGCAGATATATTTTCTGAGAATTGTTATTGATTTATGCTTTATTCTCCCATCATGCTGGACTGACTGGATGTAGCAGTGGTTGGTGCTGGCACAGTGCGGGGATTTGGAGCCCTGCAGAGAGTTCTGCCAACCTGCAAGTGCGGGGTCTGGTCCAGCTTGGTTTTTCACCACACCTTTCCTCAGCTATAACAGCTCTGCTGTATGTGTGTATCTGCTAGTGCTGATCATCATTATAATTACATAGGAGACAAATTCTCTAGTTCCCAACTGCATTTACATTGGAGGATTGAAGCTCTGTTTGAAGCCAGACATTAACCTAGTAGTAAAGGCACCTGAAATGTTGGATCAATGCATCCTGTCCAAGTACAAGCCCTTCTGATTCAATTGCTCATTTTCCATGCCTTAATAGGTGTATCTTTATTGTACTGCCACTACCAACTCAAATGTAGTTGTGTGCAATTTTATCCTTTATGTCATATATGTCAATAGGGAATAGAAGCTGTCAGTTCTCCCTGGTCTGGATCTTCAGATGCATTTAGATGTTTAAATACTATTAAAATCAATGTTGCTGTCATGAAAGGGTTATTTATTTTGAAAGAAAAATAAACTGCTTGCTGGTGCATACAGAGCACATTGCAGGGTGGGAAGGTTGTATCCTGTGGGTCTGATTTCCCCAATTGAACAGGGAATCCTTAGGCTGTTCCTCCTTCCCACTATCTGCCCCAGCAATGCTATGGAGCAAGCAGGTGCTGAACTGCACCTATTGCAGCCTCCTGTACCCAAAGTAAAATCAGGGATACCTTTCCTGAATATGGTGGGTTTCATCCCAAGAAGCTAAATTATCCTTAGCCAGGTAGCAGGGCAAGTACCAGGAGTCGGAAGCAGCTTTAAGCACCACAGTAAGACAACACATTTGTCACTCAGATGATCACTATTTTATAGATCACAGCCTGAATCTGTGAGACTTGGATGCATGGAGGGTACATAAGTCCCCCATTTGTTGATTTGTACGTAGGATACACTGGGGTAGTTTTAAGAAGAGGTCTTTACCATGGTGAAAAATAAATTACAAGATTGCTGCGGGAGATTTGTAGCTGTTCTTTTAAGTATATTTTAGGAACCAGCATCTGCACTTCAGCACATCTAAGAGGCTAACCCAAAAATACAATCTCAATTATTGCACCATCTAAGATCCAGAGAGGTGACAGAGGCACATCATAGAGGATTAAGTGTGTTCCAAAGCTGGGCTGTTCTCTGTGTTCTGGGAAAATGGACTACTTTACGTACCAAATGGCCAAATAATTTAAGGGGAACCTTTCCATAAGAGAGTGATGTGCATAGTGGCTGCAGTTGTATCATTAGACTACATCAAAAAGTAGTCAGTGGATTGAAAACCTGAAATATAATTTAAAAAGTAGTCTATGTAGTGTGGCTGCTATCTTTTCCTTCACTGAAAAAATAATCCTTCCAATGCTGTGTTTGGAGGGAGGCACATTAGTGCTGTTTTCTGATCTCTATAGCGTGTAGGGAAGATCATGTGTAGCAGGAGGTAGAGGAGCAAAAATATTTGGCATTCTCTTTGTTGCTGATAATTATAGACAATTTTAGTTAACTTGCTGTAATTGAGATGTTTGAGCTCAGACCATGAGGTTGACTCCATAATCTGCACTATGAAATTTTGATAGCAGATGGATTGATTTGACATGTTCACAGCCTCTTAAAACTCTTTTAGATTAAAATTCTACTTCTGGAATAACAAATTTAAAAGTTCATTCATTATAATTATTTTTTCTGAATATGTAAAATTTTCATTAATTTTCAGATTGTTTTTTTTGCAAAATTTTCAACTAATACTGGAATAATTTTCATGATGGAGACATGAATGTATCCAGGCTACTGTGGAAGATGTTTCCAGTTTACCTGCATGATCTCAAGTGTTACATTTTATGTTTTCTCTTGGAATTTCAGAAAGATGATTCTCAAAGACTTCTGGAAAGCTTCAATGCTGATGAAAAAGAGCACACACTCATGAAAAGTAAAGCAGAACCCTATACATCAAAAGAGGAAATGGTGCTGGAGGTAAAGCTCTGTTCTTATAAGTGGATGTCTGTTTTGCTGCTTGTAGCAGTGAGCATGTTCAGGGCCGGCTCCAAATTGTCTTAATTTTGGTGGGTTTGGAGAGAGACTTTAAAAAGTGTTCAGAAAAAGTGTAAGATGGAGAGTGGGAGTTGGTTGCTGCTTATGAATGCAAACATTTCAAGCACATATTTCCCTTATGAATTCCATTTCTCCTGGGAAACCCTTTGGATATTTTAATCAAGAGTCTGAGTTCTTTTGGACAGAGACTTTTTGCTTTCATCTCTGTGTTGTCCTTAGTTTCAAAAGGCTGATGGGATAAATTAGCAGTATTAATATAAGAAAAAGTTTGTAAGTACTGAAAGACCACTGTGGTGAGCTGGGATTCAAAGGCAATTAGAGAATTTGTGAAAAAAGGGTAGAAATATAAACTTAACAACCCACCCTCAATGAAAACATCAAATAACTTAAGTCTTTTTTTTCTTATAATCCCAAAAAACCTGGACAACCAGTCATACTGTGTAGTCATTAGATCACTATCTTTCACCCAAAGCTGATTTGACTGGTCTTGCTGAAGCCAAAGATTGTGATTTAAACTACTCATTTAAAAATGTGCAGTTCAACTGACTCATTCAGCTCATACATGGATAAAATGTCAGTAATAACCAGCCAGTCTAGTGCTTAGCTTGTAACAAGAACTGATTTCAAGAAAATGTTATTGTTAACATTTAAACTGTTGGTTTAAATCCTGACAGGTAATGAATCTTCATTTCACCTTTGTGATTAGGAGTTGTGACAAAATATGGTTGGTCATTTTGCTTGAGTTAAAGTAGAATATAACAAGTGAGCATGGATTAGGTTATTTTTTGAAGTGTAAATGTTGTGGGAGAGCTTACACAATTTTACATCTTTATGCTTATTACCAGTGTTTTCGAAATGGGATCACAGTCTTTTAAAGGTGATAATTCACATCTATATCCATTTCCATAACATGGCTCATTTATAAGACATTTAGAGGTAACCTTATTATTTGAGGAGGCTTTCTCCCACCTATCTGTCTAACTACTGAAATTATATGTATTTTTTCCTACTAATTTGTTCTGATTTCCAGAGGCTTTTGCTGTTACTAGCATCAAACTGGCATTTTATGAAGAAGCAGATAGAAAATGCTTTTAATTAGGTTAGAGCACTTCAAAAAAAGAGGTATTTTCAATGAGACTTTTCACATTGCAAGAATATCATAATTACTGTATTAATAATAATTGTGTGTTAGTTATACCTGCTGAGAAGCAGGATATATTAGTTCTAGCCACTGAAATACAGTTTTCCAGTTGTGCACTGGCTGCTCTGCCTCCAGTCACTGCAGAGCAGTAGCTCTGTCCACTCCTGTCCCTGATGAGATACTGCAGTGCTGGGACTGCTCACCAGGAGCAACTTCATCAGTAAACTTTATCAACAAACCCAAAAACTGGAAAGAAATGAAATGGAGATGAAAAAGTGCAATGGTAGAAGTCCAGTGAATTACATCATTTGCTCTTCTCTTTCCATTTCTGTTTTTTAGACTCTATTAGTGCTTTTATATTTCCTAGAAAAAGCTGTATGAAAAACCGTGTGTTTTGACAAATCAGAGTCTTTCATTTCATATGACAAAACCAAAAGAGATAAAATAGGAAATCCTAGTGCTTGGATTTACACATTTTATCTGCTATTTGTAGCCAAACTTTTATTAAGCCATACCTAACCTCTCAAAACAAATGATGATCCCATTGTTCCAATGTCTAGAAAAACGCAGTAGCAGAAAGTCAGATTATGTGACACAGAAAATGGTGTGAAAATAATTTAATAACTATTAAATGTTCTTTGGAAAAACATTGTTATTTTCCCTAGATTTTGGGTAAGAGTTGTATTATGAAAGTTTTGTTTATTTTCTCCTGTAGAATTAAAAATATTTTGTAACAGTAGTAATGACAAGAGTTCCCTTTTCAAGTTTTCGTACTTGGAATGAGCCTTACGAGAAGACTTCTTGCACCAAAGCAGGGACAATCAATAAACAGTTATCAATAGGAACATTTAAGTTGTTTAAAAAAAAAGAGCACACAATACTTAAAGTGAGTAATTGCCAGATCTGCTGCTGTTCTCAAATGGTTTTCTGTTCTTTTCCATACAGGAAAGTGAGTCTCCTCTGAACAGTAACATTGCAGCATTTGCATTAAAGGCAAAAGTGATCTATCCCATCAACCAGAAATTTAGGGTAAGGTTTTAGATTCTACTTGTAAAAATTAATGACAATCATTCTGTGTCAGAGTAAATTGCAGAGTCAAGTAATAGAAGAAAATTTACTGCCAATCTGCTTAATAGGGATCTTTCTTTTTTTAATAGTCCATTGACCCAGGGCTTACTCTGTAAGGTGTCAGCTGCTTTCAGCTCCCCTTAATTGTTGGAACCTGCAATGCTTTTCATGGTGTGCAGTCAATTTTCACTGTCTTTAAGAGAGCTTCTCTGCCCCTTAACATTAATGGAAGTTTGATCTGTCTAAGGAGCCGTAAGAAAAAACACCACAAGGATCTAAAAGAGAAAGCAAACACCAAGCAGGCTAACTACAACAGAAGAATGCTTTCCTGGGCAATGCAAAAGCCTGTCATGTATATGAAACACTTTTGCTGTGTATACTGCTTTTATATAACTTTTCACTTAAAAGTAAACACTGAAATTTGATGTGATGTTTATCTCTTTATTGTGTTGTATTAATTAACCTTGTGAATTTCCTTTGACTTACAGCCTTTGGCAGATGGCTCATCCAATCCATCTTTGCATGAGAATCCAAAACAGGCAGTTCTGCCTAATCAAGTGATGGAGACATCTATGTCAGGCAGCCTGGGATCCCTGAGCCAGGGAGACAAAGAGGACTGTAGCTCCTCCACGACAATACATTCCACAACAAGTGATGACAGGTTTCAGGCTCGAGCCTTTCTAAAGGTGGGCAGCTTCCCTGAAGTGCTCACATGTGAGAGGTAAGCAGTAAACCTGCCCTTGTTTGGTAATTTCCTGTGTTTTCAGGACAGTCACTAAAGATGAAAGGCTGGCTATGAATGCACACAGGTCACCACATCAGGACAGGGTTATCTGCTTATAACCCTAAAAAAGTTGTTGGGGAGATTAATACATTAAGATGTTGGAAGCCATCCTGTTCTTTGTGAAATTTTGGGAATCGGAACTGGCCAAAACTGTCTCACAAAAGGTGTTAGGATAGGGAGATGTCTTTGTTATGTCTCATATGCTCAGTTCACGTGTGCTGGGGATGGAGCTCTCTGCACTGTACATTGCCATCTCACACTGCAGGTGCTTGGAGAACAATTGGTGGCCTGTTCTCTCTGTTTTAATGGGAGCTACTCATGTCTTACTCTGGGAAAACAGTTCCTCTCTGACACTGCTGATGAGCAGGTAGAGGTAATTGGAAATGGACTCTCAGTTCTGATTTCCTTTCAGCTGCACCATGGCAAGGTACCCCTAGATGAATACATGTGTCTGTACTCTCATTAGCAGGAATAAGAAAATCATATTTGTGTCCCCAGGACTGGGAAAGGTATTAGCAGTGAAGAATGTTTACAAAATACCCACTCTTATTATGGCTGTTTCAATTTAAAGGTGTGTTTTCCCAGGTTGTATCCACTCACGCCTGCGTTTACCTTGGTTTTTCTAGAGGAAACCACAGCACCAACTTTATTTAAAGCACTGTGTTTTGTTTATGTTTACATACAGAAAGCTCTTCTGAAAAGGCAATGTAGAAATTAAGTAACTTCACTTCTGTTTTGGGGCAGTGTTAGTAGGAGGATGTAGTGGTTAAACAAAACTTATATTGTGTTGTCCTTTTGTGTAACCATCATTTAGATTGCTATTAATGCATTTTTAATCTTTGTTTTAGTTTTGATGTTAAGCTCTGCCTTTGCAGTCTTACTTTAAAAGATCTCATGCTTCTTGACACTGAACTCAGAAAAGAAAAACATGTGGTAAGTACTTATATCTCATTTGTAGCTAATTGCTTTGAACATCTTATTTGAATATTAGTTTAGGTAATAAAATAAAAAGCTGGCTAGGTGAGATGTAGTGCAGCAGAGTTGCATTTCCACATTATAGTCTTTTTTTTTCTCTCCTGGTCTGCATATCTATGAGCTTCCTAAAAAAGTAAAATATAATGAGGTATACTGGTCTGTGAAATACCAATATAGAAAATACAAAAAAATGGTTTTAAACATTGCTCCAGAGATTAACATACAGCACTTGAGGCTCATAAGAAGAGGTAATAAATTATTTAATAGATGAGTTTGTCTTAAGTACAAACTTGCTTGTTTGTGTGTTGCGACTCCAAAGACTTAAAGCTTTTGGAATAAAATTGAAAATTCAGTTCAACTGAATCAGTACCATTGTGGTAAGTACAATAGCTGTGAATTTGTATGACTGAGGGATTAAGATACCATTTAAACCATAGATAACTACCTGCACCAAGGAACAGCATCTAAAAATGACAAGAAAAAAAAAAAAAAAGAAAAAAAACACCTACAATTAAAGCCACAGGATACTCAGTAATGACTGTTTGTGGTGACTAACTATGATCAAGTATTGCACCATTACTGCTACTGAGGTTTAGCTCATAGATATGAATCTGGACATAAAATCTATAACTTTTTCCTCCCATCTTTTCTTGGTCTGTTTAAACAAAATTGGTAATTACTGTTATAATTTACTAAATCCACTGAGAATATTTCAAAGGGTGGGATTTTCTGAACAAATTTCTACACAACCCAAAGGAGGAAACAGGAAAGTAAAGCTGGGAAAGTGTTTCTCATCTGATGGATTATCCACATCTAGTTAGATGAGAAAGGGAACTTGTGATCCAATTCCAGAAGGAAGTTTAGCTTGATTATAGAAAGTTGAACTTGATGTCAAAGTTAATAATCAACTTCTAAAGCAAGGTAAGTAGCAACATAGTGATGTAATCACAGAAACAGAGAGAATGACCATTTAACATGCTTTGTGGCCCACCAGAAATCACCACAAAAAACTTTGACCTTTAGCTGAATATTTAAATAGCTGTATATTTTTGCCAGAAAGGAAAAAGGGAAAAATAAGTCAGTCTGAGAATAATTTCTTCCTTTCCCACTCTGCTTTCTCTGATTTCAGTCTTTCTTGGCATCAAGTCTAAGGAAATACATCCTTTTCTATCAATCTTCTCCTGAATCCTTTTTTTTTTTCATTTTACTTTTTTTTTTCTTTTAAATATATTTTTACTGTATGTAGTATCTTGGTAGTGTGCTCAAAATTTGACAAACTTCCGTCCAAAACATTTGCAAGTGAGATCCAAAACATGACTGCTATATGGTTTTCTCTTCTATTGGGTGCTATTTATAATATATTTTCCAGGTTTTGCTCACCTGACATACTGGCTTCAATAATTGTTTCTGTATGTAAATATGTATTTATTTATGTTTTTATATGTTTTACACAGGGAAGTTCTGCATCATCTTGTTTTTAAGATTATGAGGAACAGGCAGGTGGCTGTTAAAATTCCTATATTTCTATTTCCACACTGGAAAATGCTGCAGCAGTTAGTAATTAAATGAATTAACCTTACATTGAAAGTCTAATTGAGGCAAGAGGGGAAAAAGTTAAGCAAAATTTTTCCCAGTGTTAAAAAATTCAAAAACATCTTTTTGAGGACACTGGTATTACAGTCTTAAAAAAAAAAAAAAAGGTACACAAATGGAAAATAAGTATTTTTATTGCAAGAGAAGCTAGCTAGAACTTGAGATATTTTCTTTTGGGTAGTGTATAAAAATGTTTGATATATTATGTGGCTGACTACAGTTGAAGTCAGAGTAATGAGTCTTTGGTATCTTTGGAATAGTTAATATCTTCCAGTTTAGGGGTTCATTAAACTTTAGAAAAATGGGCTTTGTATTTTCAAGTGATGTGCATTTTCTCCAGTCAAGAATAGTTTAAAATCTGTCTGTCTGGTTACAAGGATATATGAAATTATGTGTAACATCATCTTCCAGTACCTCACTGGAGCCAAAATCAGGGAATTTTTCACAGTGGAAGTACTGGAGAGTTGCTGGTGATTTGTCTATTAATTTATCTATTGTTTCACTTATGATTCACTATAATCTCCCTGATTGATTTATATTAGCAAAATTTATCACAAAGACGTCCTTACAATGACGAACAGGCATTTAATCTTGGTGTTGTTTTCTTCCTTTTAAACAGCTGTTTATTCAGATTTTCAAGATATACTTCACAGACTTCCATCGTAAAAAGAAGATTACTGATGGTTTGTTGAAGAAGATCCTTTTAAATCAGGAAAATGTAAGTGGGTTTGTTGGTTAGTATTTAAGACCACACAAAATAAGAGTTAATTTTAGTACCACAGCAGGCCATTTCACCTACTTCTTTTGAACAGCAATGTCATTTGTAATCTCTTGCTGAAGAAAATACAAAGAAACTCCCTTGTTAGTTGATTTTCTACATTACCTTGTATGCTTTTCCTCTTTGTTGCTGTATGAAGTGATCTACGTAATCTGTTAAAGATAAAATACTTTGTAGTTGAATCCATTTAAGCAAACAGAACATTTTGAACCTTATTCATTCAGATTTAATAATCTCTAATTATCAGGGGCTTTGTTTGGTCCCAGGTATCTTGCTTATAAAATAGCAGGAAATAAAGTAGCAGTATGACGCTCAAGGCTTTCATCAGGGGAAAATATACTTATTTTCCTCATCATCCTTTTTTCTTTCATGTGCTTGTATTGTAGTCCATATGCCACTTCTGAACTGGAAGACATATATTGACAAGTCAATGTGTGTTTCAGGTAGGGTCACAGTACCATTGTTAAGATTATTAGAAGGAACAAAAAGCTTTACAAAACTACAGAAAATAGGAGAGGTATTGGTTCCACTTTCCAGTTTAGAGTCTCAGAAAAATCTGGATTGAGAAGCAGATCTCTAGATTGTCTGGTCCAGCCTTCTTTAGGAAGCTTTGTCTTCTGTAAGGTTATCCAGTGCCCTGCCAATCCAATGTTTGTACTGAGAGCAGCCTAATCACAGCAACAATTATGCTTTTCTTACATGTAGATGGAATTTCACATCTGGATTTTTGTCTATCAGCTCATGAACTCTAGTTGTTGAATACTTTGTGCAATCTCACAATCTGTGAATTACTATGAGGAATCTCTGTAGCTGTACTCCATGATTTATATCAGAAGGTATTTTGCCTTAAAGCACTCTTTTGCCTTAAATCCTCAGGTCTAGTATTAAAGCTTATTGTATTTACTAAATGAAAAGTGAGATTGGATGTGCAAAATCCTTTTACTGCTGGTCTTCTGGTAATGACTTCAAATTATAAATAGAGCTAATCTAGAATAGGCATGTTTCCTGATAGAACCTAATCCTCAGTGAAATTTGATGGCATCAATGTCCTCATGCCTCTAAGATGCTGCAAGACAAGGACTAAATCCAAATAATTAGATGCAACAATTGCCAGACAAGTCCAGTTGTTTAAAGTGCCAATATGGGGTTTCTGTGTCCTATATGATGCAGAGAAAGATCTTGTAAACCTGACAGGTGAGATAACATACAAAGAACAAGGCTGGTTATGACCACCGTGTAAAAGAGATGTTACATGTTTTATTGCAGACAGCATTACCCACTTTTAATTCTGCATCGTAAAAATTAATGGGATTTTGATGCAATTGTTAGTGGAGCTTGTCAAACTCTACTTATATTTCTTTAAGGCATAAGGGTATCAAGTTAATGCATTGAGAGCCAGAAGTGAATGGTATTAGAAGTCAGTGCTTGCTATATAAGGCATGTTGCAGTAAAGGAAGGATCACCATTTTCAGTATCAGCTTACTAAGCAATGGCAGCAGACTAGTATTTGTCAGCAACATCAGCTTTCATAAAAAATCATCCTGATTTCTAAAGGACTGAAAAACTGTAAAATCACATGTAATCATGCAGCCTGTGATTTATCCCTTATGAGCATTACAGGTTGTTCATCTGTGAGAGTTCATCCAGCACTCTGAAGGAATCACTGTCTGATTATCACCTGGATACTTACCTGAGCTTTTAAACACAGCATGTACACTCATAGCTGCCATTTAAGATGGGGCACATGCATTAAAATAAAAATATTTGTAGGTAGATTCCAGGGGTTATCAGTGTAAAACTCATGAAGCAGTGTTAACTAATGAATTCAGTAGAGATAGATTATGGTCTTGACTGTACTCACATCCTGGTGGAAATGTATTTATATTAAGTTTCGTTCAGAGCTGCCATATATCTGGAGATTTCATGCTTGCAACAGAAGGTACATTACCAAGAGACAGAACTTTCTGAACACTCCTGTTCAGCTTCCTTAGCCATGAGCCAGACCCAACATATAGATTCACTCCCAAATTGAGAAGTTATGTCTGTTTTTCTGTTTAAGAAATCACTTTTTTTTTTTCCCCAGGATTTTGAAGAATTACAGAAACAACTTGAATCTAGATTCCAGAATACTGAAATGTCAGGAGCCCGTAATTCAGAGTTCCAGACTCTAGAAGACCTAGAAAGGAGGGAAAGGGAATATTCCGAGCACATTATAGATAATGTAACTTCCTATTTTTTCTCTAAAATTTTATTTTAATGTTAATCTTTTGGAGGGGAGTTCTTTAGTGCAATGGTTTTGTTGGGTAGTCCACAGTTAGTATTTTATATGTGTCCTGAAAATATTTTCACTTTGCCCCAGCAAAATATTTCCAACTCCCTTTGGGTGTCAATATGTTTTTATAGATAAAACATTTTCTATGCTTTTTGTAAAACACTACTGTTTTATTAGCTGAGAAATGTCTGGTGCTTGTCTGATGATAAGATTTATTTCAAGCCTATGTATAGCCTGACTTTTAGGAATGTTATCCTAGCATCTTGCTTTTGTCAATCCCTATAACTGAGTAAGGGAGTAATAAGAGCCTACATTTTTTTTTTTCAGCAGAAAAAGTACTAAGACTATAGTTGCTGGGCAATGTTTTAGTATGCTTTATGCATTTACTTTAGCAAAGCCTTTTTCTTTAGCAGTTTTCCATGTGAGAATGTATTTACATTTTTTTATGTGAAAATACCATTTGATAGCAGGCATTTGATTTTTTTCTCTAAAGTAGGTTCATTATATCAGTATAGCTTTCAGTCTAGAAAACTGGAGGTTGAGAACATTGTATGTCCTATTCTCCAGTGAACTGAGTAATATTCTTCCCAGCCCTGTTTTTGAAGTTTGAGCAAATTGACTGCTGATGAAAATGAGAGAGTGACAGCTCTGTGAGCTGCCTGTGCTGATTGACTGTGGCACTTTAGCCCTGGACCAAACAGGCCATGACCTGAGCCTTGGGCCTTTTTCATACAGGAGTTAACATTTTTTAATGTCTGGTGCTTAAATGCTTCACTGGGAATTTCCTCTGCTTTCTCTAGGCCCTTCACTTTATAGTGAAAGTCCTGGTAATATTGGAACATCTGTGTTAAGTTTCTTTTGCACTTTAACTTTGCTCAGTGGAAAAATGATTGTTTAGAGTTTTCCAGAGTTAGTCATGTAAAAAATAATTGCTGGCAACCTTGCTGAGCATCATGAGGTATTTATTCACCAGCAGCAATCATCCTTCAGTGGGTCTGTCACTCTTGTGCCTGCAGATGCTTTTCGTTGTACTGAAAATAATTTCCCTCTATGCAGATATATCTAGTTCAGTACCTTGAACTAATACAGTCTTCTTCTGAGAGTATAAAGAGGCTTTTGCCATACTCACAGATGCCATAATCACTTTTTTTTTCCCAAAATGCATGGGTACTTAATAGAAATCGTGGTGATGGATGCATTCTTTACCTTTATGTGTACAAGTAATCCCACAGAGCACAGAATATTAACAGTATATGCACAGTCATGTTTGTGGAATCAGAACCTAAAACTAGGGATTGTCCATATAATAATCTATCAGAATTGGCACATACACTGTGCTAACATAAAGCATTTAATTCCAGACAGCAAAGTGCTTATGTAGCACCTAGCTGTTAAAGGCTTTGATGGTGTAAAACAGTAATAATTTTCAATTTTTCTTTTTTTTTTTTTGTGAAAATGTTGTTTGACTAAACTAGAATACCTGCTCCTACAGCTAAATAAACTTCCCAGAATAAAAGGAATGCAGTTTATCTTCCAGGTTTTTACCATCAATACTAAAAACATTATAGGCTCTTATAGGCGCAATATGTAGAGAATTAACAAATTCTTAGCTAGTTAAAAATAATTACTACAGTTATTTTAAAAGGTCATGTTTGACCTACTGGTTATGTGCCACCACCATTATTATATATATACATATATATATATATAAATAAAATATATAATCATCTCTTTAGCTTTGTATTAGTGTTGTTCAATATAACTAATACTGAGAGCTGTCTGTGACTTGTATTTCAGTAGACTCATACATGTGCCTCTTTCTGTAATGAAATACCAGATGATTAATAAGGGAACATGAGTTCTCTTTTGATTCATGTTCCACAGATGGAAGCCTTCTGGAAACAGACTGACAAAGCCCAGCAGGATTTTTTGGACCAATCAAAATGCTCAAGTGCCAAAGCAACGAAGATAATGATGGATCTGACTGAGAAGATGATTGCAGTAGAAAGCTTGTTAAGTGAATCTCAAGACTTGCAGGCAATGGTAAAGTAAAAAAGAAGTCAAAGTTGAGACAGATTTAGTCAGTCTGAACAGAAAGAATTATGTCAGTACAGAGTCTGTCAGTCCTGCTTCAGGAGTGATGTAGACTTCTTAATCCAGTTGTCTCTGAGCTCTATTGCAGAGAGCTCAACTTCCATTGCACTTTAGGAAGATTCATGGGAGGGTGAACTCTCTGCACTTGAGTTCTAATCTCAGAATACCGTTTAGGTAGTCATATAAGGAAAAAGTATTATTAATGCAGATGGTGAACCAGGAGCAAGAGCACAAGATCCAATCAATGGAGAATTGTTACTGTGGGCATTACGAAATTTCTTTTTCTTTCAAAATATTTGTTCCACTTCAACAGACAAATCCTAATTTAAATTTGAGGGTGATTCTGTGTGTTCAGTGATTTTAATTGGAATTGAAAAGTCCTATCAGCTCTTAGAGATATGGTCTGTGGAGGGAAAACTGTGTTCATAAATGGACCAGCACGGTGTTTTATGTTGTGTTAAATCTAACAGATCCTTGTTTTTTACACAGGATATACTGGAAGGGTTACATGTAATTTATAGATTACCATACAATTGGAATCACTGCATTTATTAGTAATTTGGTGTATAAATAGATACAGTAATTATTAACTTGTTAGTTTTGCATTGGAGCAGCTAAGTAGACTGAGCTGGCCAGGTGTGAAAAGTCTTTGCTGCTTGTCGCACTCAACCCAAACTGAGCTGCTGTACAGTAAGTTCCTTCAGATGGGCAGATTGCAGATAAGATAATCTAGATACAGGATATATATCAGGAGATACTCCTGCCTGAAATCACTGCTATGATGATGATGAAATCTCATTGCAGAGGTCATTGTAGGTACATCTCTATTAATTACAGTAGGTCAGAGAATCATAGAATCATTTGGTTTGGAAAAGAGCCTTGAGATCAAGTCCAGCTATTAACTTGGTACAACATTGTCAAACTCTTTCTAACCTTGCAGCATTGTTTAAAGCAGCTGCACTTTTATCTGGGAATCTTTCCCTGCTGTGATCATAGGCTGCTTCTTTAATAGTGCAGTGAAAGCTGTTAGGCCATAGGCAATTATGCTAATTTTTAGTGTATGTACTGAACTCTGTCTGACTGTGTATTTGAAGGAATCACAGCATTATCAGAATCAGGTATGTGTCCTCATTTCAAAATGAGAACTTGTACTGGTGTGCCATATAGTATCTTGAAAAGAGGTCCAGGACTTCCATGTTGTCTTCTGTCCATCTGTCCTAATTGAGTATTTACATTTTTTCTGCAAGGCTGTTATTATCTTTTCCAGACTTAATGTCTTCTTGACAGCTACAAATAGTGAAAAACAATAATTTTATATTACCTCTTGCAACTGAACATCCATTAAACCTACTGCTAGCCTGTAGTGATCAAGACTTTCAGAAGTATTTAAGTATATGAAGATGGTTATTCACATGGTTTTGAGAAGCCTTGGTGGTTTTCTTTGTGGTTTTGGAATCAATAGTTCAATGAAAGGAAAGCACAACCAAAGATACATTCTTGGTTTCTAAACAGGACTTTATGTTTGGTCTAGGACATTCAGGAAAGGTTATTCAACTGGGAGCTTATGGTGAAAATGATCGATTCACTGAAGTCCTCTATACCAGAAGAGTGTAAGGGTAGATTAAATACTGTGTCAAATATTCTGGACCACTTAACTGTAAAGAATAATCTTTCAGTCCGACAAAAGGAAGAGCTTCTAACAGACCTGCACAAGGCCTTCTGGGAACAGCTGGCACATTACAGTAATGGTGAGTACTTAGACTGGAGCACATGACTTACGTGAATTCTCATTGTTTTAAGGAGTAAAAAATACAACTTCAGCTGTATATACCTCTCTGCTTTAAAAATATACTAATTAATTGACCAGGATCAGTTTTATTCTGGAGGGTGTATGTTTGGAACTTTGACTTTAGGCCTTTTATGTCTTGTTCCAGATATTACGAGGTACTTAACTCTATAGTTCACAAAATCTAATTCTGTTAATTTGAATTGTACTTGCTCCAAGTATTTGTGAGATTTCTCCATTTACTGTTCACACACTTGGCTTTGCTGGTCATACTGGCTGACATAAGACACTGTCTTAGGATTTCTTGATAGCATGTAAAGCCAGAAGCAGTTGTGCTATGTACAACGCAGTTGTGCTATCACTTTTCTGAAAAGATAATGTTAAAGCTTATGATCTTCCTATAAATCTCTCTTTTCTTATGTCAGACTAAAATACTTCTAAAATGAAGTATTTTCCTCTTCCTTTTACACCTCTTCATATTGCCTATCTGAAAAGTACACAGTCATAATGAAGTCTAAGCTGACTGACCCACTGATTTAAGGTTCTCCCTGTGTCATTTTGTATGAAACCTAATGCCCAGTGTTGAGAAATATAGACCCATCTTCTCTGTTAGGTGTTGTTTCAGGGCTCAGTGCCTCCCATCAGCACTCACAGAAAATAATGGTAAACATTTAGCCAGAAGGAAAATAATGCAAACTACTTAAACACAATTTCCAGAACAATTTCTACTATTTTTGGACACATTTAAAGAAAATTGTCATAGCAAAATGGCATTAGGTTTAGAGTTCAGTGAACTGAATAGTCAGAATGAATGCAGTCTTGTTGCAATATGTTCTTGCTGCAGTGCTGCTCACTCACTTTGGGCTTAGTGGTGATAATTTGTGCCTTATCTCACAGTCATCAATTCACAGAATCACAAAATGGCTGAGGTTGAAAGAACTTCTGGAGACTGTGTGGTACACCCTGTCTGCTCAAGCAGGTTGAGTTACTGTTGGTTGCCCAAGATCATGTTCAGACAACTTCTGTCTCCAAGAATGGAGACTCCACCTGGGCCACCTGTTCCAGTGCTCAGTCATCCTCATGGTAAAAGGAACCTCCTGTGTTTCAGTTTCTGGCATCTGCCTCTGGTCATTTTGTTAGGTACTACAGAAGAGAGTGGCTTTGTCTTCTTTGTACCCACTCTTCAGGTGTTTATATACTCAGGTGTTTATATACTTATTATGCTCAGATTTCCCCCTGGGCCTTCTCTTCTGAAGGCTGAACAGCCCCAGCTCTCTCAGCTTAGTCTCATAGGAGGCACGTTCCAGTCCATGCATCTTTGTGACCCTTTATTCAATTCTCTTCCGTTTTTCCATGTCTGTCTTATACTTGGCTGTGGAGCCCAGAACTGGACACAGCACTCCAGGTGTGGCCTAACCAGAGTTGAATGGAGGGAAAGGATCCCCTGCCTCTACCTGCTGGCTTATGTTCAACCTGGTGTCCACCAGAACCCCAGATCTTTTCCTGCCAAGCTGCTTTCCAGCTGGGCAGTCCCCAGCATGTTCTTGTGCCTGGAGTTGTTCCTCCCCAGGTGCAGCACTTTCCACTTCCCATGGTTAAACTTCAGGAGATTCGTTAAATCCCATTGTTAAACTTCAGGAGATTTGCATCAGCCCATTTCTCCAGCTTGTCAAGTGCCCTATGGATAGAAGTACAAGCCTATGTGGTGTATCAGCTCCTCCTCCCATTTTTTATGACCTCTGCATATTTGCTAAATTTGCACTCTGTTCCATCATCCAAGTTATTAATGAAGCTACGAAGCAGAATTGCACTCAGTATTGACCCCTGGGGTACACCAGTAGGTGCTGGCTTCCAGGTGGACTTGGAGCAAGTTTTCAATCCATCTCACTGCTCCTCCATCCTCTTCTCTGTGAGGATCTGTCAGGAGGCTGCATAGAAAACCTACCTGAAGTCAAGGTAGCCAGTATCCACCACTCTTCTATCATCTACTGAGCCAATTATTTCATCACAGAAAGTGCTGCAGACCTGATCCTCTTTAAAAACATCTAGCTGTGTGAACAGTTTGCTGATATTCACAAATACGTGTGTATTGTGATAGTTTCTTTCATGCATGTTTGCATCTAAAACTGTCTATGTCTAATTTATAGTTTTCACGTAGGTTCAGCCACTAACATTCTTTAAGTATAAATGGTTGTCTCTGGGTGATTTTTCCTTCTTTTTGTCAATTTTCACTTGTTCCAAAGCAAAAATACCTCTGTCAAGGCCTTTATTTTATGCAAAGTAGGTTTTTACAGTTATATATAGCTATATATTATAGTTAGTACAACCTGTGCAGAGCATCATTATCAACCTCCTGGTTTTAGATAGAAATGAAACGTGCTTTTAGAAAAATGATCTGGAGTGCAGCATTTATTCCAGTGAATGTTGACCTTTCTTACAAGCTTCTAAATACAAAAGTTAAACTGTAGCTATAATTCACAAACAGAGCACAAAGCCAGCAAGATTGCACTTCTAGGGTACAAAATAAGGAAGTAGTAAAGAATCAATAATGTTTAAAAGTAAAACACTCTTGTATTTATTTAAGTGATATTTTCATTACAGGCTTTCCTGTACTTCTGGTGCACCTTCAAGTGTTCTGTCAGTGCATCATCAGCCTGTGGATAAGCACAATAAATTAGCATGGAGAGTAAATAACATTCTTGGTGCTGCAGTACTGTGCTCCTTTTGTTTCTCTACAAAATAATTTCTCATAGTTAAAGCAGCTTGATGTAGTGGCAGAACAGCAGCCACAGGTAACTGTTCTTTTGCATCCCCCTTTGGCTGCTTGTGTCAGGAGTGAAGTACTGCTATGGGCCAGAGTAACTTGGGGAAATTAGTAAAATTTTTCTTAGGTGAAGAGACAATGAGACATGAAGTGGCAGAACATTTAAAGCAATGATTATACTCAGCAGCGCAGGATGCAAATAGACTCAATTTATATATCACTTGGAGCAACAGGGGGAATTAATTTATCCCCAAATAGTTAACATTACTAGCACAAAATTGGAGGGACCTTGACAACTTTTATTGCAGGTTCTTGGATGAGTCACGTTAGAAGTCTGGTATGTAGGGGCTGCATACCAGTTCAAGCTAATCTGAACTAGCACTGCTTTAGACCTTTTCTCTCCACCATATGTTACTGCTCCTGTCTTTGCAGCAACATTTGCATATCTTCAATTAGGTAATGAGACACTTACTGACCTTCCTAAAGCACAAGGGGGAGATTTGGAGTGCTGAATGAGGGAATCTGTTTCTTGGACTAACATGCTGCGTTTGCATAAACATCAGTACCAGTGAAAGGGAGGGTGCAGGAAGGGAGCAGTCCGAAAAACCTGATACATTTAAGTGCCATGTAACAATTTAGAAGTTCACGTCTAAAAAGGCCATCAGGGTAAGAAGCAAATTTCAAATCCTGCATGGTGATTACTTGTCTATTTCACTCACTAACAGATTTCCGTGAGCTTATGTTGTGTGACAGTAGCAGATGCTGCTCTCTCCCTGTGGAGTTGTGGTGCCTAATTGTTTGTGGTTTATGTTCCAGAATGCATGCAACAAAGTAAAGACCTGATCTTGAAACGGCTGGAGTGCCGTGCGAAGAAGAAGGAAGAGTTCAAACGCAGACTGGAAGCTGAACAAGAAAGTCTCCTTAGCAAAACTTTTCTTACTGAAGATGTTCATAATTTTCTCAAGGTGAATAAGTAAAAGCTTATTTTCCCTGTTCTATTAGTTTTTAAAGCCAAATGTATTTCAGATTTCTCCCAATTCCATACAACTGGGAATTTTGGGTCCTCATGAGAATCATGTGCAGTAGCACAGGTGGACAGGGTCAGAACCCCTGTTGCCATTGCTTTTCCTTCAGTGTTGGTGTTGTTGCATTGGAAGAGAATGCCAGTTGGGGTTAATGCAAAATTGCATGTTTCATAGAAAACATCTTTTACTTAGGTACTGTGTGTTTGCTTCAAGAGAGGAAATACCTGGAAGAAAGTATCCAGCCTGCATTACAGAAAAAAACAGTCTTCACTGATATAATTGCTTTTCTATCAATTAGGTTATTGAGGCTCAAAAGACTTAGCAAATTTCAGAGAAGTAGAGGAAAAACTAATTATGATGTCTGGCAGGATGCCTTAAAGAAGGTTTGCAATTGATAATTTAATATGGTATACAATGGCCAGTGTAATGTTTCATGCTCATATTTTCTATAGCGATTTGTTACTATTGTTCCAGATGAATAAACAAAATCAGAGTTCTTAGCTGTAAATGCTGAGAGCTGCAAAATTCAAGTAACTGCTGAGAACTGCAAACCCAAGTTATTAAAAACTAAAAAAAATTAATCCTCAATTTTATTGAAAATAAAGAATTTAAGGTGAAAGTGGTTAGATCCAACAGCATTAAACTTTTGATGAAATCTAATAACTTAGATAAAATTACTGTATGAGAAGACCCAGATTCCAACTGCAGCGAACTGTCAGAATTTATTGGTCTTAACACTGCAATTTTGCACCGTGGGGCCTTATTCTTTAATTATATTGTAGGAATTGGATAATGCAGTTACTGTTTCTGTATGCACACCTGCCTGGCAACACCTCACTTCAAAAGAAGTAGAGCACTTTTTGAATCTTTGACTTTTCATAACTTGAGACAAATAATTCTGTGACACACTTTTGTAGCCAGTGTGCGCTTGTGAATTTATTTTCCTTTTAGACATCATTGGATACTCTTGGACACATCCCAGATTCATTGAATAAGGCTTAAAAATTTTGTTTTAAGACATCTTCCCTACAAAGGTAGAGCCACTCAGCTTCGTGCAAGAGATGCTCTATTCTGTACATCTTATGAGCAGATCATTAGTCTAGAGTTTAACTAAGCCTACTCAACAACTTTCTGACAGGCTGAGCAAGGAGGGGAAACTTGCACTTCGTGCTGCAGGACAGAATACAGCTGAGTCTTAGGGATATGAAATGCTTGTGTACAAATTTTGGAAGTCAGAAATGTAAGCCTTTCGGCTGAGCAGTGGAAGAGTCTTTTGTCCAGAGTAGATAGGGTCTTAAGTGCAGAAACTCTTCAAAGAATAAGAAAAAATTGTACCTGCAGCTCCCATGGTTTGACTTAAATAGCCCAGTAATTATTTTGTGAGAACAATCCACTTGGCATTGAGGAGCTATTTTAAGTTTGTTTTGTAATTTTACAGCCAGCCCAACAGTAAAGGAATTGATTGCAAAGCCTCACCATGAGCCCAGAGCTGTACCCATTCTTTTCTCTGCCTTTCCCCCTTCACCTCATCGAGGGCTCACACCACCATGGTAGCAGCCTTGCCAGTAACTGACCTTCCTGCTGAATTTTAAGTGGTTGCCAATTATGGTGGTGGATTTTGCAATAAACTTCATTCACATCAGATTGTTCTGAACACAAGTAGGGTGGTAACAATTGAGTTGCTGCAGATCTGATTTTTTTATAAGACAGAATGAGATATATAATAAAGGTTAGAGTTCCTGTATCATTCTTTCTCCTTCACCTATGTTTCTGTTGGAAAAGGAGGATTTTAATTTTGTCTTTTACTGGCAGAGAATGCAGGAGTGATCAATGAAGAACACAAACCATAAAGTGTCAGTTACAGTGACCCAGGCTGGCTCCGTGGAAATACAAGTTATAGCAATTTGTCAAATTCTGTCATAAAGTATGACTCCATGACATGTGTGAACTTTCAAGTCTACCTCTACAAGAATGCTGAAGAGTTTATGGGCACTTTGGTGTTCTTTCGAAGTGCTCTATTGACATACCAAATGAAGAAAGCCATATTCACCATGGGAGTGATAGGGAGCACTTGGCAGATTAAATCAAAATATTGAATATTTATAAATAATGCTACTCATTAGTCTGTAGATTGAGGTAGTCTTTGTCTGTGAAATATATTCTTCCATGAGCCTGCCAGCACATCCACAGTTACAGTCCTTACTTGATGAAAAAAATCACATCCCTCTTAAAACTGTGACCAAGGACCAAGTCAGGACCACATCATAGATCAGCCTTTTACAACCACCATGGGACACGGTGGCCAACTCCAGTGCAAAAGCCCTGTACAGTGTGATACAGCTGTAACTCATGTGTCTCAGGATGATATCAGATGGCTGTTCTGCACCTCATAGTAATGGCTATGATGTAGTGATATTCATACATCAAGCAGGTTTCAAATCAGATATTTTCACGTTTTGTAGTAGTATTTACATATTATTTAACCCCCTATTGCCAAGGCTAAGGAATTTTATACTCAAGACTTGAGTAAGCTCAAATTAAGGTGGTTAGGCAACTTCCATTTTCCTCTGAGTCATGGTTCCAGGTAAACAATTACTGTTGTAGTGGTACATGGGAAGATCATCAAGGAAGAAAACTGAAGGATCACAAGAAACTATTAAGATCTTTTCAGCTATTTAAATATGCCTACTATGTTTCTTTTTAGGCTTACCATAAGCTGATGGAGAAACACCGGCAAGCACAGTGGGATCTGGAGGAGGAGGATGACTGTGAGAGCACAGAGGCTGTCGCCGATCTCTACAAGGTGCCACTTCCAGTGATAAATGTCATTTGCTAAATTAGTTTTGAAGAATGCCTAATCCCACTACAGTGGAAGGCCTTGGAGAAGATTGGGGAATTGCAGGAAGGATCAGCTCCAGGAATTACAGCTCCAGAAAGCTAGGCTGACAAAGCAGAAGATAGAGGCAGGACAGTCTTCCATATTAGCTTGGCTTTTCCATTATCTTCCCAAAACACTATGTTTCTTAACCTCATATTAGTTAGAAAATGCCTGCATGGTCTGCCAAAACATGCTGCCCAGGTGGCTGACAAGGTTGCAGTAATGTTGAGAGCATACAATGTCTGTCATTACTACCAGGAGAGAGGTTTCATTTATGTGGCATAATTATCTCTTCTGCACTGTCAGTGGATAATACTATTCTAAGTGAACTTCACTACTTTTAAAAAGACAATCTTTTCATTCATTTCTCACAGAGAGTTTTTTTACTATAGTTAGTTCCCTGAAATAGGTTCAGATCTTTGGTGTAAGTAATATTTTTACGCTTCTTTTTGTTATTGATTTGGAAAATTCTAGGTGCTTCATGCTTTTGCATCATCTTTAATTATTTTCTGTCTATGCAGAAAAAATATGATAATATGATCTGTCTGGTGAAGCCCAAAATCTTAGTCAGTAGTGACCTTTAATTAGGCTGGAACTAATCAGTTTCAGCTCAACAGGATCCTTGTCATGATTAATTGTGACCAGATCGGGATATTGTGGAAACTTGTGGTCCCTATCACATACGGCTAATATACCCATACAATCTTTATTTTTATATATATAAATATATATATTTATATATTATGTATAAATATATATGAAAATATATTTTTACATATAAATATATATAAATATATATATATAATATATAACGATATATTAGTAGTCCACATGAACTTTTTCACATTCATTTGATAAAAAAATAAAGCCGGTGAATCAGAGTTGATTAAGTGTACAAAGCTATGTAATATAAGAAAAATCAACATATTTGCTGATATTACTGTGCTCAGTTCATCATCCATAGTTACTAACTTCTCCATCCCCTTCCTCAATTCATGTGAAGTCTGGAGACTAAACAATTTTTTTTGGTTTTATCTTACACAGTTCCTCCTCATTTGTGAAATTACATTGCTTTCTTTTATTTTGTACTCTGCTTTAGTAACACTAAGACAGGACTGAAAATCCTATTTCTTTCAGTACTAAGCTAAGTTTTCTTTACCATTAAAGAAAAAGTGGTCTGGGTAAATTAAGTTTTTCTAGAATTGCCAGGTTGCCAGGAGAACTGCATAAACTTGAGCTCTGCCAGTTCACCCAGCTCTGGGCCTTTTATTCCGTTTTACAGCTGCTCTTCTATGACTAGACCCAAACAGTGAAAAGATGTGAAAAACTGCATGTACTTTGATCCAAAAGGCATCTGTTAAATGAGGGTCCACAAATCTGTATTTCTACCTTCTTTTTTCTGAAATTAAACCTTTTTACTGTGATATTTAATATAATGAACACTTACACTTTCTCTCCTTAACTCCAAATACAGATCCTATGAACTCTTTTAAGAGAGGAGGCTGCTTTTGAATATACCTTATAAGCTATAAAGAAGAGATAATACAGATGAGCATAATCCCACTGAAGATAGGGCTGTTCCCACTTCTACTCAGTGGACAGTGCAATGGTTACACATTTTCCATAACCAGGGGCAAAAAAGCAAAAGTAGACTTGCTGTTAAAGGAAGGAGGTGCATCTCACAAACACAATGCTTTGCTTGTCTCTCTGCTCCACCACACATCCAGAGCTGAAGTGCAGCATGCACCAGCACAAGTCTTTCCTTGGGCAGCAGGATTTTGCCTCTTTACTTATTTGCTCCAGTTTTGTCATAGGAAGAAGCTGCTGCTGCTATTGGGAAAGACAAGGTAGCAGTGGTAAGGTGACAGATTTGAGATCCTCCACAGTACAGTTGTGTGACTGCAGCTCAAGTAGACATGAACAAGCTGGGTACCAGCAAGCCTCACCTGGCAGCAGTCAGCTCTGTGATACACACCTATGTGTCCCCTGGGTCTGGACTGTAGTCCTGCTGTTTGGGCACTTGTGTAAACACTGCAGAGCCTGATTTGCCTTTCCAGAAGATCTGCACGCCCTGAAGCTTAACTGACAGTCATTTGCCTTGCTAATGGAGAAGCTGAAACATGATCACAATGAAAAAGGTGATATTAAAATATAAGAAAGAGGTCAACGTGTGACTTAAAAGGGAACCAGTGAGTATTCTGAGGACAGAAGAAAAGGTGTTACTAACCTGTAAGTGCCACTCCCTTGTGGAAGATCCTTAGCTTGTTCTCACAGTGCTCTTCTAAGCCCTTATCTAATTCCTGTGCTTTTTCCATTTTTCCATTTTTCGCCTTTTAAACAGATCAAGATAGATTTATATAACCCTCTAGCACTAGGGAAGTTTGTACTGCTACAGTACATGGAAGAATTATCCAAATTGGTGAATAAATATGTAAAAATTCAATGATCTGGAAGCTGACTGTGTTTGCATAGAATAATTGAGTAGGTTTGTTTTGTGTACGCATGAATAAATCAATTAAAATGATTTAACCAAGGTTGGTGCAATCTGTTGATGCCTGAAGTGAATGAATGAGTTCTATTTGGGGGATAGTGTAGGACTTTTCGGCCACACTAGTGGATTTAAATAGTGTGCTGTAGGTGAATAGTCTGTGTCTAGACACAGGCTCCATAACTAATTTTTGAAATATGTGTTGAAGAATGAGGGCGAATGATTTTGATTATCACAGTATATCATAACTGAAGGAAAAATTGTGCAAAAATAATTGAATGGATCAACCTAATATTTTCATGAACGGAGTCTGCAGAGTTACCCTGTATACAAGGGATTCTGTGCTGGTTTTACCATAATTTCCTATTACATGGCAGCAATAACACACCAGCCACGCTACTCCCTGCCCCAGTGTATCCAGTTCTGTTTCTCTTGAATAGATTAATGGCTATCTCCAGTCAAGTTTAACATATCACCAACCTTTGATATTTTGATAGTCACCAACCTTTAATATTTTCCCTCCTTTTTCTTTTGTTGTTGTTGTTGTTGTGTGAACTACTAGTGTATTTCAGTAGGGAAAGTCAAAGTTAGGAGGTTGGGGTAACACTGTTATTAGGAAAACAGACATGCAGATTGCACAAAGGAAATCAATTAACAGCAAGGAAATACATAGTATATGGTAAGATAGGTCTTTTTCTTCTGCCTTTATTTCAAAACCATAAAACCACAATTTATTGACATTTATAATTCTCCTTTGCTAATAGCCATTCACCAGAATGTTATTTCATTTGGCTTGACATGGGAATAAAATGCACAAAAATTTAGACTAAAAGCTATTAAGTCATCAGTATTATCAATGGGCAAGGCAGTAGACATTTTATGAATGGGTAGACATAAATGTGTGTTTGAGGAAAACTATTTGATTTTTTCCTTTGTTAATAAAAGGGAGAAAAAATAATTTTGACTAGATAAGAAGTACAGATTCTCAAAGACTTAGTCTTTCATTACTTTCCTTATGTAATTCTGCTAACATGAGATATGGTTAGGGATGCTGGACTGCATTTTTGAGTACCAAGAGCTGGCTTCTTTTTAAGAGAAATCAGTCAGTTTGTCTCAGGAGGAAATTCCTATCAAAAAACCTCCACCTCAAAGGCTCACTTTTGAAATTTTTGCCCTGTGACTTACCCCAAAAGTACAGCATTATCTGATAGATTAAATCTGTGAACTCACAACATGGGAGCCCACTCTAATTCTGGGTTTGCGCACTATTAGATTTGTTTTGGTTGCTTCAGTCAAAGCTGATACAAGATGTCTGACACAGATAGCCTTCATTCTGAAGTCTTCCCCTTGCCTTTCTGCATAAGAAAATGGATTTTACCACTATACAGATTCACAATTGACTAATAGTTAGAGCTCACGAAGGACATAACCTTATCCACAAAGGCATATTTCTAAAAGCGGAGTACCAAAAGAGAAGATTGAAACTGCCCCCTGAATAAATCAAAGACTAGTGAGGGAGCAAGACAGAAATTTCAATAGACCTCCATTTTAAATGTGTGGAAATCAAGCAGTGGAGCTTTTTTATTAACTTCAATGTCACTGCTTTATTGATTTAGGATGCTTAAAAGCAGGTAGGGTTTTCATTTTCCAACTGACTTTCCAGAATTCTTCACATGGAAGAGAGAAGTACGTGTAATGAACTTTTCCCTGTTTCAAGTAGTGTATCTTCTGAGTATATGTGAACTATCTTCTAGTGGCCAGTGGTGTGTGTGCCCAGTGTCCCAGAATTTTGGATGTATTTCTGGGATGTATGATCTGAGTATTGAATCTCTATCCTTTGTAAGATACAATATGGTTTGGGAGATGAATCTCTTAGCTCCTAACCATCTGTCTTAGGCACTGAACTTCTGGAGGCACATGCAACAGTGTTCTACAGCTTTGACCAGATACTTAATGCCTTCAATAAAATGTTCTATCACAAGTTAACAAATGGTTGTGCGGTTGCCTCTTTGAGGTAATATATACTTTTCAGTGGCTGGCATGTAAAATAAACTACAAGCAGCCTTTCTAAATACATTTTCCTGCTTCACAATCTCACTATTCACTCATCTATATGTAGGAACCTTTTAATCTTTTAGGTTTAAGGGAGAGAATTAATATTGTTCTTTGAGTGAAATCTGATAAGCTATGTATTCTTTCCTCTGGAAAATAACTTTTATAATACATAGGGTGCCATCCCTGCTCACAGACAGACTTCATTGCAGTTTGAAGTCAGGAACATTCCTTAGAGTACAAATAGTTTTGAACTGTTTTGTTAGCTTGAGTTGCTGGGTGGAATTCAATCACATCTGCAATTTTTCCTTAATGTAGGCTTAGTATTTCCCCTCTCAATTTCTTAAAGGCCATTCTGTCACATTTTTCAAGTGCTGCATTAAACAGCATGGCTGCTGTGTTGTCCCTGTGGTGTGGCCTCTGGCTATAGCATGCTGTCCTCTTAGGTCTAGCATGCAAGGGCTGCCTGGGCTCTGATGTCTGTGGGATTGTCGCATTAATGATGTGATATAGATAAGTAATTTTGTGGGAATGGGACTGAATCACATTTTTCTTCAGTAGCTGTCCCCACTGTGGTAGTGCCAAAGGTAAGCATACACTATAATTTGAAGGTGCAGGGGGTACAGGCAGTACAAAATGTCATTGACAACAAGGAACAAAATACCTTATTTTTGTTCTGTGCAAAATATTTCATAGCAAATAATAACACAGAGCTGTGAGCATGCCAGAGAAATGCTATCAGTTCCACAGCAAAATGTGTTCAAAAGGGATTTAGCTGCCATTGTTAAAGAATAGAATTCCTTAACACCCTGCCTGAGATCTTTTGATCTACTGCAGTAGAAATGCCACGGACTCCTTTAGACTCCTTCTGAACTATTTCAGACCCAATAGAAATTCCTATTGAATCACTGAACACTCAGTAAAGGCAGGAGAATAATATGTCCTGAAAGGCTGGTTAAGATCAGAGGAGAGATGGTTTACAGAGATAGAGCCATTATTCCTTAAATGTTGTATGGAATATGTAGATAAGAAGTGCAGTATCTTTGAGTATGTTAAATCTGAGGACTTGGAGTCTTGGATGTTAAAATAACAGCAGAAGAGAGAATTCAAGCAAACCATTTGGCATTGTTTTGCCAAGCTAAGCCAGGCCCACAGCTACACAGATTATTAGGATGGTATAAATCATATCTCTTGTTGTAACAGGAACTTGTTACTATAATAATTAAGGAATAGGGGCAAGAATCCTTCAGCACTGGATGCGCCTGTGTAGCAAATGTTCCCCTAATGGTACTGTCTTGTCTAGATTGTGAGCAATCACCAGAAATGGGAAAAGTGTTATCAGAAGTTACGTATTATGTTGGGTCTTTGACTACTAACTCTCATACTTATGCCCAGTGCTCATTTTCAAAAAGCCATAGTCCAGTTTGCAAGGATTCAGAATGTTTTGAGATTAAAGAAAGCCAGTGGGAGCTGGGTTCTGGAAATCCTGCCTTCCTTGAACATGTAAGAGAGTGGAGAGAGGGTGAGACAGCTCATCTCAGAGGTGTAGTGAACATGTTTTGTAGTGTTGTACCTCAGTTTTCTCCATAAGAAGAGGTTACTGCAGGGAGCTGTTAAGCTATTTATTGTTTGTGAAACAGCTAATTAATATGGTGATTAGCATCCTAGGGTGATCATAGGAGGAAAATAATAATTTAGTACTCAGTGCACAGCTTGTATATTTTACAGTAAATGAGAAATATTAAAATATTTTTCAGAAATCAATCAGTTTAAAGGATATTCATAAACCTAAACATGGAGCAGATAAAGGTGCTGTGGAAACATTACATGAACCCCAAATGTATCATTATAGGGGCACAGAACTATATTTCATATTCAACCTAAGTTCTGGTCTTTATTTCTGAGTTCTTGTCCTTGCACTTTTTTATTATTATTTTTTAGTATTTTGTCTTTTATTATTCACTATCTAGCAGTTGGAATGGGCTCTTACACAATAGTACATTGTAGCAGTGTATGCCCTCCCCCAAAAAAATTCCACTAGAATGTTTGTTGTCTGTCAGCTGCAGATAAGCATATTTGATATCTAGATAAATACCCAAGTGTTTCTTTTGAGAGGTTCTAGATTTTGATCATCTAAGAAATTGTAATTAAACTTGTATTTAAAAGAAGGCAGCATCTAGAAGACCTGACTTGTTCTTTTAGGAAGAATCTTTAAGAGAATTTTCAAAATATTATCAGTATTTTAAAGAAAAGAAAGAAATATATATATTTTCAAGAGGGTTAACACGGGTTTGTAATGAAAGCAAGCCCAGCAAGGCAGTAAAGCTTCTTGGACTGGTAGGATCATGCGGAGCTCACACAAAAATAGCTCATCTTCCTGTAGGAATACTGCAGTGTCCATGTGACTTTCCAGAGTGGTTTAGTTCCTTTTCAGCTGGGAAAGCGACCTGTCCCCACTCCTGCCCAGAAATTATCTCAAATGGCACCCAGGTTGCCAGCACAGCTCCTATCACCACTGTGTATTTGACAGTGAAACTAGAACTGAATTTTTAGCTGGGATGCCATCTGACTAAATCACCCCAACACTTTTTGTGAGTGAAACAGCCTCAGCAATTAAAGACTGTTCATATGGAACTAGTTTCATTAGAACCACCAGAAGATGTTTGTTTTCCTAGGCTTGAAACTATTCTGCATCAGGATGAATTTGAATAATTCTGTTCTTCAGGCATTGAAGAGTGCTATATTGTGAAGTACCAACTACTGACATGACTAATGTCAATTTTGTCTAGCTAAAAGCCATACCATGCCTTTTAACTCTTTCCTCTTTCTTCATTCATTTCACAGCAGCACCTGAGAAGACGTGCCTACGAGGTGTTGTGCTACACCGGATTGTTTCCACAGCAACTTTCAAAATAGGCGTTTTTATAACACATCATCATAGCCAGCAAAACAAGATATTCTTTTCTACTGCAGTCACATGTGAGCAACAGTTAGGGCACAGGGTCTCTTTGTGCCACTGTTGCATTTTAAATGCCCTGTATAGCTTGAACCAAAACATTTTGTTCCATCTACAAAACCTGGTCTTTTAAGTCAAGCCTTAGTGGCATTGGATTGTAGCTCTAGGATTTGGATACCAGCCCAGTGTATTCACATGGTTCCCTCACTGGCATCATGGAACATGCAAGGGAGCAGCTCCAAAGGCTTGGGGTTCAGTTTTTCACCTTTTTCTCTCTGTCCCTCTCTGTGCCTCTGTTAGGAGCTGTACTCGAAGGCTTCCCATGCTTTAGCAGCGTTGGTGATGGAGCTGTTTCTTCAGACCCTGCCTGTGGTGACCAGCCTCTCTGTAAGAGAATGTGAGCTTCTGAAAGAGGAATGGCAGGAGAATTTGGTCCCTGAGCTGGAGAAATGGGAGAACCACCGCCAGAGACGCTGGAAGTTTTTCCAGGAACAGCTATTGAAAGAAAAAGAAGTAAGATCCATGTTATACTTTGAGATCTCAGTGTCTTAAAAATGGGAAACAGAAAAAAATTATCAAGGTACTTACTTGTGGGGAGTGTTTAGTGTATAAATATACAGCCTGGTCCAGACACAGCTCTAGGCTGAGGAGGAGCAGTTTTATCTGCAGCATGGAATGAATATGTATGCTGTGCATGCAGTCTTGCATAGAGGAGTCAGAGAGTAATTACTGAACATCTGTCCACAGTGTTTGACAGCTTTGTCAGCACGTAAACACTTTCTGGCAAGGCTGCTCTCTGATGTCCTCAACTCTTGGCATCTACAGAAATATTTAAAAAAAAACTTCACCAGGTCTGTTTGGAGAGGGTGCATATAAATACAGTTTACAGGCAAGGAAGCCTTCCAGTGATAAATACTTCTTACTAATTTTTATGTATTAATGCTGTAATAACTGGAAACATATGATATGTACTTCTATAAACTTACTCTTCTCTGCAAAGGTGGAAACACGCACATCCAGCTTTCCTGCTGTGTGTGTGCCCACCACAGGGGGCATTGACACCAGAGGAGAAAACAAGAGTAAATGCTGAGACAGGTGTCTTTAGCATCAGACTTGTGCTCAAGTATGCCTTCAGTTTATTCATGCAGTGCTGTGTCTCTGTTAACACTGCTTCTAACACAGCTTAGTTAAAGAAAGACCTTCTCTGCTCAAAGGTGTGTCCTTTCCTAAATGTTAGGCGTGTGTTGCAATGTATAGAGTAATTGCAGCTTCTGAAAAAAAAAAGGTTGGCAGATTTCTTTAACACTGACAGTATCATACTTTCCCTTGCCCTCATTCTCCAAAGTGCCTAGACAATCCAGTACATTGTTAATGAGGTACTGAGCAAGTCCCTAATTTTTGCAAACTGCGTTAAGGTGTTCAACTTTTTCACCCACTCGCATTTAGGATTCTGCTGTAAAACACTGTGATTCAGGAAACTGTGGGCTCCCTCCTAAATCTGGTAGAGTTGTTTGCTAACCAGTGGGTTTAGAACACCCTTGGCAATACAAAAGTAAAATTTTTCATTGAAAATGTTGAGACATTTCCTTTTATTCTTCTGCATTTTCCTTAATCTGGAGTTATGCAACATGTACCTCCCTGATCTTTTTATATTTCCATTATTGTAACTGACCTGTTCTGAAAAACAATTCTCTTTTTCTGTTTTGGTGTCACAGGGCTATTTAGCAAACTAAACTAAACTGTGCTTGGGACCAACCACTGATGCCAGTGGGTCTACTCATGCTTAGTTACATTTGTATTTTCCAGGACTGTTGGATGGCATTTAGTGTTTTATTTTGGCGTACCTGTACTTTCAGTGATTAATGAAACAATGTCTGACCTCAATTTTTTTTTTATTTTGCCGCTTTTTATCAAGGATTAGATTAGAATACCTGACATGTCAGTTTTAAACTTTGCTGTTCATTTTCACATTCATCAGGGGTGCACAAATTGCCTGTCCTTGTGTGTGCATGGCCTGAGCAGCCTGGTCTGGTAGGTGAACTATGAGCACATCTTGTAGCAATGTGGTGGTAAAAAGCCACAGAGAAGCAGGAGGTTCTGGTGTGCAGCTTGTGAATAATGTCATGTCAGAGTGCACATTAGGGCATCTCTGCTGTGGCCCTTTCACTGTCCCATGGAACCTCAGCCATTGTTCATGGCTGGAGAGGATGCATTTAAGTAAGAGACTCACCACAGAGGGGGGACATCTCAAGTCTGCTTTCATTGGGCACACTGTTGAATGGAGAAACCATACCCTGGGAATTTTTCTCAAAGGATTTAAAGGATTAGTTCGTCTCCAGCACTCAGCTGCTACATAATATGTCTTTGGGCAGCACTGTGTGATGAATTAATTGTATGTGAATTCAGGTGTTCTGGTCATGCCCAAGCACAGGTTATTTAAGTTAGAAAATTGACTTTCCATCACCCTAGCATGCATGATGTAAATCAGATGACTTCCTAGCTGGAAAAAAAAAATTAAAATAAAATAGTAAAGGGTTTGCTGACATCATTAACAGTAATTACTGAGATATAGAGCTATAGAGGAATTAACTTTGTAGTGACAGAACTCTCCCACTGGTCTCTGAGTCACCAGCACTGCTGCTGGGCTTTATTCAATACAAAAATTTCCTGAGTGGCAGACAGAGCTGTCCTAAGGACAAGTGATTCTGCAGGATAAATTGCAAGAAGAGATAAGAGTTTCTCTTAGTGAGAAAACCATCTTATGATTCCTCAAAACAATATTCTGTGCAGGAGCCTAAGTACCTTTTCTTAACTTAATGCTGTGGCTTTTTGGAAAGGATTTGAAATGGGAAAAAAATCTTCTTTATCTCCAAAGAGAGCATGCAGGGAGATAGCTATTCCACCAAATCTATGCTGGTACGTTTTCATGAGTCTGAAAAACATAACAATACAATGTGCATTTCTTGTCCCTTTCCTACTATAAAACAGCAGTATGAACATTTAAGCAATAATCTGACACTTGCTTCCTACAAAAAGGAACACTTGGTTCCCACCTTAAGAAGAGCTATTGGACACTTGTGCCAGATGATTATGTCATTTGGGAGATCCCATAGACGTTAGAGTTCTGGGTTTGACAAAAGATTCATAAATCAACATTGATTATGTCAGTTGACAGGCCTTTTAAATTGTCAGGCATTTTGCAGCAGGAGATATGTCTTTCATTTGTCTCTTGATAAATGTGCTATGCTAGGAGTTACACAGACACCTGCTTTACAGGCTTGGGAAGTCTTAACGCTAGAAAAATTTTCACCAGGGCATTTATGTGTGCTTTTCAAAGTGGATCTAAAAGAAATTTTTCCCTTTTACTTGAACCACTTTTTTTTAGATGATCTTTCCTAGCATTTCTATATGTCTGGAATATCATGTCCTTTGGGTGAAAAGAAACACTTTTACAACTGAAAAGAAAAAATCAGTTTCATATATAACTTTGCCTTGTAGGCTTGAGGATATGAGTGAGGAAAATGGGAATAAATGAGTAATGAAAACAAATTTGGGGCATTTTCCCACATAGTCCCTAATTCATGATTTCTGCGCTGGGCTGAGGCTCACTTGGCAGTCAGTGTGCATCACACCCCATCTACAGGCCGAGACAGAGAAATCACTTTCCTTTCATTCCCTGAATAATCTGTACTAAAGATGTCAAAATAGAAAGGAGAGGCATATTCCTCACCTTTATTGCCAGAGAGTAATACTTAACTTCAGCAGTGCTTCAGAAGATCTTTTAATGCACTTCAGACTGAAAAGCAAAATATTTGGAAGCCTACAGAATAAAAATGGGATGAGATTTACGTCCATTCCCACAACATTGCTTGTCACCCAGAAAGCTGAACTGGCACCTGCTTACCAGCTTTGACATGGTGGGCATTTTATCACTTTCTCTCTGGTTAATTTTTTCATAGCAATTGGAATAACACTTCAAGAAGCCAGATGTTCCTTAGAGCTTTACTCCCTCATTTCCCATACTTTTTATCACTGGTTTTACTTGGTTGAATGCAGGGATCAGGATCAGAGAGCCTGAGCTCCGTTCCTGCCCCTAAGTTTGTGCAGCAGCATGAGTTTGTCCCCTCCATACAACCTATCTTGGAGCAAAGTGAGGCTGTTCCCAGGAACAGGAAGCTTGGAGACATGCCTGGTGGGTATCGGTGCAAGCACAAAGCCTTGACCTTGGCACCTGGCCTGAAGAAGTAGTTGTTTCTGTTTTGCTGGAGTTCAACCACATGCCAGCAGCGTCAATATTCCCAGAGAATCTTTGCTGTCACATTTCTGCCTCTCTGTGTGAGGTCTTCATGTATTTTGGAGGTGGAAAACACCCAGCTCTTCCAGCCCATCCCAATGAGCTGCCTAAGTGTCGTTTCCAGTTAAACATACAGCATGCTACTTATTCCAGCTGATCCTTTCAATCTTAATCATCTTCCTAATTGCCTTTTTGAGATGAAATACTGGTTTAGTATTTGGTCTAATTCTAAATCTTCTTGATTTATACTCTCATCATAAATGTGTAATGATTCCCCCTTTTTCCCTCTTGCTCTCTTACTACTTACATGACTGAGGTACTTTTAGCGTTCAGTTTAATAACTGTGTGCTGGAGGAATTTCTGCTGTATTCTCAGTTTCCCCTTGGTCTCAGGGAGGTGCAGAGTCATTTTATAAATTCTGCATATGGACTACCTCAAATGCATTCTTAATGGAAAAGGTGACTCATTCTTTATAAGGAACTCCTCACTACTACAGAACTAGGCTGTTTCTTCATAAACAGAAGTAAAGAACAACTACAAGAAGCACTGTCATTGTTATCACTGACAGTGATAGGATATACTTTTGGATAGGATATAGTGATAGCAAATGAGGTGCTATATTTTGGGTTCTTGGCTGCAATATTACATCATTTACCATTCCAGTTGCAATTCAGGTATCATCTCCTGTGTTCTGTCTCTTGGTGATATGTACCCTCAAGCTGTTTGACTTGCCCTTCAAGAGTAACTTCTCAGAAAATAATCAGGTCTCCAAAATGATGGAAACCCACAGCTGAACCACAGCCAGTCTCTCATTGGAAATAAAATTACTTCTGGAAAGTAAAAGGTCGTTTTTAGACTTTCTTTGAACTGCTGAAAGAGTCATTAAAGTACACAATGTGACGGATCTACAAGGCGTGTGCAGAGAGGTGTGAAAACCTAGGAGCTAAATCCACAGAGCTGCTAAAGGGAAATGCTGATAACAATTATTACTTCAAGCAAGCCTTTGCCATCTGTCATGGTGATACCTGAAGACCTGATAGACCTTAACTTAATGTTTGCAGCATGCAGTCAGAGAAGACACTGTGCTCAGCTGTGCTCTGTGATTATCAGACTCACGTAGATTCAGATCAGTTGAGCTCTGACTACACAGATACATCTGAGGCTCTTGCCGAGAGCAGCCTCGTGGGTCTTCAGTGCCATGCAGTCTTTTGGGCTGTGCTTCTCATGCTCAGCTGCATCTTCCCATCTGTCACTTGTTGTTGACTGCCTGCCTGCCCATCCTTGTCAGGCATCCTGCTCAGGAACATGTGTTTTGGTAAGGTTTTCTACATGAAGAGAGGTCAGTTGGATGTGTCACTGTGTATTCCACAGAGAAGGCACTAGCCATGAAATAAATACATTTTTATTCTGAAGCCAAAATGAAGTTTCTGATGTTCTTTGCACATCCTAGGGGAGTTTATTCTGTGCTCACAGAGAAAGCCTCTCTCCTGCACAGATCACTGCTTCCCAATGAAAAAAAGCATATCCAGCAGAGAGGCCCAGTACCACTTCTAATTTCTTACACTAACAATTGTGCAATTTTACATTTGGCTTTAGCACCAGATGGAAACTAAACTGCAAATGAGCCACTCCCCTTCCCCTGCCTGTTCGGGTAAGGGAGTGGCAAATGCAGAGACTATGGGTTGAGATAACAATTTACTGAAAGCACAAAGCCATAGAGTAAGAAATGCACAATAACAACAGCAATATTAATAGCAAAGACATACAAAAATAGAAGGTGTTTTCCCCAGCATAAAGGAGCTCACCACGGGGAAAAATCAAACAGATGGCAGATGCTCCCTGTAAGATGTGTCCCCTTGGTTCACCAGACAAAGGGGATATGGAGACCATTCCCACTCACTGCCTGTGTGGCCACCAGGAGCAAAGGCAGGATGGCAAGGGAACTCCCATGGCTAACATCTCCCACACTCCCCATCCTGAAACAATGGAAGCCAGTGGCAAGTAAACCCCGTGAGTCAGGCTGTGCTGTTGCTCAGCTGGGCTCAGTTCTGCACAGGTGTCTGTGCCACTGTTTCTCCTGCCCCGCTGTGCTGGTCCTGCAGGTCACTGCCACTTTTCCAACCATTCTGCCATGTCCTTCAGCTCAGCTCAGCTGGCCCAGGCTCAGCTTCAGCTGGACTGGGGTTCAGTGCCACCAGTCCTTCCCCTGTGGCTGCCTCTGTCTCTCAGCCCTGCTGTTGATGAGCGTTGTTGCCGCTGTCCTTTCAGCACCAGGTCCTGCAGCTGCGTTCCAGAGAAAAGGGGAGCTGCAGCAGGGGTGCTGTGGGGCTGGATCTGCAGGGGCTGATGCTGACACCTTCCTGCTGGGGACAGAGAAGCAAAATGGTGCCCACTTCTGAGGAGGGTGCTCATTTTCACCCCAAAAACACTCCCATGGGTATGATGTGGGTGATACAGAATAACAACTTAGATGTGCCCACGCTGCACTAAGCCTCACCCCCTCCTGCAGCCAGGACACATCTAATCCTTTGCTGGACATACTGAGCTATTGAAACCTACCTGTCTGCCATAACTGGAAATTTAGTCCCTCGTGTTCTGAATGACTCTGAAACACAAAGTGAAACTGTCAGACACCCTGGGTATCATATTTAATTTAGGGCTCTGGATACATCTGCAGGTAACCTCTTTTTATTCATGTGTCAGTAGCCTAAAATATACTCTTCATCTTATAGTAAGAGTTAAAGACTTGCAAATATTTCAGCTTATGACTTAGTATTCCTTAAATACAGGCAATGTACTAAACAAAATCTTAAGTCTATGTCTCCAAAAGTTTACAGTCTAATGGCAAATACATCAAAATTCATTTAAAGATGAAATTCTTTGATCTGAATATCACTGTGAAGGAGCTGTAAAGTTGCAGTCCATATACTTACCTAATCACATAATCTCCATTTCCAACTATTAGCACTGTTTACTGTGACAGAAGTATGATGGAAGATGATACCTTTATTTTGTTTAGTGAAAATAAAAATTACATTTTCTACTAGTAAAAATAAAAAAAACAAATAAAAAGCCTACTGCAACCTGCTGATAAGAGTCAGTACAGTATTTTGTGCTGTATTGTTATTTTTTTCTTGTTCCTCTGTTGCTGAAAGCAAAAACTCTGCAGGAGACACAGTTGAGGGCTGATCCAAACCAGTGCAAAGCTTTTCTTTTCAGGGAGTTTTGTTGAAGATTTTGATTATTGAAAAAAACATTCCTAAGTAGAATAATTTTAATTCAGCATGAGTTTGTTTTTGAAAGCAAGGGTTGATTTTATCTAGCAAAATAAACCATTGTTTCTTTATACAATGACTGGCTGAAATCAGAGTATCTTATATTGGTAATTCTTTTCTCTGCTTTTAGCTCTGGATAACAGAATATGCTCTGTCTGCTGTGATGCAAAAGCACCTGTCTGAGAAACAAGAGAAGATAATTCAAGGTGTTGTGAGCAGGCTGGGATGCCTCAGTGATGAGTAAGCACAGTTTCATCCATGAGCAGTGGGGTAAAACTTCACTGTTGCATGCCCAGATAAAAACTTGTGTACATTACATTGTGGAAAGCAGTGTTGAGGGATTATTAGCACCTTCATACAGAGAGGCAATTGGTCTAGTTTTTTGTCAGGGTATCAAAAGCAAATTTAAAAAATAGACATATCATAACTCCTGGGAATTTGAAAAAATAATCTTATGTGATTTGTCACTGGTGTGCTTTGTGAGTATCTGCTGTGTTTGTGAGTGGTTTCTAGTCGTGAACCAGCCTCTCTCTGCACTCCCTATGTCACAGTGGAGTTACATTTTCTGCAAGATAAATTGTTCATTCCAGCAACATATAAATGGTTATTTAGATATTTTATTTCTGTTTTCATTTTAATTTAACTTCAGTGTGACAGAACCAGTAGTGTAACACAGCAGTCCCCATTCATTACACCTGAGCAGCTTTCCAAGGCATGCTTTGTACAAAAATGTTTTTGTACAAAAACATTGCACAGAGTGAAGAATAACTCTTGTTACCTTTAAGCAATGACTTTGCTGAACACAGGTGTGCAAGCAGCTTCACTGATGGATTTTTAATGGTCCTTTTTACAGGTCTGTTAGCTACATATTGCAAAAGCACCAACTTCTGCTGTGTTCAGTGCTCAGAAGGTTAACCTTCCGAAGAGCTGGAATGGCAGCCCTGGCACGCATGAGACTGTCCAGAAAGAAGAGCTCACTTCAGGAGCTGAGAGAGCAGCACACCCTGCAGAAGGGATCCTCCCTGTGCCAAGATGAGGACCAGTGGCAGTTACAGAAGGCAGTGGTAGGTACAGCGTCCAGGTGGCTTGTCTCCAGAGGTCTCATAAGCTGTGATATTTGGCATTAGAAGTACTCATGGCTGATCTAAACCCCCCTCCAAAAAAAAAATTCAAGCTCCAAGGGAAAAAAAAAAGTTCTCTGTCAAAAATGTGCACATTGCCAGCATTGGAGGTCCCTGAGCGAGCCTGTTGTAATTTGGGCAGACATTTTAAAATCCCTTATACTTTATTGAGTGTTCTAGCAAGCTTATTTAGCAATTTATTTATATGAAAATGCTAATGCAAGAAGGCAAGGATGCCAACATGTATAAAGGATTTCTGCAAAGCTACTACTTCAGGGTAAGAGAACCTCCTCCTACTAACCTCGATCTCTCCTACCTGCTGGAGATCGTAATATGCACTTGAGACGTTCTTACTGGAGCATTAGGAGAAATTCTTACTCCTACCACACCAATCAAGTTCTTGTATGCTGTCATAATTTTTCATTCTTTTTTCTCTCTCTCTGTCCATAAGAAGATCAGCATCAGTTCCCAATCCTCCCAAATTATCTGACTGCTGTAGAGGTCAAGAAGACAAAAGAAAGTTTAAAGGATTTTTAGACATGTTGTTCCCATAGGTCGCTTTCACATCTGTTTGCGACTGGTTTTAAGTGTTGATCTAGTAAGTGTTGTTGGTTATTTAATTACCTATATTGGATATTTATGTAGAGCAACACCACATTTCATATTTCAACTTCAGACAACCCTCCCAGCAGGTGTCAGTGATAGCTCTGCCCAACCCACTGCTGCTACACATATGGCTTGAACCCATCAAACATTTTGCAGCTCTGTGCTCCATGCTGTTGCTGTGAAATTAGCTGTGAGGTAAAATTCTGTACCCCTCTTATTTTGATTTGCATCATACAAACCTTCAATCTCCACATGGAAGAGGAATAAGGAAAATATGTGTCCTGCTTTTTTTATATTTTAAAAATAAAAATTGAAGCAGTTTCTTTTAAGTTTGAAAATCTGAAAATTCATTAACCTTCAGAAGAAATAAAATGTAAAATAATAAAATACAAATGCATGTCATGCATTCCTCTTGCTTTCCATTACTCCCTCTCACGTAGCCCACATGGAGACATTAATTGATGCAATCACTGCCTTCCTTAATGAAAATGAAATGTCCTCAGGTATTGTTGTTCCTGTGGCCTCTCTCCACTACAGCCTTTTTCAAAGTTCAGCTAAAACCCATTTCAGAAGGAAGTGCCTAAAAGTACACATGTAAGATTCTTGCTGTTGAAAAAGTAGGGCATAGGTGTGGAATTGGGAAAAGTCAAGAGAGAAAAAACATGTTACAAACAACCTCCAAAACAAAAACCAATCTATAAGGAGTTTAGAAAGAGGTTAATTTACAGACATTCAACCAGATTTTTAGATATATTGTGTTGTTTTACCCAAACTTAATTTTTGCTTGGACCAGTTTCATACTGATGGACAATGTCATGTCTATCTATTGATTTCATATAGAATGTAAAATGACTAATGAATCCTAGCTTGGACATAATCACATGACATTGGGTCTCTAAAATAAATGAGAAACAGTTGAATGACATTCCCACTTTCTCAAAAATCTCAAGAACGTAAGTCTCAGCTATAAATATAACATGTCAGAACAACCCAGCATTAATAAGAATACTTCTACAGATTAATGTTCCTTTTCTACTTGCACTTCTTATTTCCAAAAAGGCATCAAATGGGTACTGTCAGATCTTCCAGAATATTTTAATGTTATTTAGCCTTAACTGAGTGTATAAATACAAGAAAGACATAAGCAACAGAATAGAAGGCCCTTTATGGCAGACTACTACACTTAAGGATGACAGAACAGACCACGCTGGTAATCAGATACTACTGTTCACTAAACAGAGCTTAGATGAAAAGTATGCACTTTTCAAGCACAAAAAAATGGAGGCAAGGATGGTCCAAAGACCACAAAGGACTTGAATTCTTTAGCCTAAAAAAAAATAGGTGTTTTCTGGAATATCATAGGTTTTTAAACTGGCATCAAAAACATGAATAGAGAACCATTTGTCACATGTTTCTAGTGAAAGAAGAGAGCACCTAGCAATGTTATCAGATGGCAGGTTCAAAATGAAGAAATATGCAGAGAACCTTTAGAACTCACCACCAGAGGATGTTGTGCAAATGTGTTTCAGGTGTTATTGCTATTCCCAAGTACCAACAAACCAAGTTTTTCTCAGTTAGACCACACAGACTGTGCAAGTATACCTTATGCATAATTATACTTGCCTTGCTCCTGTGCAGTTTATCAAGGCATCCACAATTGTCCCTTACTGGACTCAGTAAGTGAATACATCACTTAGAAGTGACTTATAGGACAGGATGCAGCTTTTCCTGTATATATCATAACAGAGGCTGTAGTTCTGTTGCAATGACAAATGTGTCAACTGACTGTACAAACTTCTCTGTAAATTATATTATTACTAAAACTGTAACATTCTGAATGGGTGCAGGACTTTTTTTTCAAAGTGAAGCTGACTACAGTTGGTTAATATATTTAAATGGCAGTGCTGTCTTATTGTCTGATTACCAGGAGTCCCACATTCGTGAAGAGGAGGAGAAGCTTGTGGAGGAAACACAAGAAACCAATTTAGAATTTCACCAGCAGCTAGTCACAGAAATCCAAGAAGCTCTTCAGTTTCTTCAGCAGCACATGGAGCAGGTGATTGGGCAGACACTGCTGCAGTATGCCCGAGGGGAAGCTGAAAAAAAGAGTTCAGATGATGAACAGGACTTCAAGGTATGGAAATGGTCAATAGCAGGGCTACCTTGCACAGATGGAAAGCAATTAAATGTATGCATTAACCTATGCCTGGAAGTATCAGCAGAAGACTGTTAGGACCTCTGTTAAAACTGAGCAGAATTTGCAAAGTACTTGCAAGCTAGCACTTGTGTATCAGTACAGTATTTGCTACAGCAGCCAAAACAGGTTTTAAGTCAAACACTGGAACATGAAAACAATTTTCACAATTCTTGATGGCAGAGAATAACAAAAAGAAGAAAAAAATTTATACGATTTTCTATTGATAACGGGTTTTTTATTAATTAATAGTTTGCATAGTAACAGCTTAATATTAATTCAAATATAAATAATTTCATAAAATCAAATTAAAACTTACATCATAGATGAATATTTTTATTCCAAAGGAAATATTTGGATTTTCTGTGTAATGGAAAATCACAGCAGAGCTACATATAGATTAGCTTGCTTTGCTGGCAGTTGGCTTCACTGTTAAAATGGGCTGTAGAGATTGAATGGATAGGGGAATGACCTTTTCCCAGATATTGATGAGGCAAATTAGAAAGGTTTTGCTTCAGTTTTTCATGTTGAAATGCTGCATGGTTTTCAGTATCTCACTCTGCCCCATTTTTAATGCCACATTTTAAATTCACAATTTTGTGTGTGCATACCAAATTAGGTATGGAGTTTTTTTAAACAGATCAAAACACTTTTGGGCTTGGAAAATGAATTGTGACTTGTACTGTGTGATACAGGAGAGACTGGTGGAATCTGCTGTTGAAAGTGTGTATGGGACCAGCAATAATATCAATAGAGTGGTGCAAAACTACTATCAGCAATTAGGAAAAATCACAGAAGGCTATGAAGGAAAAAAGCTTCAACATCTGAAATCCTTACAAGGTTTGTATGGTATTGACAACTATGACAATTTTGTCTCCCAGTGACTGTGGTTAGTGTAAGGTTAGTGGATTTTGCTGCTTCTGGCATGCTTTGGCCTAGTAAATCTGAATTTAGTCTGCCTGGCAGAGTCACAGGAGGAAAGGTGGGGAGTACAGCCAGCCCAGCCCAGAGTACATTCAGTAAGTGCTCCCTGATGGTGCAGGTGTAGGAAAGGTGCCTGTCAGCCTCTCTGAGTGTTCAGGAAAGGATGGATGCTCCCCAGGTGAAGGTTACATACCCTGATCTGTTACAAACCCATCCATCTCCCTCCTGTTTAATTTAAATAGAGTGGTGCAAGGTCTTTTCTGTCGAATGTGCCCAAGCCTTGCTGCCAGGCAGGAGTTCAGGGACAAGAGTCAGGAGCCTGGGCAGCAAATAAGCACTCAGTCACAGAGAGTGAGCATATGCAAAAGTAACCAGAATAATTCCCTGTCAGTTGAGGGGACATCTTTTGAAGCTGGCATACCCAGGAATAAGTCACGTCTGAGTGGAAGATTTTATTTATATTGCATTTTTTGTTTAGGTAATACAGTTCTTGCTTAAGGCATCAAGGTCTTTTCAGAAAATTCCATGTCAATCAGTTAGCCTAGTGGGAGAAGCAGGTAAACAGGAATTCAATGACATTCCCCTCTCAGCAAAATGATGCATAAAGTATTCTCTCTGCAGCAGATCACAGTGGCAGAGTGTGTAAGAAGTACTTGGTATCCCAAAGGAGCAGTAAGTTTGGAAAGACTACCTAAAATCAGGATTAATTTGGGATGAAGATTGTCATTTCAGAGTTTTTAATTTTGATCAGAAAATTTATTGAAAACATTATTTCAGCAGAAGGAAATGAAAGGATCAGACTGAAGAATAAAGAGAATGAACTGGCATTGAAAGAAAAACACACCAAAGGCCTCCTAAATGTGTCATCCACGGTCCACCAAAGGTTAGACCAGACAGCAGCACTGCTGTCTATTCAAACTTTGTGAGTGATTGCAGAGCTACATAAATGCCTAGCTAAATAAATGTCTTGAGTTTGCATTTTGTACTTCTCTTTGATGGAAAAGAAATACCTATTGCCAAATTATGTCTGTCCTTTGATCTCAGAGAAGTACTTTCTTATTAAATAAACTTTTTGATGGTCATTAGTTACAGATTGAAGAGCTATACTTAGGCAGTTTGAAAAGAGAGAATGAAAAACAATGCCAAAGCATATGCCAAAATTTAAAAGAAATTTAACATAAATGTAGGAGGGGAACCAATGCTGAATGTAATTCATTACATTCCATCCTTTATACTTTGAACATCAAAAGTGTTTGTTTGCTGTGGAGAAAACATATAACATAATGAAGAGAAAATGCTTGAAGCCCAAAAAATACTCAAAACAGAAAGAAGGCTTCAGTGAATGCCTTGGAAAATCAAGATTACTTGCACTAAATTTAGAGTGGAATCCCTCAAATGTTAGTTAAATAAAAATCATATTTAATTAATTACTGATTTAATGAAAATTAAGTCCAGACAAAAAGCACTGCAATTAAAAAGGGATAAGTTGTCATAAAAAGCTCTATGGCTTGTCATGTACATAATACATTTTTGTAATCATTTTATTTCTTTACTCTTGATTTATTATCCAGAAAAATACAACAGCTTCAATTTTGGCATTGTAAAGAGGTTAGATCTTTCTTTAGACATTCTGTTTCTTCTAAATTGAAAGATATCATTGCCCACTTTTTTATCCCTGTTTGAGTTAGTAAAGAAATGGATTTTTGTAATAAAGGGTTTCATAAAAGATGTCTTAGTTATTAATATCAAATTTATAATTTATTGTGACATAAAAATTCACTTCCAGCTGTTTTCTCATTTGGTTTTTCTCCTGTTATCTATTCTAGTATCTTTAAACAAAATACAATGAATTTTGTCTTCACACAAGCAGAAGTGTGGTATTGAAGAATGTAACTGTGCAGCATCTAAGCTGATATCATAATCATCAGTAATCAAACCAATTTTCCTATTGCAATTATGATTTCTTTTATGGTCTAGTCCTTTGTAAATTAAAGACAAAGTTTACATTAATTTGTCTGACTCCTATAAACTCCACATTGTTTTATTGTTTTATTTCTTTTTCCCCTAATTCAAGGTTAGGAGTGTGAGTTTGAAAAGCAAATGTTGAAAGGTAGCCTCCATAAGCAGTGAGCATTACAATAGCAGCTTCATTAGGTGCAAATGTAAGAAACTATTTTTGTTACCTCCTTCCCTGAGGAATTTGATGGGTGATTGGCAGCATTGCTTCAAGGTAGATCAGGCAAGAAAACAGAAGAAATACAGATGCAGCAAAGTTGCAGCCATTTAAGTTGTACTGTAATTATGATAATCCTTAACCAGAAAAGTAAAACAAGTAAAGAATACAGCTATTAATGCTTTCAATTCCCAAGTTTTGAATTACCATATTGATGGCTCAGTCTGCTTCTGATGACATTTCAGTACTGAAGAGGCCTGGATGAAATGCCTAATTCTTAATCCCTTATTCTCACACCTGATCTTTGAACAGATCTTTGAACATTGTTTGCCTTGGCCCTTTGGCAAGCAGACAGTAAAACTGATCCTAGAAACATACAGTGGTTTTGAAAGCAGGCTTCAACTTTAGAGCTGAATTCCAGTTCCCAAAGTCCAGGTATGAACATTGCAAACTCCTCTAATTCCTACCTCCAAAAGGACCTTGTATCCTATGGACAGCCAAGACAGGTTATTAAAATAAGTAAATTTAAAAATCTACCACAACATTTTCTGTCCCAGCAGAAGTTAGCTGGGCCAATACTGTGTAATGAGCCTTTCTCTCTACAAAACCTTCTAACTGGACTTTGACAGGATTGTATTCCTCCCTTGCACTGAACAGCAACTATACATTTACATTTCTCTTGACCAGGATAGTGCTACAGCAAAACAAGATTTTGGCTCAGTTTGAGCTGCAGCAACAAATTTGTCTGGAGTCTCTGAAACAGAAGCTGCTGGGATTGCACCGCCTAGGAACCGAGCTGGAGAATCAGCTAAGGGTAAAATGGGTCATGGATCTGGAGCATTCAATGGAGAAATATGGGACAGATTGCTTCCCTAGTTGAAATCAGTGCTGAGATTCATCATTGACTTGTCAGAACACTTCCCTGATTGTTTCCCATATTGTTTCTTGTGTTTCTGCAGTGATGTGCCTGTTTTGTTGTGCCACATGTAATAACATAATGCAGAACTGAGCTGTGTTGTGTTGAGTGATTGCTGCTTTGTCCTTGCGTGCAGGAAGCAGAGCAGGACTTCATGAGTGAGCTGGCTGTGCTGACCCGAGTTCCGCTGACTGTGAGGAAGAAGCCTTCCAAAAGGAGCAAGCCAGCAGGTTAGTGCAATCCTGAATTGTTCAGAAAAAAACCCCACATAATTCCACAAATCAGTGCAGATTTTGCAGTATAACACATTGGAGTTTCAGGAGATATTTTTTTATCAGTGCCATTTCCCTAATTGGGATGTGGAAGGGTAATGAAATCTTTCAAAGTCACCCAGTTCTCCAGCAGCACAGCTAAAAACAAGTGTCACCTTTCCTCACTCCAGAGCAGCCTAATCTATAGATTACATTGTCCACTGAGGTAAGGCTTTGCCCTGCTGAAACCAAAACGTTTTTCATGTCTTTGTCATGTCCTTTAGAAATATCTCTGTTCACCTCAATTGCTAAATCCATGGGAGAACAGCAGAGTTGAATCACCCAGTGTTCATTCTCCTGACAGAATGGAAGAATTGCCTCCCACACATGTAAAATCGTACTGAATCAGGAAGCTTGATCTATTTTTATGAATTTACTGTAGTTTTGACAAATTATACTAATTCATTCTTCAAGAGATGCTTTGGGACAATTTTTTAGAGTAGTAGTTGTATTTCCTAGTCCACATTTCTGATGCAGTGTACAAGTGTCATCCTTTGAGCCATGCAATCTTTCTGTCATTATCAGAATGAAACATATGGCATTACATTTGAAAGATGCTGAAAGGCAGGATGGGTGCCTGAAACAGAAAAGCAGGTCACTCCCTGCACAGTTTTGAAGTCTTTCTCCCCAGCTGTTGTTTCTCAGGTGTGCAGAATTGTTTGCCTTGGTAGGCACCATGAATGCACAGACATATGGAAACAGTCCAGGGCCCTCAAAGCAGTGAATTTTTAGCATCATGTTCTGATTCAAATCACTCAAAAATATGAACTGGCTTTTCTTCTGCTTGGTGGTAATAAAAAGCTATTTTCAGTTACTTGCTAAGAAAATATATGATAAAGCTTTCAACTATTGCTCCACATGGAAAGTTACTTCAGTGTTCATCAAATGTGGCAGTTCACGCTCTGCTGTGTGAGAACTTACCAGTGGTAAAAAAGCAGTATGCTCTGCTAATGTAAAGTGAAGTGATTTCCTTGGAATAATAACAGCTAAGTATGAAGTGTTAGAGTGTCATTTTTTGCTTCAGGTTAATCAAAACCAAACAAGCTTTACTATTTGTGATTTTTTTTTTTAATCCACTGCATTTGGCAATTCAGGTAAAAAAGCAAATTCCAAAAGGCAGACCTTCCAGTCACCTGAACCTGCAGAAAAAGATGATTCTCATGAAAATATTCAAGAGCCTTATGGAATAACTTCTGGCTTATGCAGGTACGTTAGAGACTAAAAATATGGTATGTGAAAAGCTATTCATAAAATATTCAATTCAGTTTTTCAATACAAAAACTGTAAAACTTATTTTTAAGGAGGTATGTCAGTCAAACTCAAAACATAATGCCTGCACAAGCTGAGCTTCCTTAATATTTACTTTCCACATGAGTTAACCTTTTTTACGCCATAATCTTTTTTAAACTTAGGAAGTTCATCTGCATTTGCTTGTCTGCACTGCTATGTATTTTATAAATAGCTTTGATTAAAGGTAGAGAAATGCTATTTCCAAATTTCTTTTATTTAGTTATATTTAAACCTTAGTCACAGACAGCATAAATCAGCAGAGACAAGTGAATTCAATGGAACTAGGCTGAAATGTAGCAACCAAAATATGGTCTGTGGTATTTCGGCTTTCAACTTCCACCTTTATTTCAGGAACAAAGGCAAGCGCCAGTCTTTGGCTGATGAGGGTAGCAGCTCTAACAATTATTTTCTTGATAGATGTTTCAGTTGGCTTGTGCTGGGGTGCTAACTAGAGAAGAAATGGCTACAAACCTGAAAGATGCCAGCTGATTACTACGGGCAGATCAAACCAGCCAGCTGGTTGCTGTGGCTTGATATATTGAGCAGAGAAAATCCTGCTGACAGGCAAAGCAAACAGTTGGTTCTCAGGAGCCACAGGCCTTTGGGGAAAAGTATTTATCCCCTGAGTGACCTCAGCCTGGGACTGACTTCAGGAGATGGCTCCTTTCCATGATGGCATCGACCCTTTTCATACACTCCTTTCCCACAGCCGACAAGGGATGCGTGTGTAGGGAACAGGGACCCAACAAAGGAACGTTTATGTTTTTGCAATTTTGTTTTGGCAGCCCCAACAGAGGCAGTGAAACCAGTGAATGCAGAAGTTACGTAGCAAGCACCTTTCTTTTACCAAAATTAGTTTAGTTTAAGAGGGGAGTATAGTGTTTTAAAAACTGTCTGCAATTTTGTTTTGTTTTTCTTACTTGTTCTTTCAGAGAGATGTCACAGAGTTCACATGAAGGGGAGACAGAAGCAAGGAAAAACTCAAAGATATTAAAAAAGAAAGGCAGCAGGTAGTAAAAGCTTTTGTCTGGGCTGTCTGAACAGAGTGTACCAAGGCATTCTTCTGGCGAATCTCAGCAGCTGTAGGTCCTTACTGAGCTGCTTTGCTGAGGAACAAGGAAGAAAATCAATAACTCATAAATATTTTTTAGCTGCAGACCAAGAATCAATCCCAGCTTCCTCTAGCTGTTAATAAAACATTCCCTCTTGGTTTGGTAAGGGGGAACAAGGAAGTCTTTAATACAAGCTCTTTTGAGACTGCTTGGGTAATATGCTGGGGAGGCAGTTTTAGATTTGGAATAAATCTGAGGATACTGCACCTGTAGGAGAACAGGTGCACGCTGGGTCCTGCTGAGTGTATCTCAGTAAGGTTTCATCACAGTGGTGATGTACTGTTTACTTTTGAGCCTTGAGATGTGGTACATAGTAGCATTCTTTTTTGTGAATGCTACTTTGGCCTAAGGAAAGGAGATAAAAATGTAGAGAACATGTAAACAGGCTTCAGGTGGTACTGATACATCAAAGGATGACATTTGGTCTCTCTTTTGTCATATTTTTGTGCTTCCAGTCTTATGTATGGTTTTTAAAATTTGTGCAAAGATTTTAAAATATCTGCTTCTCTGCCTTTTTGTTATAATTCAAATTGTTACTTTTAGAGAAAATGAGAGAAAACTGGTTTACTCTTTCACTTTTTATGCTTCAGTTTCTGGTCTTCTTTAAGGTGCACCCTTTTGTTTCCAATGTACTTCGTTATGCTCATTACATTTCCTATGGGAAATTCTTGTTATGCAAAGCAGTTAATTCTTACTGGCTGTACAGAGCACCTGTATTGTGTAATAAATTGCCCCATTTAAGCAATCCTACAGCTTTCATGAAGTGGGTGGGAGTATTCTGCCTTTTCAAAAATAAACATATATTTTGCTAGTGAAAAGGTTGTCTTTTGGTGGAAGATGGAAAGTACTACATCAGTTACACAGTTTGCCTCAGACAAAAGTGCTCCTGTACAAACGAGTTCACCAGGCCTGTTACACATGTGTGTTAAATGGTTGATTTTAATCTCAGCTGTAAAAAAAAAAATCTAAATTGTACCTTTTCAAGTATTTGATTCTGGTATTTCAGCACTTCCGCTCTATGGTATCTCTGCCTTCTCAGTCTGAACATTTTAACAGTTAGTTGGTGCTTGTTCTTTTTTTTTTTTTGGTGTTTTTTTTCTTTTTCTTGAGACGTTGTTTTTTTTTTTGTTTTCGTTTGTTTGTTTTGTTTGTTTTGGTAACAGAATCAATGTATTCACGTTGGATTGAACAGGTTTCTGAAGTGCTCTCTGTACAGGAGGCACAGGGAGCTGTTACCATGAGAGCAGATGATGCTCTAAGCCCCTCAGGACACCTCCTGCCACACTCAGGGAATCACTCGAATCAGGATCACCCGAGCGGGTTTCTCATCACCCAGGTGGGGTCTGCCCTGTGCTGTGCTTGGCCGGCTTGAAATGGCTTTTTCCTCTGAATTAGGAGAGGATTGCCCCAAACGCAGGGCAGCAGTGCCCTCTCCCGGGCGGCTCGCCGTGTCAGCCCCTCGCCGGTGGGGGAGGGCAGGGAGCTCCGGGAGGGAGCCAGGGATGTCCCTGTGCTGGTGCCATCCCTGCCAGTCCCCAGGGATGTCCCTGTGCTGGTGCCATCCCCGCCAGTCCCCAGGGATGTCCCTGTGCTCGTGAGATCCCCGCCAGTCCCCAGGGATGTCCCTGTGCTTGGTGCCACCCCACCAGTCCCCAGGGATGTCCCTGTGCTGGTGCCATCTCCTCTAGTCCCCAGGGATGTCCCTGTGCTGGTGCCATCCCCACCAGTCCCCAGGGACGTCCCTGTGCTGGTGCCATCCCTCCAGTCCCCAGGGATGTCCCTGTGCTGGTGCCATCCCTCCAGTCCCAAGGGATGTCCCTGTGCTGGTGCCATCCCTCCAGTCCCCAGGGATGTCCCTGTGCTGGTGCCATCCCCTCTAGTCCCCAG